TAAAGTTTTACATATGTCTCCCTTTCCCCCAAATGACCCCCTTTTATAGTAATAGTAATAAGGATAAATCCAATATTGAATAAGTATTAAAGTGTGGAATTAAAGTGTGATATCTGAAAGTATGAAATGTAATGTAACAAACTGATAAGCACCCTTGAGTGACCTGTATGTAGGAAATAGATAAAGTGATCTGTACCCCATATGTAAGACCGGATAGCAAGGCTCCTGGGACCTGCCGATAAGACACACTGAAGACATAAAAAGAGCAAACTCCACAGAAGATCAGAGACGTCTTTTCTCCTCCACAGAGGGTCGCTCTCCACTCTCGCTGCCTGCACCCATCAAAGGTCTGCCTGAGCCTCGAGCCCCGAACCCTGAACCTCGGACCGTGAGCCGTCGTGAGAGGCCTCAACTGAAGCTGAGCTGCAGCTGCAAAGTCCTCCGTGAACCCTATGTCTTACCAGTGTGGATCCCGGGTGGCCTGCCTAGGATTCTGGAACCCACCAGGACTCTGGTAAATAAATCATGAATGCTTCATGGATTGCATGTTTGTCTCCTGTGTAATTTATGCTCGGTGGAATTATTGATTAAGTACCTAGGGTCGTACGCGTCAGATTTCTGGCTGAGGCACCTTGGTCACCTGTGCATATGTCCCTTGTGGAATTATTGGGACACCCCCAAGTAGGCCTCTCTTTTAGAAGTACAAAGTTTTTTGGTTTTTTAAAATATATTTTATTGATTTTTTTTTTTTTTTTTTTTTTTTTTTTTACAGGGAGAAAGAGATGGGGATAGAGAGCTAGAAACGTGGGTGAGAGAGAAACATCGATCAGCCGCCTCCTGCACACCTCCTACTGGGGATATGTCCGCAACCAAGGTACATGCCCTCAACGGGAATCGAACCTGGGACCCTTCAGTCCGCAGGCTGACACTCCACCCACTGAGCCAAACTGGGTAGGGCTGGAAGTACAAAGTTATACAAACAAATTCAAATAGACCACAGAAAGCCCAGGCAAGTGTGGGGCTTTGACACTTAATCTTCAGTTTCACTGTAACCGGTCTCTGCTCTCAGCTCTAGGTACAAAATGCCCCAGTCTGTTCCCTCTCTCACATGCAGCTGAGCCCTGACCCGGGGAGCGCTAGAGGCTGTCAGCTGAACTGTGACCTTCGAAAGGAGCCCTGCAAAGCCCTCCCAGATAAATTCTTCCACTCTGGTAAATAAATCACAGGCCACATCCGCTCTGCCCTCCACTAGGGGACGCCCAACACCAACCAGAAATTGGGATTTCATGTTCTAAGGGAGAAGGAGCCTGGGGACCTGAACTTCTGATTTCCTCCGAAGAGGTTGGGGGTCTGGACTCCTGAGTCTGCGGGAGAAATCGGGGGTCCCTGACTCTTGAGTTCTCAGGAAGGGGAAGTGGGGGGGCCTGGACTCCGGGGTCCTGTGGGGAGCAGGACTGGGGTAGGAGTCTGAGAAAGGAAGGAGGGATCTGGAAAGGGCACTAGGATTGGTTGGACGCAGAACTGGCCTGGGCAGAGGTTTGGTTTGGCTTGAGTCCGTGAGAAACAAGTGGACAGAGCAGGGATTGTTCCTCCGGGGTCCCCCCTCCCCAGCACCCCCTCGGTTTGGCAGCCTCAGCTCTTCCCAGGCCCTGGGGACTCAGGGACATTTCCCACAACCCCTCCCCAAGGCCCCGTTTTCCACTGGGCTCCCAGCTGCCCAGCCCCAGGACCTGGGAAAACGGCCCCAACAGTGCTGAAAGGCTGGTGGAGGTTAATGCCAAGCAGATTAGGAGAAATACAAGCCCCGTGTCCTCAGAGGCCAACAGTCCCGTCCTGCAGGTTTGGGGGCTCTGGGCTACCCTCTGTTCCCTCGGAACCCAGGAGTCCAGGTGCCCGGCCCTCTACCCACAGGCTCTGGCAGTGCCCTCTCTCAGACTGCAGAGCCTCTGTTCTTATCTGCACACCCTGTGCTTTTGACCTGCTGTCCCCGCGGCCCAGAGACCCTCTCGAGGTCACTCACCACCCCACTCAGACCTGGGGGCCACGGGCCTGCCCCTTCCCTCCCCCACTCTCCAGCAGCCACAGCTCCACCCACCCTGCAGTGGTGATGCAGAACCCCGTGACCAGCCCAGCCAGGGCCCCTCGGGGGCCCACCCTGCGCGGAATCCACTATTTATCCAAGGTGGCCGCACCCAGGCCTTGATATGCTCACTTTCTCTCCTTTTCTTTTTCGTTTTTAAAATATATTTTATTGGGTTTGTTTGTTTGTTTGTTTTTACAGAGAGGAAAGGAGAGGGATAGAGAGTTAGAAACATCAATGAGAGAGAAACATCAATCAGCTGCCTCCTGCACACTCACTGGGGATGTGCCCACAACCAAGGTACATGCCCTTGATTGGAATTGAACCCGGGGCCTTTCAGTCCGCAGGCCAACGCTCTATCCACTGAGCCAAACCGGTTAGGGCTCTCCTTTTCTTCCTTGCTCTATTGCTATCTGAAGTTATCTCCTCCACTGGTTGGCTTGCTCATCCTCTGCCCACTACTCCTCCCCCACCCCCTGCCTCCCCATTTGTGGCCTCAGGATGGAACACAGCTATTGGCTCTGAGTAGAAGTTCAGAAATGTTATGACTGTTGCCAATAAGAAGAGACACCTTGCCTGGCTGGTGTGGATCTGTGGTTGAGTGTTGACCTATGAACCAAGAGGTCATAGTTCATTTCCCACTCAGGGCACATGCCCAGGGTTGTGGACTTGATCCCCAGTAGGGGGTGTGCAGGAGGTAGCCAATCCATGATTCTCTCATCATTGGTGTTTCTTTTTTCTTTTTTTTTCTTTTTTTTAATATATTATATTGATTTTCCACAGAAAGGAAGGGAGAGGGACAGAGAGCTAGAGAGAGAAACATTTATGAGAGAGAAACATCAACCAGCTGCCTCCTGCACACCCCCTACCGAGGATGTGCCCGCAACCAAAGTACATGCCCCTGACCGGAATTGAACTCGGGACCCCCCAGTCTGCAGACCGATACTCTATCCACTGAGCCAAATTGGTTTTGGCTCATCATTGATGTTTCTATGTCTCTCCCTCTCCCTTCCTCGCCAAAATTAATTTTTAAGATATATTTTTTTAAAAACAAAAAGAAAAAGAACACGGTGGCCATGTAGCTCAGTTGGTTAGAGTGTCAACCCGATAGGCAGAGGTTTCTGGTTTAATCCCCAGCCAGGACACACACAAGAAGCAACCAATGAATGCGTAAATGAGTGGAACAACAAAGCAATGTTTCTCTCTCTTTCTCTCCCCCCACCCTTCCTCTCTCTCAAATCAATAAATAAAAACATTAAACCCTAATTGGTTTGGCTTAGTGGAAAGAGCGTTGGCCTGCTAACTGAAGGGTCCCGGGTTCAATTCCCTCAAGGGCACATACCTCGGTTGCAGGCAGAGGAGGGCATTCAAGAGCCAGCCAATCAATGATTCTCTCTCATCATTGATGTTTCTCTCTCTCTCTCTCCCTCTTCCTTTTCCTCTGAAATCAATAAAAAATACGTATATATATTTTAAGTTAAACCCTGGCTAGTGTGGCTTAGTTGATTGAGCATCATCCTATGCACCAAAAGGTTGTCAGCTCTGTTCCTGGTCAGGGTACATGCCCAGGTTGTAGTGTTGGGTCTCCAGGGTGCTTATGGAAGACAACCAATTCATGTCTGTTTTTCATATCAATGTCTCTCTCTCTCTCTCTCTCTCTTCCTTTCTTTCTCTTAAAAAAAAAACCAACAACAATAAAAGTATTTTAAATTAATTTTTAAAAAGAACTAACAAAAGATACCACAAATCTTTAATCACTAAAACTGTGTGGAATTGGTCAAAACCAGTTTGGCTCAGTGGTAGAGCGTCAGTCTGCGGACTGAAAGGTCCCAGGTTCGATTCCGGTCAGGGCATGTACATTGGTTGCGGGCATGTCCCCAGTAGGGGGTGTGCAAGAGGCAGCTGGTCAATGATTCTCTCTCATTGATGTTTCTAGCTCTCTATCTCTCTCCCTTCCTCTCTGTAAGAAAATCAATAAAATATATTTTAAAAAAATAAATAAATAAAACTGTGTGGAATTGGACCAAAACCCAATACAAAGCACTTTGAGGGGCCACATGCAGGCAGGACTGTGCCTTTCCCTGCTGAGCCCCCAGAGCCTGATAGGGTCTCAATAAATGCATGTGAGATGAATGGATAGCATCTGCCATGGAGCAGGTCTGTCCTCACGGGTCCCAGCCAACCTGGGCACTGACTTCCTGTGGTGACTTGTGGGCACCAGTCTCCCCTCTGTCACACGCTCCACTCAATGGATGGCACATCTATTTTTATTTTTTTTTAAATATATTTTATTGATTTTTTACAGAGAGGAAGTGAGAGGGATAGAGAGTTAGAAACATCGATGAGAAAGAATCGTTGATCAGCTGCCTCCTGCACACCCCCTCCTGGGGATGTGTCTGCAACCAGGGTACATGCCCTTGATCGGAATAGAACCTGGAACCCTTGAGTTCGTAGGCTGACACTCTATCCACTGAGCCAAACCAGCTAGGGCTAGATGGCACATTTAAAGTGTCAGCCCACAGCTTGGACACTGCCAGAGGCCCCTGCAGGGTTGCTGTGTCCATGGCTTCTCATTTCATAGATGAGAGAGAAGGGTCTTGGTGAAAGACAGTCTCTAATTTTGTTGTTCTGATCATTTATTGTTGTTATTTACCTCTTCATTCCCTCTAACCGGGCTAGGGCTGCCGGTGTATAATGGGCACTCAGGAAGTGTTGGCTGGACTAAAAGAGCCTCTTCATCTTGATCTCTGAGGTCCCAGAAAAGCAACCACATCAAAGAGAACAAACTTGGCTTTTTTCTTTTTATTGATAAGAAATCTGGCTAAAGCTGAGAGCAGGATGCTGAGAGCTGCTAAGAAGTGGGAGCGTCAGGGTGGTCAGGGAGCCATGGCGTCTGGACTGTGTGACTGGGGCCCAGCTGTTACTCCTCTCCCCTCAGCATAGAAAGGAGCTGGTCAGTAAAAATCCCTGTGTACGTGGTCATAGCTGCTGTGCTTTGGCTGTACACATCCCTGTGGAGACAGGACAGAGGGTTCGAGAAGGGATGGGGCTGGGGGCCTGGACTCCTGGGTCTGAGGGAGGAGGGGCTGGGGCCTGGACCCCTGGGTCTGAGAGAGGAGGAGAGGCTGGGGCCTGGACTCCTGGTCTGAGTGGGGAGGGGCTGGGGCCTGGACTCCTGGGTCTGAGGGAGGAGGGGCTGGGGGTCTGGATTCCTGGGTCTGAGGGAGGAGGGCTGTTGGCCTGGACCCCTGGGTCTGAGGGAGGAGGGGCTGGGGGCCTGGACTCCTGGGTCTGAGGGTGGAGGGCTGGGGGCCTGGACCCCTGGGTCTGAGGGAGGAGGGCTGGGGGCCTGGACCCCTAAGTCTGAGGGAGGAGGGCTGGGGGCCTGGACCCCTGGGTCTGAGGGAGGAGGGGCTTGGGGTCTGGACTCCTGGGTCTGAGGGGGAAGGGGCTGGGGGCCAGAATCACATGTCCTTAGGGTAAAGGTAGCTGCAACCCAAGCTTCTGGAATCCTAGATAGGACAGGGCTGGGATCTCGGAATCTCAGGTTCTGGTGGGGTTGGGGGCTGGAGACTGAGGTACTTGGGTCTTGAAAGAGCCTAGGTGTGAACTAGACCCTGGGTCTGAGGAGCAGGGGCTGGGGCTGGGGTGACACCTGATTTTCTCATCCATGGAGGGTAGGTAGGTCTTCCTGTACAGGTCTTGGGCGGCGGTCTTGGCTGAATCCCAGTAACTAAGAATCGATTCCTGCATCTGGGCGAACAGCGTGGGGCCGGCGGCCTCATCCTGCGGGAGCGTAGAGGTCCCCTGCACCTCTGCAGGGGAGACTGAGATAGGAGAGCTGATGAGCCTGCAGCAGAGGGCAGCGGGCAAGGAAGGAGGGAGGAGGGGGCAGGGCCAGGGCCAGACCAGAACTGTGATGGGAAGATGCTTAGGGCACAGACCCGCCTCCCCTGCCAACCACACTCACCAAATCCCAATACCAGGAGGATGAGACACAGAGCCAGGAGGTATCGGGTTCCCATGGCTTCCTTGGGAGACCTGGAACACTGAGGAGGGGTGGGGCAGCGCCCTGGAGGCATCTACTCCTGGGGACCCCGCCCTCAAAGGGGGGCTGTGCTCCCTCTCTCTTGCCCCCCAATCCAAGTCAAGATCCCCATGCGCCTCCCTGTCTAACATTCTGTGATTCTACTCCTGATTTTAACGTCGTAACCCTAACACCCATTCATTCACTCCGGAGCATTTCTTGAGCCTCTGTTACGTGTCAAGCACAGCTCTGGGCCTGGCCGTGAGCACAGCGACAGTCCAGCCCTTAGGAAGCCACAGGAGAGAGAAGGCAGCGAGCAGATATTGAAAGAGGGAGATGCAGCGTGTGCCTGGAGATGGGGGGGGGGAGGCTGAGCCAGGGCCGGGGAGGCCCCGCTGAGGGAGGCATTCACGCTCAGACCCAGCCCGTGTGGGGCCGGGCCGCAGCTCAGCTAAGGACCGGTGTGGGGATGAGCAGGTGTCTGCTCTCCCCCTTTGCTGCTCCCTCAGCCGGTGTCGCTGTGAGGGGGTGGAGAGCTGGCCCTGGACGGGGCCGCGTGGGCCAACGTTCCACAATTCTAAATTCTGTGAGTCTAGCACCCTGACTTTTTTTTTCTTTTCTTAATCCTCACCCGAGGATCTTTTTCCATTGATTTTTTTTTTTTTTTTTTTTGAGAGAATGAGAGAGGAGAGAGAGAGAGAGAGAGAGAGAGAGAGAGAGAGAGAGAGAGACAGACATTGATTGGTTGCCTCCTGTATGTGCCCCGGGACCAGGGCCAGGAATCCAGTCTGTAACCGGGGTACATGCCCTTGACTGGAATCGAACCCGAGACCCTTCAGTCTGAGGACTGACCCTCTATCCACTGAGCCAAACCAGCAAGGGCCATCCTGACTTGCTTTTTAAAAATATATTTTTATTGATTTCAGAGAGGAAGGGAGAAGGAGAGAGAGACTAGAAACATCAATGATGAGAGAGAATCATTGATTAGCTGCCTCCTGCACGCCCCCACTGGGGGTCGAGCCCACATCCCAGGCCTGTGTCCTTGAAGAGGATCGAACCCGGGACCCTTCAGTCTGCAGGCCGACGCTCTATCCACTGAGCCAAACCGGCTAGGCTAGGGCCATGCTGACTTGTGAACACTCTTTGCTCCCTCCCTGCTGACCCCCCCACATCTGGGCCCCTGCTCTTACCAGACTCCGGAGGCGGGCGGTCCTCACCGGCTCCCCGGGCAGAGAAAGGCTTTATAGCTCCCGGGCTCCACGTCCCCTCGGCTGGGCTGCCTAGGCCAAAGTCCAGGCCAACACAGCCACCGGGGCGGGGACGGGCCCCGAGGGCAGCCACATGCCCTGAGGCCATGCCACCGGAGCCCCCCTCTGAGCCTTCACCCCGAGAGTGACAGGACGGATGGGGGCTGGGAGGGGCTGGGGGCTTTGGACGCACCCCCCCAGGAGTGGGATCTGGGGTCTCCATCACGTGGGCGTAGAGGCAACGCTCTGAATGAGGGGGTCTCTGTGGGGACCTGCAAACCCACCTCTCTCCAGCTGCCACCCTCCACCCCACCCCGAGGAGCCTGCAGTCTGCACCCCACACAAGCCCGAAGCGGGTCTGAGGACTGAGGGTGGGCGTTCCGACTTCTCCCCCCCCCAACCGCCCACCCCCACCCCGCCCCGCACGCGCACCCCTCCCTTCTCTGTTACTCGCTGCCGGGGTGCATGGGGGAGGCTCGTCGCGGGCCCCATTGAGGAGAGCTCAGGACAGGCACACGGACAGGAACGGTTTTATTGTGCGGCTGTGGACGCTTTAATCCCGGCCCCCCACCCCACAGAGGAGCTGGGGACACAGGCTGTGGGCGCTTTAATCCCGGCCCCCGCCCCACAGAGGAGCTGGGGACGCAGGCTGTGGACGCTTTAATCCCGGCCCCCGCCCCACAGAGGAGCTGGGGACGCAGGCTGTGGGCGCTTTAATCCCGGCCCCCACCCCACAGAGGAGCTGGGGACGCAGGCTGTGGACGCTTTAATCCCGGCCCCCGCCCCACAGAGGAGCTGGGGACACAGGCTGTGGGCGCTTTAATCCCGGCCCCCCGCCCCACAGAGGAGCTGGGGACACAGGCTGTGGGCCTTGTTCAGGACGTTGTCCTTGGAGCTTCGGAGCCAGGCCTGGGTGCGGGGGCCCAGGTCCTTCAGGTGGTCCTCATAGTAGGTCTGCACATAGCCCTGGAGGGCCGGGGGGACCCTGGGGCGGAGGGGATGTCAGTGAGAGCCCAGCTACCCCCAACACGTTGCCTCATTTACCTCTTCCTCCCTCAGACCCAGGGGTCCAGGCCCCCAGTTCTCCTCCCTCAGACCCAGGGGTCCAGGCCCCCAGCCCCTCCTCCCTCAGACCCAGGGGTCCTGTGTATACTCACTGGAACCACTGCAACCTCTCTCTGGTCTTTGTCACCAGCGGCTCCACCAGCTCCTTCACCTTTTGGCGCACGAGGCTCCAGGAGCTACTTGCCAGGCCGAGCGGGGGGCTCGGGGTGCCTGTGGGCTCCTTTGGCCGGCATTCTGGGTGTGACAGAGGCGCCTTGGGCCGGCTGGCCTCCCAGAACCCTGCTGCCTCCCTGCCCACTGTCACTGTCACTGTCACTGTCAGTCCTGGTGCCCACGGGCAGCCCTCACCAGCCCTCTCCCCGCTGGCCTTCACCCTTATAGGTCCCCTTCAGCCATTGGTCATCTCCTTCCCCCTCTGTGCTCGTGGCCCCTCCTGTCCCCCCTCTGCCCGTGCTCCTCTCCCTCAGTGTCACCCCACCGCTCTGACCCCTGTCTCTGTCCCGCTGCCTCTTCTCCACTGACCTGGCTGCCCCTCGTTGTCCCGTGATCCCCAGGCTGACCTCCCTGCGGGGCCCAGGAGCGGGGCCCGGGACAGAGCCGGCCAGGCAGTGCTGTCCCGGTGGGCGCGGCAGCCACCCCGCCGCTGCACACGCACAGGCACATACAGAGGCCCCCATGTGCCGGCGGTGTGCCCCCCGCCAGTGACTGACCCTCTTCCAGACTCAGCTTCCCTCTCTGTGCAGCGGGACGATGCTAGGACCGACCTCGCAGGGTTTGTGGGATTCAGGATGAACCCGTGTCAGGGCCTCGCACGGGTGCCCTGCACACCGAGGCGCTGTACACATGTTAAAACTTCACAGGCACACGCACGCCCCGGATGGACTCGCTCCGTGCTCACACACGCCCTCACACGCGGACACACTCAAAGCTTTTGCATAAAGACCCCATAAAGACACACACACACACACACACACACACACACACGCAGGCACACACATGCATGTTCACAGAGACACATACATTCACCTCGACTGCATACTCATGCTTACACACACATGCATGGCCACTGTCATGTATTCCAACCCCACATACACACTTCACACACAACTGCCGCTGACACATACTCGCCAAGAGCACACATGCCTACAAACTGCATCCACGTCCACTGTGGGGTCCCTCCCCCCTTCCCCGCCCGAGCTGCTCACCCACAGCACAGGCCAGGACCGCCGCGCAGAGGCAGAGGGCGGCCAGGGCCCGGGGCCTGCCTCCAGGGAGCAGCATTTCTGGGGCCCTTTCTCTCTGTGCTCGGTGAGCCGGGCTGGGGGAGGGGAGGCTGCGCCCACACAGCCCTCCCCGGCCTCCCACGCCCCTTGGCAGGGACTTCAGAGCCAGGGACCTACAGGGCAGTGACGGCCAGAGGCCTCACCCGCCCTCGCTGGCCTCCCTCCCGCCTGCCTCCCCGGCCCTTGGCAGCACAGGGGGAGGCAGAACCTCCTCTGGCCTCCTGTGCTGACCCAGGTTCAAACCCTGGCTCCGCCCCATGTGACTTTCACGGGACCGTCACCAGTTCTGGCCTCCGTTTCCTGCTCTGCAAAATGGGCCCACGGTCCATGCTCCAGGCGGGACACTCCTTCAAGGACATGATACAGGGAAAGATGTGAACACGGAGCCTGGCAGTGGCAGTGGCCGTAGGTCACAGCTGTGTATGATCAGTTCTCTCTTCTCTGACAGCTCTTGGCTGTAGGGCCGGACACACCTCACCATGTGGCCTGGGCAAGTGCTTCCCCTTCTCTGGGCCTCGGTGTTTTCATCTGTAAAATGGGGCGGTAATAAGCACCTGCCCCGAGAGTCCGTGTGAAGGCTGGCGAGGCCCGGGGGGGAGGGGGGAGAGGGAAGCTCCAGGTGTGCGTCGTAGGAGGCTGTCAGCATCAGGCTGGTGCCCAACGCTAGACAGAAAGAAAACGAGCCTATTTTGCCCTGGCCGTGTAGCTCTGTTGATTAGAGCGTCGTACTGATACTCCAGGGTTGTAGGTTCAATCCCAGGTCAGGGCAATCCAATGAATAGAAATAAGTGGAACAACAAATTGATCTCTCTCTTTCTCTCTCTCTCTCAAAACAAAGATAACATAAAACAGAAAATTATTTTATTTTTAAAAAATCTTTATTGTTGAAAGTATTACCCATGTCCCCTCCCCATTGGGCCCTTCTAGCCCGCCCCATCCTCTACCCCAGGCCTTCACCACCCTATTGTCTGTGCATATTAACGCATAATAATCTGGCCACTCAGTGTACATCCTATATAATAAAAGGCTAATATGCAAATCGTTCAATCAGCAGGCAGGCCAACCACCCATGTCCCCTCCCCCTGGCCAGGCTGGGCGGACCCCACCCATGCACAAATTCATGCATCCGGCCTCTAACATAGGGGCCAGATTGTTGTGTGTTCAGAGATCACAATAATCTGGCCACTCAGATTATACACACACACACACACACACACACACAGACACAGACACAGACACAGACACAGACATAGACATAGATATATATATATATATATATATATATATATACACACACACACATATATATGAGAAAAAATTTTAAAAATAGAAAATTATTTTTAAATAGAAGACCTTGGTCTAGGGTTGCCCGGTAAAACGCAGGACTCCCAGTGATGTGGGAATGTCAGATGAATGATGCATTTTATGTCTAGTATCAGGGTGCCCCACTCAGCATTTGGGAATTATACTAAAAGCGATCTGTTGTTTATTTGAAATTCCAGCCTCAGGGGGCATCCTGTGTTTGCAGGAGGGACTCTGACAGCCCCCCTGGGCCCAGCCTGAGCCGCACAGGGCGTCAGGGCCCGGCCAGGACGGCAGAGAGGTGGTTCGCACAGCCCGGCGGTGCCAGGTACGCCGCCGGGACCGGACCTGGGCGGTGTCAGCAGTTGTTTATGGAGCTTGTGCTTTCCCAGCACCAGGCGCTCCGGGGGCTTTAGCGCATTAACTCCGTTAACTTCCTCCCTAGGGAGTGGGCCCCTGCTTCCTTCCCATTCGGCAGAGGAGGCGGCTGAGCCTGCGGGTGGGAGTGAGGTGGGGCCGCCTCCCCATGCACAGCCCCGCACAGCCCGCACCCACCCGGCCCTCTCACAGGACCTCCCCGGCCAGAGCGACCGCTGCCCCCCTCCCCTCCCGCATCCTCCAGGCCAAGGGGCAGGTGGGAGGGGGTGGGGGTGGGCCTGCCGGGAGGTCTCTGACCCCTGCCCCGCTCCAAGGTCAGCCAGACTGTTTGCTGTTTGCTTCTTGCAATGTTTGCCCACCTCGGGGCCAGGAACAGGCTGAAGGTCGGTGGTTCAGGGTGGACCTCAGAGGCAGCTCAAAAACAACCGCGGGGTGGGGGGGCGCGGGGGGGACACTGGGGCAGAGAGGTCGTGAGGAAGGTGTGGGGGTTGGGGTTTGCTAGTGGTAGGCAGACCCGCTGAAAGGTGAGGCAGAGGCCGGAGAGCAGGACACGGGCTTTATTGGAGGGGAGGGACCTGCCGGGCTGGCTGCCTCCCACAGGAAGCGAGCACACCTGCAGGGGTGAAGGCACCTTTTGGGGGGGGTTGGGACGAGAAGGGGGGGGCTTAGGGCACTCGGCGCGCGCTGATTGGCGGTTTCCTGTAAGGCACATGATTAGGGACTTGGGGATGGGGGCTTAGGGTACTTGGCAGGTGCTGATGGGCGGTTCATGTACAGTCCACGGAAGGCGCCTGGTGAGGCGTCAGGAATGTCCAGGCTGCAGGTGCAGGTTATGTCATTCTCTGCCCATCAGTTGGGGGAAGGGAGAATCTATCACCTGCAGCCCCCGGACATGTGTCGGCCCCAAGTTTGAGGCTCTCTTCAAAAGCAGTGTGCCCCGGCCCCGCGTGGCTCAGTTGGTTGGTGTCTGGTCCCCATGCACCAAAAGGTTGCAGGTTCAATCCTGGGTCAGGGTATGTGTGGGAGGCAACAGATGGATATTTTTCTCTTATATACATTGATCTCTCTATCTATCTATCTTCCTCTCTAAGCATGTTCTTGGGTGGAGATTTTTAAAAAAGAAGAAAAGAAATTGGCTGTAAAGTGCTAGAGAAATAGCCAAATTGTTCAAATATACTCTCTTTATTTTTATTATTTAAATATATTTCGTTGATTTTTTAAATTTTATTTATTTTTGCAGAGAAGAAGGGAGAGGGATAGAGAGTTAGAAACATCGAGGAGAGAGAAACATTGATCAACTACCTCCCACACACCCCCTACTGGGGATGTGCCCGCAACCAAGGTACATGCCCTTGACCGGAATCAAACCTGGGACCCTTCAGTCCGCAGACCGACGCTCTATCCGCTGAGCCAAACTAGTTAGGGCCAAAATATACTCTTTTTAAACAAAATTTAAATTCCTTATTGTTTAAAGTATTACATAGTATTACATATGTCTCCTTTTCCACCCTCCCATTGACCTCTCCGCAGCCACCCCCACCCCCCAGCACATGCCCTCACCCCTGACTGTCTGTGTCCATGGGTTAAGTTTATATGCATGCATACAAGGCCTTGGGTTGATCTCTTACCCTTCCCTGCCTTCCTTCTGAGATTGGACAGTCTGTTTGAAGCTTCTGTGTCTCTGGATCTATTTTTGTTCATCAGTTTATGTTGTTCAGAATATACATTTTTGCCGAGACCAGTTTGGTTCAATGGATAGAGCGTCAGCTTGGGGACTGAAGGGTCCCGGGTTCGATTCCGGTCAAGGGCATGTACCTTGGTTGCGGAAATATCCCCAGTAGGGGATGTGCAAGAGGCAGCTGATGGATGACTCTCTCACATCGATGTTTCTAGCTCTCTAGCTCTCTCCCTTCTTCTCTGTACAAAATCAATAAAAATATGTTTGTTTGTTTTTTTAAAAAGAATATACACTTTTTAAAAATATATTTTTATTGATTTCAGAGAGAAAGGGAGAGGGAGGAGATAGACACATCGATGATGAGAGAATCATTGATCAGCTGCCTCCTGCAGGCCCCCCATTGGGGATCAAGCCCACAGCCCGGGCATGTGCCCTGACCAGACTTGAATTCGGGACTCTTCAGGCTGCAGGCTGACGCTCTGTCCACTGAGCCAAACCGGCTGGGGCCAGAATAACCCACTGGCTAACTAACCCCCGCGCACTGCCTCATCCGGTTACTGTCTAATGAGGGACGTGGCAGGTGACACAGGGAAGGGGAAGGTGGGCTGAGGGAGAAGGGGGCCCCGGGACCCCACTGGGCTGTGACATCAGGCAAGTGGCCAGCCGACTGTCTCACTCCGTTTCTTCCTCTGAACCACAGGGTCAGCGAGAGTCCACGGAGTTTGCAAAAATGTCATGCTTAGTGTTTGTTCCGTGTTTCCAGATTTAGCACGTGTGTTTCACCAAATGTTATTATTTAAAAAAATATATATTTTATTGGTTTTTAAAGAGAGGAAGGGACAGGGATAGAGAGTTAGAAATATATATTTTTTTCATATATTTTATTGATTTTTTACAGAGAGGAAGAGAAAGGGATAGAGCGTTAAAAACATCGATGAGAGAGAAACATCCATCAGCTGCCTCTTGCACATCCCCCCACGGGGGATGTGCCTGCAACCAAGGTACATGCCCTTGACCAGAATCGAACCTGGGACCGTTCAGTCCGCAGGCCGACGCTCCACCCACTGAGCCGCACCGGTCAGGGCTCACCAAATATTACTGAGCCGCTGCATGTCGCGGGGGCACGGTGGTGACCAGCAGCCTTGGCCCTGTCCTCCTGGGGCTCACAGCGCAGGGGGGCGGGGGACGTGGGGGACAGACATCGCCAGAAGAGACAACCCAGACGGGGCAGGCCTGGGATACAGGGTTTGACTCAGCCCGGGGGTGAAGGAGGACTTCCTGGAGGAGGGGACCCCAACACGGAGACTTGGAGGGTGGAGATGGCCTGGGTCTCCTTCAGGGCCCGAGCCCAGGTCCCCCCTCGTTACCCACGGAGAGTGTAATGCGCACCTACTGTGCACACGCCGAGGACCAGCCAGGTCCTTTTTTGGGCAGCCCACCAGGGAAGACCTCCCCACCCAGGCTGGGGGTCCCGCCCCGTCCCCTCCTGGCGGTGTGACCTGGCACAAGGGGCCCAGCCCCCAAGGTTCGCTCGCGGATTCTCCTGAGATCACCAGGTCCAAAGTCCTGGGCACCGGAACCTGCTGCTCCTTTTCAAAGGCGCAACCCCACCCTGTCCCACAGCCCCTGTCCCACAGCCCCTGTCCCACAGCCCCTGCCCCACAGCCCCTGCCCCACAGCCCCTGCCCCGCAGGAAAGAGGGTTCTGGTTTCTCTATAGCATTTTTATTGCTGCTGGTGGTGGGAGGGAACGTGGGGCACAATGGAGGGGGGGGAAGGGGGATGTTAGAGCCCCCTCCTGGGGCGCAGCTGCCCTCCTGGCGTTCAGTTGAATGTTCTTTTAATTGCCTCCTTTGCTGAGTGGAATTGTTCCTCAATCCAGGACCTGTAGGGAGAGACGGGGTGGGGGTGGGGTGGGGGTGGAGGAGGGTGGGGAGAGGGGAGAGGGGTTGATGTCACTGTGTCTTGCCTCCTGGGATGTCCAAATCCCGCTCTTCTCCCCCTCACCCCCCCGCCCCCCGGGGATGAGGAAGAGCCCTGGGCTGAGTGGCCCAATTCCTGTGCCTCAGTTTCCCAGATGCACCAGAGCTCTTTAAAGTCAGAGCACTTAGCCTCGGCCTGGCTTTCAGGGCCTGCCGTCTCTTGATTCTTGCGTGTGTCCAAACCCGGGATCGAACCCCTGACCTCGGCGTACACGGAGGAGCTACCCAACCAGGGGCCGGACCTCAATTGAAAGTAAGTGTCCTCTCTTCCGAGAAGACCCAGCCCCCCAGCCTTTGATTGTTTACACACACCCTGTTTACCTCCTCAATGCCGGCCTTGTCTGCGCGGATTCTGGGAATTCACCGATTTTGCCTTTGTTCCCCAGCCCTCAGCCCGCCCCCAGAAGGTCAGAGCTCCGAGGGCTCACTATTACTCCCCCCGCTGGAATAGTTCCTGGCACTTAGCTGCTGCCCAACAGACATTTGTTCAGGAATAAGTGATTCTCACCAAAACGCCGGGTGGGGCATTTACAATGTGCCAGGCGCTCTGTGGGGGCTCCGGTGGCCTTCCCCTCAGAACCACCCATTTTACAGATGAGAAAACTGAGGCTTGTGCTCACACCGTGAGTCTCTGCCAACCTGCGGTCCCAGATCCGTCCAACCCCCCAAACTTGGATCCTTCACCACCACCCAGCACCCTCTCTCCAGTCCGGCTGGCTGGGAGTGTCAGGAAACCTGCCCCCCAAGTCTGAACACCCTGAGGTCCTGCTGTGTGACCGAAGGGATCTCGTCGCTTTCCCCAGTCTGTTCATGGGCCCCCCCGCCCGCCCCCGGGGAAGGGTCCTAACCAGGCGGCGGTGCTTTTGATTTTGTTAAGGGCTGCCATGACCTTCTCCTCCAGGTCTTTCCGGATGCTGGAGTCCTCGGCCTGGGCCGGAGCTGGGCCTGCCGGGAGAGAGGGCGAGCTTCCAGGGACGGAAAGAGAGACCCTTGGGTGTGATCCTTGGGGATCGCGGGGTTAGGATGGGCGGGGAGGGTCCTGGAGGGACCAGCTGGCGTTGGAGCTGCGGAGGACGGCCGCCTGCTGAGAGGACCCCCGAGGACCCACCTGGCCGGGTGTAGTGGGGGTGATCAGTGGGCAACTGGGGAACCAGGGCTCCGGAGGGGCCCCAGAGATCTCAGGGTCCTCTAATCCCGGATCCCAGGTCCTTGGCAGCTTCATGCTCCCCAATCCCGATCCCAAGCCCCGGATTCTCCCACGTTTACCTTCCAAAACCATCAGCAGAGCCACCGCCAGGACCGAGAGCGACAGGAGGAGCTTCATGGCTGGGCCGGAGGGCACTCTGGAGGGAGAGGTGGGTGATCAGTGGCGCCCCTCCCCCTCCCCCAAGGTCCTCCCCGCCTTTCCTGGTGCCCTTGGTGTGTGGAGGGTCCCCCTGGGGCACTGAGCACCAACCTGATGCAGTTGCTGGACAGCGAGGGTAGCAGGTCCCAGGCTGGCCTGGCCTTTATGGTCCCGGGAGGGGGCGGGGCAGTTCCTCTCCCTCCCCCGGGCCTCCCCTGGAGCCCGCCTCCCTGTGCCAACACCTTGTCCTGTACACCCCTGCACCCCTGGCTGGTGGGGATGGGCGCCGGGTGGGACACGGGCAAGTCCCTCAGCCCGAAGCCTCCCGCTGCGCACGACCCTTCCCTCCAGATCTCCCTGAGTGTGGGGACCTCAGGGGCCTCCGGCCCCTCCCCTCCTGCTTCACCTGCCTCCCAGCCGCAGGGGGCCTCCCAGTAACTGCTACTGAGTCACCCCACTCACCGGGCCGCTCTCCCTTCCATCGCCTCCCTCTTCTAAGCCTCTTCAGCTCAAACAACTCTTGCTCTATGTCTGGGGGGTCCACCCACGCCCCCTCCATTCACACTAGCCCGGTGGCTCCCAACCCTTCTTCGGCCATACCCCACCGAAGCACCCGGAAATCCTGATGCCCCCCTGTGACATATCCTTTTTCTTTTCTTTTTTTTCTTAGCATGAAACATTTTTACTTTATGAAGTTCAGTATTCTGGTGTATATATAAGCAAAACCATCTTTCCATATACTTCTTATTATTCAAAAATTGAGCTCCTGCCAAAACCGGTTTGGCTCAGTGGATAGAGCGTCGGCCTGCGGACTGAAAGGTCCCGGGTTCGATTCCGATCAAGGGCATGTACCTTGGTCGCGGGCACATCCCCAGCAAGGGGTGTGCAAGAGGCAGCTGGTCGATGATTCTCTCTCCTTGATGTTTCTAACTCTCTCTCCCTCTCTCTTCCTCTCTGTAAAAAAATCAATGAAATATATATTAAAAAGTGAGCTGTTCCCGGGGAGGGAGCCTAAAAGGCCATGAACTTGGTCTAAACAAGCTTCCAAGAACATGGCATCCGTGAAAAGAGAAAAATGAAAGAACGAAAGGACAGTTGAAGGACTGAGGAAGACATCACGAAGCAATTGTTTTAAAAAAAAATAATAGGAAGGGATATGAAAAAATAGCATGTAAAGTTTCAAAACATATAACAGAGGACTGAACTGCATAAATATGTCACGATATAGCCGAAACCGGTTTGGCTCAGTGGATAGAGCGTCGGCCTGAGGACTAAAAGGTCCCGGGTTCGATTCCGGTCAAGGGCACGTATTATACCTTGGTTGCGGGCACATCCCCAGTTTCTAGCACTCTATCCCTCTCTCTTCCTCTCTGTAAAAAAATCAATTAAAAAAAAACACGAAAAAAATATGTCACGATATATATATATATATATATATATATATATATATATATATATATATGGTGTGAAGCCCCTCGCACCATAAGAAATGCAAAGAGCTCACTGTTAATAAGAATTCGTTCTCAAATCGCCCCCCTAAAAAAGCAAATCGCCTCCCCTGGGGGGCGTGAGGGAGCCACTGCACCAGCCCTTCGAGCTCCCCATCGCCTGTCATCTGACCCGGCTCAGGCCTCCCTGGGGTCCTAACTGCATGGGCCCCAGCTCCGCTCTTGGGCGGGGTCTGTTCAGTCTCTCTAACCGGCAGCCCCTCCGCCAGGCTCCCCGGCCTCCATCACCCCGCCAGCGCCAGCCTCCCGGGGCCCTGGAAACACTCCACTGCTCTTCACCCTCGAGGGCCCGCCTGGCCCCAAGCCCCGCTGCCCCCGCCCCAGCCCAGCTCTACACCTGCCCCCCAAGGCTGGAGTCCAGAGCGGCCTCCCTCCTTCTCAGCCGCCTTTGACCGTCCGTGACCCCTGGCAGCTCAGGGGAGGGTGGCCCCGGGCCCCAGACTCTAGGTTGGCTGGCCTTGTGCCCTCACAACCACGTGTCAGCCCGGAGGGGGCGGTGAGGGGGATGGTTGTGAAAGGGACGCAGAGCCGGATCCTGGCAAGATTGCAACACGCCTCTGGCCAGCTCAGCAGCTTCCCGCCTGTCAGCCCCCGCCTCCCGCCTCCTGGCCCCTGCTTTCCTTGTGGGCCAGCGTCCCCGGACACCCACCCGCTGCCTGCCCTCCCTCCGGTCCGGCCCCGCGAGAGAAAGCTCTGCGTCTTCAGTCTCCTCCTCACCCCGGCTACAGGGACATCCGCTTACAGTGGGGAAACTGAGGCTCAGCCAAGAGCATTCAAAGGCGCAGTGAGGGGCTGAGTGTGGGGTCTCTTTGACCCCCCCTTCCCAGAATCCAAGCTGTCTCTCCAGATCCTCGCTGGGGTCAGCCCTCCGCTCAGTGCCCGCAGCACCCTTTGCCAGCCCTTGTCCCACCTCGTTTTTAAACTTTTTAATTGATTTTTAAATTATATATATATATATATATATATATAATTGATTTCAGAGAGGAAGGGAGAGATAGAAACATCAATGAGAGAATCATTGATCGACTGCCTCTCCTGCACACCCCCTACTGGGGATGGAGACCACAACCTGGGCATGTGCCTTTGAGGGGAATGGAACCCGGGACCCTTCAGTCCGCAGGCCGACGCTCTATCTGCTGAGCCAAACTGGCTTGGGGTGTTTTTTATTGATTTTAGAGAGGGAGGGAGAGGGATAGAGACAGAAACATATCGGCTGCCCCCCACCAGTGATGGAGCCCGCCCTGATCAGGAATGGATTCAGGATCTCTCGATTCCTGGGTCGACACTCACTGAACCACACTGGCTGGGCTGTCCCACCTCCTAGGACTGCCTGGGGCTGCAGTGAGTGGGAACCCTCCCTGCTCAGGTGTGTTCATGCATGGGAACTCAAAATTCCTCTCTTCAGATGGGAGACTGACGTGTCCTCCCCCATTGCCATTGGGGAAACGGACGCTCTGAGAGGGTTTGGCCCAGCTCCAGGCTTGGCTGGGAGGAGGCCCACTGCCCCTTCCCCTCCTCCATCAGCCCTGGGCGAGTGGACAGGCAGGCCCACCGTGAACACAAGCTCAGGCCCTGGCCTGGCCTTTGTGGTGGAGCCGGCTCCCGCTCTGGAGCCGGGCGTGGGAGAGAGCACCCGTGGCTCCAGCTCACCTCCAGCCCCTGGGCCACGGGCTGTGCAGACCCTCCCGGGGTTCCCCTCCCGCCTCCCTCCAGCCAGGACCCCGCGGCCAGGAGGGAAGGAATGAGATAAGGGCTGGGGACAAGAAGCACAGCTCAGAGTGAGGGACTTGTGAACCCAGAGGGAAGGAGAGGAGCAGAGGGCTGGAGTGAAACAATGGCGGAAGACAGAGCCTCACAGGGGAAGATGGAGGAGGGAGGAGCTGGGCTGGGGCAAGAGAAACAGAGGTGGGGAGAGAAAATAGAGGTGGAGGGACACAGGAAGCTGGAAAATGAGGCCTCTCAGTACACAGGGGCCAGGAGGGGCCAGGAGGGGCCAGGAGGCAGAACCAGGTGAGGCTGCTGGAGAAAGGGGAGAGACAATGAGGGGGGTAAAGATGGTGATCAGACGTCCCGATTTTTTTTTTTTTTAAAGAGGATTTCTTTCTTTTCTTTTTAAAATATATTTTATTGATTTTTTACAGAGAGGAAGGGAAAGGGATAGAAAGCCAGAAACATCAATGAGAGAGAAACATCAACCAGCTGCCTCCTGCACACCCCCTACCGGGGATGTGCCCACAACCAATGTACATGCCCCTGACCGGAATCGAACCTGGGACCCCCTCAGTCTGCAGACCGACACTCTATCCACTGGGCCAAACCGGTTTCGGCAGACATCCCGATTTTTTAACAATTTGGCCCGCGTCCCGAGGCGCTTTTAAAAAGCCCCGATCGGGGCCGTCCCGCCAAAAGCGGGGCGTCGGGTCACCTAATTAAGAGTGGCAGTGGTCTCGGGTCTTCCGAGTCCGGCAGCTCTAGGAGGCAGGTGTGAGGAGGCTGGGCCGACCTGGGCTCAGGGCAGGCTGGACCCCAGGGGAGGGCTTGTTCCAGAACCGTGCCTCAGGGACAGAATGGAAAGGGGCCGAGGAGAGAGAGAGAGGTTGGCAGAGACAGAAAGGGGAAAACCCCAGAGAGGCACAGGAGGACGCAGAGACAGAGCCAAAGCGGAGACCAAGACAGGGCTGGACACACATTCGGAGGGGACGGGACCGTGTGTGGCCGGGGCTGTAAGAAATCACTCAGGTGGCTGCAGCTGCTGTCAAGTTTGTGAGCCTTTATTAAGCCAGGGCCCCCCAGGGGGGCGGAGGGGGCAGGGACGGGGCCCCCGCGGGCTGGGAGAGGGGCATGGGGCCCACCGGGCGCGCGGCCGGCGCTCAGTGATTCTCGACGGGCAGTGCCGTGGGGCTGGCGCCCAGGGCCGACTGCACCTTCTCCACCAGCCCGGCCCACTGGCGCTGCATGTCTTGCACCAGCGGCTCGAACCAGCCCTTGAGGCGGGCCTGGAAGGCCTCGGCCTGCAGGCGCATCTGGTTGGCCTGCTCCTCCATCTTGGCCTGCAGCCCCTCCATCTGGTCGTGCATGTCGTCGAGGCGGTCGCGGGCGCGGGTGCCCATCGCATCCAGCTTTTCGCGCATCCGCTGGCTCCAGGCCTCCGCCCGCTCGCGCAGCGGCTGGCCCACGGTGAAGGCGCGCTGCTGCAGCGGCAGGAGGTGCTCGCGGAGGACGCCCGCCCCGCGCTCCGCGCCCTCGCGCGCCCCGACCCGGTAGAGCGCCAGGCGCTTCTGCAGGTCCTCGGCGTCGCGCAGCAGCCGCTTGCGCAGCTTGCGCAGCTGGGAGGTCAGGCGGCTCCGCAGCTCGTCGGAGTTCTGGCCCACCATGCTCTTCACCTCGTTGCGGTACTGGGTCAGGCGGGTGTGCACGTCCTGCATGTCCGACTCCAGGCGGGCCTGCGCCGCCTGCAGCTCCTTGGACAGGCGGGCGTGCGTCTCCTGGGTCATGGGGCCCAGCTGCGCCTCCAGCTCCTCCTTGTAGGCCTTCACCTCCCTCATGGTCTCCTCCATCAGCATCCTGCAGGCGGAGAGGGCGCCAGGGGGTGTGTGCGGAGAGAAGAAGGGGAAAGGTGGGTGGGGGAGGGCAAGAAGGGGACAGAGAAAGAGACAATAGAGAGACCCAAAAGAGGGAGAGGCCAAGAGGAGGGGACAGAGACAGCCAGGAGCAGAGAGGAGCAGACGGGCTAGAATGATGCTGGGAGGCAGGAGGGAACATCAGGGACAGGAAGAGATGAGGAGGATCAGAGAGCCGTTGGCCGAGAGTTCAACATGGCAAGCGGAAGCAAGCAATGAACAGACACCCCCCTGGCCCCCCAGGAGCTCCAGACCGGAACTGCCCGCCAGGAGGGCCCGGGGCGGGGCCGGGACACTCACGACAGTTCCTGGGAGACCTGGGTGCTGAGCAGCTCCTCCTGCATCTTGTTAGACAGCGCCTGCACCCAGCGCAGGTAGTCCCAGAAGCGGCCCAGCGCCTGCTCCCAGGGCTGGGTGGCCGGCCTCAGCTCTGGCTCCGCGGTTGGCCTGACAACCTCCTCCACTTCGGCCTGGCATCCTGCGCGGAGCAAGTGCATGGCCATCAAAGCCCCCTGCCCTCGTCACGCACCCAGTAGGTGCTTCCCAAGTGCTCTTGTGCTGCTTTAGAGCACTGATGGGTAGGGAGGGGTGGAAGGACGGCGGGTCTGTTTCCTCGCTGGACAAGCATTCACTGAGTGTCTGTGCGTGTGTGCTCCGTGCGGGGTGATGGAGGGTAATCACAGCGGACATGGATGTGGCCCTCACTATCCGCCTGACAACCATGCGTTAGAAGCTGTTAGAACTCTCTTGTGCGGATGGGAACAGTCGAGGCCCTGAGAGAGTAACAGCTGCTCGGAGCCCGCGGATGTCAGAAGAGGGCTCGGACCTGGGCCTCCTCTCAAGAGACCAGCAGAAGGGACGGGGGTAGATGGGGCCAGGGAAACCGGTGAGGATGGGAGGGGGCAGGGAGCCTGAGCCAGCACCATCCCATACCTGCCAGGAGCGTGACCAGCAACACAGCCCACAGGACCTTCATCGTCAGTGCCTTCAGTCTGGGGGGCGGGGAGACTGTCAATCAATAGCCAGTGGGGGCTCCTCCCACTTAGAGCCCCGCCCACTGGGTCTTGGACTTTAGGCCGCTCTTAACCCCAGACCCGCATCTTCCTAATCCCATCACAAACGTGTCCTACTGTCTGAGGTCCTCATTGTCTTCTCCTATCTCCTCAACCCCCGGCCACTCCGGCCAAAGTTCCGTCCTCCTCTCCCAGGGTTCAAACCCCCCCCTCCCCCCAGCTCCATGGGAGCCCAACGGGGCTTTCTAAATCCAGGCTCGCATTCCTTGCTCTCCCTTCACATTGCAAACCATCTCCACACCTAAGCGCCATATTAGCGACTATTAGCGAATGTAATCATTTAAAAGTCTTCCTTCAGCCAGTGCTCTAGCTACCCTGCCACCACCCTGAGCGGAAGCCTGAGGATGAAGGGGACACCCAGTAGGTGCTCAATAAATGGGTGACAATTTGTGGGCTCTTTCGATGGCTCCTCTGGTTTTTCCACAGGTCGATGCTCCCCCCCGCCCCACCTTCTGGCCCTTCTGGCCGATTTGGGATGCCCCTGTGCCCCTCCCCCACCCCCAGGTCCAGCTCCCCCGCCTCCAGACTCATCCCCAGACCCTGCTTTTTCTGGCTCAGACAGGACGGTCACCTCCTCCTCCCCAGTTTGTTCCCACAGAGGCCCTGAGCTGGTCTCTGTGCCCCCAATTCTGCTCCTCACCGACTGCTGAGCACCCGGTCCTTCTCCTCCGCTCGGGCTGAGTAGGACTCAGGGATCCCAGACTCCTCCAATTATAGGGCTCCCCGCCCCGCCCACTCCTCCAGGCTGGGGCAGCTGGGCCAGCCCCTAGTCACGAGGTGGGCTGTTCTCCCCTCCACACGGCCAGGAGGGGGAGGAGGTGGGGCTTGGAGGCTCTGGGATGCCCCCAGCCCCCAGGAGGGGAGGTGACATCTCACCCAGAAACTCGGCGCCCTCAATTCTGTGGGGTAGGGCAGGCGAGGGGAAGGAGCCAGCAGCCGCCGCCGGTGAATAAAGTTTGGGGAGGGGGCTGGGGCTTGGACTCCCGGGTCTGAGGGAGGAGAGCTGGGGACATGCGGTGCCCCCGCTGAAAGCCTCGGCTGAGAATGGAACCTGGGTCCCAGCCGAACTCCCTCTGGCCGTGACCTTGGGCACAGATGCGTCCATTCAGAGGCCAGCACAGGCACTGTGGATCCCAGCCGCCCGAATGTCATGCCTCCGCCGGCTCGGAGCTTTCATGCTGCCGTTAGGGCGGGAGACGCTGGAACCAAACTGCCCAGCCTGAAGTGGGCTGCCCCTCGCCAGCTGTGTGCGACCTTGGGCAAATGACCAAGCCTCTCTGAACACCCAGTTTCTGGTCCACATAACGGGGAACAACTGCACTTACACCATCGGTCAGTGACGCAAGAAGCTACATATGTCCTCACGTAACCTCGTCAACAGACGGCCCTTGGAACTGCGGCAGAATGTTTGACAAGCGCTTTACCGGGGGCTCGTTCAGTTCCTACAGCATCTCATCAGAATAACAAGGAAATGGCCAAGACGCCGAGTACCCCCGCACTCCGTGTGAAGTACCGAGCACCTCGCACACAGCGGGTCTTATCCTAACCTCACCGCTGCCAGCAGCTGTTGTTTCAGTTAAGACAGATGGTGAGGCCACACAGGGAGAACTGGAACTGGATTCCACGGGGTCAGGAAGGAGGCCTCGGAGTGGACAGGGAATGCGTGCTGCGGATTTCCAGGCAGTAAGGATCCATTTCTGCTCAGCGACCTCCCTCCCCGAACCCTAGGTGTGTGGGGGCAGACAGGGTCTTCAGTTCCCTTAGGAGTCGGGGTGTTTACCGGAGCCCTAGGTGGGCCAACTGACCTCCCCGTCAGATACCCGAGACACAGGCGGCCCAACCTGCCTCCCCCACTCAACCCTGAACTCATGCCGTCCCCCCGTTTTTCCCGTCGCCGTCATCAGGTATTAGATTTGCACATATTTCTCCCGCTGTATGGGTTCTTTTTCTTGGTGACCTTTAAAGCACAAATATTTTTGCCATTTGAAGTGCAGTTTCTTTTGTTCTTTGTCAGAGTGATTCTGAAGTGTCTCCAGGTGCCTGCATTCTTCAGGAAGCCTCTCCCTCCCCAGCAGAAAGCCCCGTCTGCCCTTTTCGGAATCTGGAAAGCCCCCCTCTCCCCCTCCAAGTTCCAGCTCGCAGCCTCTCACCCTGACACGACAGTACCACTCCTGTTGCTTCACCTCCGAAGGCAAAGTCCCCCACAGCCTCTGGCCCGGCCAAGCGGGAGCCAGTGACCAGACTACACCCTCCGAGGCCTGTGATGTCCCAGGAGGCTGACCTGGGTCAGGCCCTTCCCCACGTTGGGCTCCCGTTAGCCAGGACCGACTCCCTTTCTGGGTCATCCTTCCATACCCAGCCCCGAGGCGCCCCCCTGTGGCCACCATAGGAAGAGCAGGCCGGATGGAGTGAACGGGTGCAGAGGCAGGAAAGGCAGGTCTCCCATTTTGTTTTTTTTTCCTCATGTATATTTTTTGTTTTTTGCTTTTTTTCTGTAAAATGTCCCAGTTCTTCCATAACTTATAAACATGATTTATACGGAGGAGTGGATGGGAAATGGTGGGGGCGGACCTGGGATGGGAAGCTCCTCTCCTTGCTGCCCCCTCGGGGCGGGGCCCGGATCTTGGGGGCGGTGGTGGTGATGCCCCAACACCTCCCTGAGGTTGTCTGGCAGCCTCTGCCCCTGGTGCTCAGAGCCTGGCGTACCCGATCCAGAACCCCTCCTGGGCCCAGGTCCACAGGGCACACAGCCCCCCGTGCTCCGAATCCTGAAGCGCCCGTGGCTCTAGAATTCCCCCCTCAGCTGCTGGGGTGATGGCCCCCTCCTTTCCGCGGCCCCCCTGACCACCAGGAGGGAGGGAAGGGAGGGAGGGGCGCGCAGGTCTCCCCGGCCGGTCGGGGAGGGCAGGGGGTCTCAGGAGGGAGGGAGTGGGAGGCAGGAGCAGGGGGGCTCAGCCGATGGTGAGGCCGAAGCCGCACTGGAACTTGTTCTTGCGGTGATTCAGGAAGGCCCCGAGGGCCAGCGTCAGGGGCAGGGGCGGCAGCTTCTTCTCCAGCGTGGCGCCCACGATCCAGTTGCTGTCTACGGAGCCTGTGGGCAGACAGCGCGCTGAGAGCCTGAGCCGGCCTCCCAGGGTCTGTGGTGCTCCAGGCCTCACCAGACCCCGCCACCGCGGGCTTCAGACCTGTGGCCACGCTGTTCCCAGAAACCTCTTCCTGCGCCCCAAGTGCTTCAGCCTAGGAGGCCCTCTGCCCCCCCTGGGCTCCCCTATTCAGTCCCGTCCACACCAGGTCCTCGCTCTTGCGGACGGGTCTGTTCTCCCCGTGTGATCCCCGAGGACAGGCCGTCCCAGCGCCCTCAGCACAGCTCGGGCACAGTGGCCGCTGAATGGAAGACTGAACGGGCCCAGCCAGGTGTAGCTCAGCGATTCAGCGCTGACCCAAGAGGTCACTGGTTTGATTCCTGGTCAGGGCACATGCCCAGGTTGCGGGCTCAATCCCCAGTGGGGGGTGCGCAGGAGGCAGCTGATTAATGATTCTCTCTCATTACTGTTTCTATCTCCCCCTTCCTCGCTGAAATAAAAAATATATTAAAAAAGAAAAAGCCTGCCCATCCCCGGGCTTGCTCACTGGAGCTAGTGATGTGCACCTGCCAGTGTCCCCCGTGTGAGAGGAGGCTCACTGGCTTCACGGGGCAAACCTGGGACCCCAGCCGCCTCTGCAAGAGCAAGGGCCGAGAGGCTAGAGGCGCAGGAACCCCTGGGCCTCGTCTCTGCTGGCAGCAGCGGCCTTCGGGGTGTCTTCATACCCTCCACCCAGAACCACTGAGGCCCAAGAGACTTAAACCCGACACCAGGACGAGGCGGGCACTGCAGGGGGTCGGGTCTGGCAGTGACTCCAGCCTCCAGCAGCCTCGTTGTGAAGAGTGGGTGGCCGGATGTGCTCCAGCTGCCGTCCACTTCCGGAAAAAGGGAGATGGGGGAGGGGGGCTGGCTGGGGGGGGGGGGGGAGTAGTAGGGACAAAGCTTAGGCCCAGGTGATTTGAAGGCCCTCAACAGTCCCGGCATGATGCCCTTCACCGTCTCCTTGGCCTACACCCACTCATGTGGGGAAACTGAGGCCTGTACCTTTGAAGAGGAGGTTGGCCTTGGGCAAGTCCAGCTGGTACCCGAAGGAGACACTCGTGTCCTGCATCCTTGTGCTGGCCTCAAACTCCACGCCGACCTGCAGCTGGAGGGGCCAGGGCAACAGGGTCAGCACCCCAGACCGGACGCCCCGGCACACCAGCCCTGGCGGCCCACGCCTGGCAGTGCCCTTGCAGCTCACCTGGTCACTGGCTTTGTGGTAGTACGTTGCGTGCATGCCCGCCTGGCCCAACGTCACTGTCGCCAACCAGTTGTTCACTGTAAGAGAGCGTGTGGGGTGGGGGTAGGTTACCAAGGAGACACGAGAACCCAGGACCCCTCCCTCGGACCCAGGAGTCCCAGGCCCAGCCCCACTCCCACCCTCGGGCCCAGACTCACACGTGTACTTCCCAGCTAGAGACATGACGGTACCCTCCTCCCCAGGCCGCCGGTGGTAGACCAGCTCTCCGCCCAGCGCCAGACACGGCGTGATGCTCTGGAGGTAGTGGGCCACGAGGATGCCTGTGGGGGAGACGGCAGGTGTCACGGGGGCGGTGGTCCGTTTCTACCCAGCCGGGTGCTGGCCGGACCCCTGCTCCCGTGGCCTGGAAGGCAGGCCCCTGCCGGAGGCTCAGGGCCCACCCCCAGCCCCCATCTGCTGCTCCGTGGAGCTCACAGGCCGAGTGAGGTCGGCCTCCCAGACCCCGTGGGACCTCACTGGTCTGCACAACCCCGTACGGCCGCATGCAATCGCCACCATTTGCAGGAGAGGCCGAGGGAGCGAAGTCCCTCAGCCACGGCCACAAGATGTGCGAGACCACTCTGCTGCCGGGCCTGGCAGGGTGGAGGGTGAGAGCGCTGCAGCCCACCACTCAGCTGTACCCACGGGCGATGGCGTCACTTCTCAGTGAAGCGCTTGGAGGAGTGGGTGTGGCCGCAGCGTAGAGCGCGCCCAGTGCTCACTACACTGACCCTCCACCCTCGGCAGCAGGGACCCTGGCAGCCCCGGCAGCATTTGCTAGCAGATGGCTCTCCATTGCTGGACTGCATTCCTCAGCCACGGCCGGGGCTCATTCATGCCTGTCTTTACAGCGGCCCCACACACGTGATCTTATGGGAGGGGGAGAACCAGGGGAGGCAGGGAGTGACAGGGAAACAGACACCGACAGAGGCAGGGAAGAGAGGGCAAAGGGATGGAAGAGTCTCTGCAGAGAAACCCACCAAGACTGAGCAGAGACAGGCCGTGAAGTCATGTGACCCAACAGGAAACAGGAAGACCCCGTAGGGGAAAGCGGGACAGGACAGAGCAGGATGCTGCTTCTCAGAGAAAATCAATCAGATACACAGACTCAAACTGGCCATGGGAGCGGGGCAGAAATGAGGGGGGGTAGGGAGGACCACGATCAGTGAGTGGGCACATTTGGGAAGGGGCTGCCAGTGAGGCTAAGGCAGTGGTAGGAAACTGCGGCTCTGTTGACTGAGTTTGCCGACCACTGGGATAGGGGCTTAATCACAAGGAACAACAGCCTGTAATTATTGGAATGGAGTGTCTAGGTCAGTGGTCGACAAACTCATTAGTCAACAGAGCGACAAATCACGGCTCGCAAGCCACAGTTTGCCGACCACTGGGCTAAGGGAAGCCAACGGTCCATGGCAGGCCCCAGGTGGTGTCTTCTGGGGAGGCTGGGGCCATGGCCACTGTGTGCACTTCTCACAACAAGCAGATGATACAGTCAGCCCAGAGCCGGCATTAACATTACCAGCACACCTCTGGCCGGGAACATCCTTACTCAGAGGGAAACTGAGGCCAACAGAATGAAAAGTGACTGGCTAGATCAGGGGTGGAGAACCTTTTAGTGCCAAGGGCCATTGGATCTTTATAACATCATTCTCAGGTCACATAAAATTATCAGCTTAGCTGATACCGGTTTGGCTCAGTGGTAGAGCGTCGGTCTGCGGACTGAAAGGTCCCAGGTTCGATTCCGGTCAAGGGCATGTACATTGGTTGTGGGCACATCCCCAGTAGGGGGTGTGCAAGAGGCAGCTGGTCGATATTTCTCTCTCATCGATGTTTCTAGCTCTCTATCTCTCTCCCTTCCTCTCTGTAAAAAATCAATAAAATATATATTTTTAAAAATTACCAGCTTAAAATTTAGCCTGGTGCCCAGCCAGGGTGGCTCAGTGGTTGAGCATTGACCTATAAATCAGGAGGTCAGTTTGATTCCTGGTCAGGGCACATGTCCAATTTGGGGCCTCAGTCCTGAGAGGGGGTGTGCAGGAGGCAGCCAATCAATGATTTTCTCTCATCACTGAGGTTTCTCCCTTTCCCTCTCTGAAATCAACAAAAAGGTATTTAAAAATAATTAGCCTGCTATATTTGGTTAAACATTGAACTCACGCCTAATGCCTTGGCAGGGCCAGACCAAATGATTCTTGGGCCTTATATGGCCCACGGGCTGGACACCCCCACCTGTGGCCTTGAGTAGCAGAGGGCCTAAAACTCACTGGCCTCTCAGGTCTGCCAACTGCTGGACTGAGGACCGTGTACCCCTGAGCCTCTCTCCAGCTCTCCCTCCTCCCATCTCCTGGGTCTGCCTTGTCCCTTGATGCCTAGCTCCACCCTCCTCCCTGGGCTGCCTGAGCCTCACCCTCTCCCAGCAACTCACAGAGGGGTCCTGTAAAGCACCAACTCCACCCCGTCCTCCCCTGCTCAGAGCCTGTGCGGCTCCCCCTGGGCTCGGCCCCACTTCCTCCCTCACACAGCCGGGCACACGTGCACTAGGCTGCCATCCCATCCCCAGGGGACTCTGGCGCTCCCCCACTCCGGTCCCCGCTCCCACCACTCCTGCCATCACGGGAACGCCAATCCTGTGGTCTCACTGACGCCTCGCTCCGTCCCCACGTGCCCCGCGGGACCTGGCTGTTCCCTTGCCGCACTCCCGTCCCTGCTCCCCAAGCGCACATCCTGGGCCTCTGGCCCGTGGCCCTCTTCCTCCCAGAGCCGCACACTCCCTGGGCAGGATTCACCTCCTCCGCCAACATCTCACTCCTTCCCATCTCTCCCCTCACCCCCTCAGCCAGACCCCACCCCTCTCCGCCCCCCGTGGCACGTGAGTTGCCTGAGCCAGGGCTTGGCCGAGACCAGCAGCTCACCTGGACGCGACGCATCCTGCAGGGCCTACAGCAGCCACGAGGCGCCCAGCGAGTCCATAACCCGCGAGGAGAGAAAGTGGGTCAGGTTTGTGAGACCAAAGAGCAGGCCTCTGGCAAGGGCAGAGCTGCCAACCTGGGAGAAAGTCCCGTCTCCTGATCCACCTCCCGAACCTGCTGGGCAGGGGCAGTGCCGGCTCCCACCCCCGGACCTTGGCTCTGCGCGGCGGCGGCCACGCCGGGACTCCTGGGGAAGGCCCTGGGCAGGACCTGAAGGGAAGGTGGTTCTCGGCGGCCCCGCCCCGCACAGGCCTCCTTTCTGCACCGCCTGCCCCCCATGCTCCCGAGCACCACCCTCCCCCTCCCCCTCCCCCTCGCTCGCTCGGACAGACTGGGCCGTTCAGGGGAGCTGTCTGTCCCTCCAGGCGAGACAGCTGGCGCCTGTCCCAAGTTCTTGCAGCGACCTGAGCTTTCCTGAGCAGGATTCCCCAACAGCAGCAGCCACTGTGATCATCTGCTTAAAGGCCAATGTGTCTCCCTCTGGCCCAGGGCCCTGCGAGGGCAGGGGGGAGGGGTGTGTGTGTCTCAGCCCCTGCTGCTCCCACACACCAGGTGCTTCGCATGACACAGAAGCTCCTGAGGAGCCTCGGCCCTGGGGAGGGAACCAGGTAAGAACCCGGGCCCCTGAATGAGGCCGCGATTCACGTTCCAGCTCCTCGGGGTCCAGGCAATTTGATTCCACTCAGGCCCGTTTTCTCATCAGTGAAATGGGGCCATAAAAAGACACCCCAAAAACAAGACACCCCCGCCCTCCGCCCGTTGCGGGGTGGCACTGAGACAGAGCGAGCCCTGCCCACCCCCTGGCCGGAGCTTAGCACTGAAGATGTGCCCAAGCTCTCCTCAGTGAGAGGTGGTCAAACGAGGAAACTGAGGCTCAGCCCAAGCCGTGGGTGGCAAGTTACTCCTGTGCTCAGCAGTAGGTCCTGTTTTTATTAGTCTGAGGGGGAGGGCGGGGCTGGGAGCCAGTGCTGGGAGGGTGTGCGGGGGAAGGAGGTGCTGATACCAGAGGGAAAAGCATGGACTCTGGCATCCGACCTGCTGCGTCCTCTGGGAACCGCCTCCCCTCTCTGGGCCTCAGTGAGAGGGGGGCGGTGGCAGCACCGACCCCCCGGGCCGTCCAGAGGATCCGGGAGCTATTGCCTTCCTGCTGCTCCCGGCTTGACAGAGGCTGAGGGAACGGATGGGACCTGCCATCACGCCGCTCACTCCTCTGCTCAGCGTTTCCTGGGCACCTGTTCTGGCCCCAGCACCGTCCCCGGTGCTGGCACTCAGCAGGCAAGTTCCTGACATCCTAGCGTAGGAGACAGACAGGCAATAAAGACTGAGACAGCCCTAGCTGGTATGGCTCAGTGGATAGAGCGTCAGCCTGTGGACTGAAAGGTCCTGGGTTCGATTCCGACCAAGGGCATATGCCCGGGTTGCAGGGTGGATTCCCAATGTGGGGCATGCAGGAGGCAGCCGATCCATGATTCTCTCTGATCATTCATTGGTGTTTCTATTTCTCTCTCCCTTTCCCTTCCTCTCTGAAATCGTAAAAATAAAAGAGTGAGACAATTCAGAGGGAAGTGCCATAAAGACTATGGGACAGGGTGAGGCAACACTACAGACATAGGTACATTCTGGTTCATACGTCAACATCCAACCACCAAGCACACCAGCCGGGGCAGCAGGAAGGCAATAGCTCCCGGATCCTCTGAACGGCCCGTGGGGTCGGTGCTGCCGCTGTCCCCCCCTCACTGAGGCCCAGAGAGGAGAGGCGGTTCCCAGGAGGTCACGGCACATGCCCGGGTTGTGGGCTCAATTCCCAGTAGGGGACGTGCAGAAGGCAGCTGATCAATGATTCTATCATTGATGCTTCTCTCTCCCCCTTCCTCTCTGAAATCAGTAAAAAGTGTGTACATGTGTAAAGGTCCTGGGGTAGAAAGAACAGTGATTCTAGGAAGTGTCAGAAAAACTCACATGGCCCAGCTGCAGGGGGGTGATGCCATCAGAGGTCAGAGGGACAGAAACGTTTCTTCCTGCCCCCGGCCCGCATTCCCCCCTCGGAGGAAGCTTCACCTAAGGGCCTCTCATGCCAGCTTCCCAGCTCCTGAGTGGCCTTCCCCACCCTTCCCCGCTGCTCCCATCTCCTGCCGGGAGCTTCTCTTCATTTGGAAGCTCAGAGGCGATGCCTCTTCTGAGGCTCCTTAGCCTGACAGGCAGAAGGCAGGCGCGCTCGGGCCCTCCCAAGGCTCCCGGCGCCGCCTTCATAAAAGCCCTCAGGACTCCCTGCCCCGGAGCACACTGTCGTGACCCATCAAAGGCAGGAATCACCAACTCCATCCTTCCAGCTGGTCAAGCCCAAAACTCGGAGTCGTCTGGATCCTCTTGTATCTCCCATGCCCAACCTACTAGCAAACTCCGGCGCCTCCACATTGAAAGCACAGCCGGACTCGACCACTTCTCACCCCTCCACTGCCCCTGCAGCGGTCCCTCACCTGTCAGCCCAAGGGATCCTGTTACCGTGCTTCCCCGAAAATAAAACCTAGCGCATGGAAAGATAAGACATCCCCTGAAAATAAGACCTAGTGCAACTTTGGGAGAAAAAATTAATATAAGACACTGTCTTATTTTCGGGGAAACAGGGTAGAAGCCAAGTCACATCCTGTCTTATCAAATGCCTCCGGTAGCCAAACTTTCACATGGCCTTGTGTGATCTGGTCCCCGGACCCCTAACCCTCACACTCACCCTCCTCCTTCATCCACGGCAGCCACTCTCCTCCTCTGTGTTCCAGTCAAGGGTCCTGCCTCAGTGCCTTTGCACTTGCTGTTTCCCCTTTCCACATAACTGCTTGGAAGCCTTGTGCCTGCCTGCCCTCAGTCTTTGTTCAAATACCATCTACGTAATGAGGCCTTCTCTGAGGACTCCATCCAACCCTCCTGAGACCCGAATCTTTCTGTTCGTCTCCATCGCCTGACATCACTCTGTATGGATGCTGTACCTGGGTGTGCCTCCCCTACGATGGGAGCTCCCACAGGCAGACTTAACTCTCCTTTGTTCAGCATCTTATCCTGAGCCTACAACACACACGCACACAATCAATATATACCCACTCGATAAATGTAAAGAAACCAAAGGCAGACACCAGAGACAAAAAACAAAATGCACACAAAAGCCCGGCTGGAGGTTCAGTGGTTAGAACGCCAGCCTTCAGATCGAAGGTTCTATTCCCAGTCAAGGACATATACCCGAGTTGCAGGTTCAATCCCAGGCCTTGTTGGCAACCAATCAATGTGTCTCTCTAACACGGATGTTTCTTGTTCTCTTTCCCGTTCCCCCTCCCTAAAAATCAATGGGAAAAAATGTCCTCGGTTTAACAACAAAACACCCACCCACCCACACCCACAAGCAAACAATGGAGAAGCTAGAAGCGGAGACGGAGCCCAGTGGTTCCTGCCCCGGCCAACCCAAACCAGGCACTTCCCTCGCCGGTCTCCGCATCTCAGACCGTCTCCTTCCTAACTGCAGGTGGAGCCTGCCGCCCTGGGAGCCGCTCTGTGCCTCACACACCACGAGGCCCCACGAGTTAATAACAGCAGCTCATTTCCTCGGGATCCACGATCACATGCCTGACCCTCTGAAGCATCTCACACACATAAACCTACTCAGTGGCCCCGTGAGGCAGCCCGATTTTATGGGCAAGACAATGAGGCCCCGAGGTGCTGAAGCCGCCTTCCAGTGCAGTGAGGCCAGCGCAGCGCTGGGCTTTGACTCTGCTTCCTCTCCCACGAGGCTGTGCTGCAAAACCCCTCCTGCCTGTGCCCACCTCTCGGAGGGCAGGAAGGAGGCACAGAGGAGGGGACGGACTTGGACTTGGTAAAGCTGGGACTAGGTTATGATCCCTCCCACCCCACCTCTTACCTGAACCCACCAGGACGTCTGGGTTCCCGAGGGTGACGGCTGCTGTGAAGTCAGAGCCCCGGTACTCCCCATCCACCTGCCAGTTCACAAACTTGGACTGCTGCGTCTGTGGGGAGGAAGGGAGGGTGAGGGCAGCCTGGCGCTCAGGGGGGCTGGGGGAGCAGGTGACTCGATGCCCACTCACCTGGATGGCCATCTTGGACCTGAGGCCGGGGCCCAGCTGGTGAATGACCTGAGCATTGAGGCTGCCACTGTTGTCCATGTCGCCAACCAACACGGGGAATGCCTGTGAGGCAGAGGGGAAGGTAAGGTAAGAGGTTAAAGGTCAGAGGCCTAGCATTATGGAAGAGCATAAGTGATGGGCCCAGGTGAAAAGCTCAGACTCAGAAAGCCTCAGTTGGAAGGCCCCCCTCTGGGCTCCCACAGCCTTTGGGTTCAGCCCCGCCCACCTTGGACTGCCCCTCCCGGGAGCAGACTGCCCCTCTTCACTAGGCTGTGAGCCCACAGCCTGTCACTGCTGTGTCCCCTGCAGAGAGCTAGACACAGAATGGAGGGACAACGAAGGTTTGCTGACTAAGTGCGCCTATTGAATGGAACCAGTTAACGAATTCAGTCTCCTAACTCCACCTGATCCTGCCCCAATCTCCTTCCAGGCCCCCCGTTTTGCCCCCACTCCCCTAACTTAGCTTCTGCACGCCATCCCAAAAGACACTTCTAAAGCATAAACCTGACCATGACCTTCCCCAGTTCAAATCTCTCCATAGCTCTCTAGTGCCCCCTAGAGAAAGTCCAAATGCCTAGTTTGGCATTCAAAGCCTCAGGCAACACAAGATTGGGCAGAGAGCAGGAGTTCAGGATGAAGGACCCCCATTCCAATGCACCTTGGAGAGAGACAGTCCCCTCACAGCACCCTCCGCGGCTCTGGCTTCTTCCTGACAAAGCCTTCTGGCGTTCGGCTACATACTCGTTAGAAGAATGACACAATGAATGAAATGACAAGAACCTCACCTCTGTGGGACTCAGCTGCTTTGTCCCCACGTACGTTACCCCGAAATGGTAGTTGGACTCCCCGATTGTGCTGAGGGCTACTGTGTGGTTCACCTGAGAGAAGAGGGAGGGCTGTGGGGATGAAGCTGTAGGCCACCCCCCCCATCATCCCAGCTGAGCCCACCGCCAGCACAGCTCCCCTCCAGCCTGGGATGGGGGACATTTGCCTGTTGGGTTTCCCAATCCAGGAGGAAAAGACCAGCATCTCTTGGCTGGGAGCCTGGAGCTAAGACTCAAAGGTGTGGCTGGACTAGATTTGGAGAAAGAATGCGCTGGGGGGTGGACTACATACCTGGCATTTCATTCTACCTGGATGCTAGGGGGGAAGGGGTATCTCTGAATTCTGGGTCCCTAAACACCACCGCTGAGAAGTCAGCCTGACACTGTCTCTGGGTCTTTTCAAGTACCAAGGAGCCCAGCCCTTCGGGAAGGAGCAAGGGGGTTGTATGCCAAGGTGCAGGGGGTGGCTGGGTGACCTCAGGAGGCAGGGAGGCTCACCTGGAAATGGTTACTCAACCCTTTGTTGACTGTGAGCTTGACACCTTCCATCTGAATAGGAAACAGCTCTGAAGAAGAGAAATACTGTCACCCACGCTCACACCCACCTCTCATCTCAGCTCTCCCGTCTCCAAGGAACCACAGCACAATGGTCCCACAAAGTATCCAACCAGTAAAACGGCAGGATGGCCTGATGGACGGGGCCAAGACCAGGGCCTCTGCCTGCGTCCAAATCCCACTACTGTGTGCCTTTGGTAAGTTTCTTTATCCTTGTCAAACCTGTCATCTGCCAGACAACACTCACCACGTGGGAACATTGCAAAGACTTAACGAGTTAACATGCATTGAACGCCAGGGCAGAACGCAGTAAGTCTCCATCGTTTCTGCTACCACGATTCTCCCAAGCCAGAATCCAGAAGCTTTGGGGGCTCCGTCCCCACCAGACCCTCGCTGACACTGTGACCTTGGGCCTCAGTTTCTTTGCGGATCGCAGGAGGAGGCCGGCTAGGCCGATCCCTGGGGCTCCTAAGGCTTTTCTCCGCTCCTATGCCACTGCACTCCAAGGTTCCACCATTTGATCCCATCGTTCCAAGCCCCAAGTCCAATGTTCCACCACTCGATCCCAACGTCAACTCCCAACGCTGTTAAATAATTCCGGAAGCCGCTGCCAGTTCCCAAGGTTGCCTCAATGTACTCCCCCCCGTTCCCCGAGGTACAGGCCATCACGCACCCGCCGGGGCCCTCGCCCCTCACCCTTGCACTTCCGGTGGCACTCCTCGAACGTGCCGGGGTTGGGGAGACAGCCGCAGGCCCCATCGTCCGCGGTCCCTGCAGGCGTCCCGGGGGTCCGTTCGGAACCTCGACCCGCGCCGGCCCCAGCACCCAGGCCGCCCCCGAGCGGCGGCAGCGTGAAGCCCGGAGGAGAGGGGGGAGGCGGCGGCAGACCCACGAGGGCGGGTGCGGGCGGCGGCGGTGGCCCTGCGGGCGGCGAGCTAGCGGCCAACACGTTCCCCATGGTCGCCTGCAAGGGAAAAGGTCAGAGGGCGGAGGTCAGGGCCCGTGGCCCCGGGCCCAGTCCCCAGCCAATCCTCGCCCTGTTCTGGGGCCCGGTTCTCACTGGCGGCAGCGCCTGTTCCCGGCCTGGGCTCCGCTCCCACCCCGTGCGCCACGCGCAACCGAACCCACTGCCGCCGCCGCCGCCACCGTCGCCCCGCCCCGCCCCGCCTATTGGTTGAACATGCCCTGGGTTCCGCCCACTAGCTTCAGGGTCTGGCCCTGCTATTGGAGCCACGGATAAGAACCCACCCATTTCTTCGAAACGCCCTTTTTTATTGGCTCCCACTCGCAAGCAGGTTAAAGCACACCTGCCCGCCCTTCCCATTGACTTGTGGAGCCCGTGCCTATTGGTGTGCTACGCCGCGGGTTTCGGCTCTCCTTTACCATTGGTTTGTGCCGAGCACTTTGCAACGCCTCCTGACTCGTCGCCTCCGCCCCTCTTCGGAAGGCACGCCTCTTTCCACTGCGCCCGGCGGAGAAGTTGCCTTGATAATTGGCCGGCTTTGGCCCTTACAGCATTATGATTGGCTCCGGCAGGCACAGGTCCCGCCCTTGTGACATAATCAGACTGGTGCGCTCATTGGCTAACGTGCAGGGTCGAGGGACACGGGTAAAGGTGCGTTGCGCGGCAGAGGCTGCTAGGCAGCAAGGTCAGGCCTCGCGTCCCATCAGGCACCGCGGCAGAGGGGCAGGCCCCAGTCCGGAGTCAGCGAACGAGAACCGGAAGTTCTGGATTTTCCCACAGTGCATCGGGAGAATTCTAACCGGTTGTGTGAACCTTCGCCCGCTTCTTGTTACCCACAATGCTTTCCCTGTTTAACGCGACAGTTGCCGAAGACCCACCGATCTCTCGTTACCCATCATGCCTTCTGCCCCCTCCCCCCGGACCTGCGTCACTGCGGCTTCTATCTTTGGCCCATTCATTTCTGTCCCATTACCCAGCATGCCCCCGTCCCATTCATTTCAGTTTCACTGCCTGTACTACCTTTAGCACATTTCTGTCTGTGCACTTCCGACGTCCTTCTAGCCCTTCTTAAATTAACCATCATGTTTTGGCTCTATTATCTAGCATGCCTGCGGCCCCTATTTCTCCATTTATTCATCTGTCTGCCTCTGGTTCATTTATCCAGATCTATTACGCATCATGAGCTCTTATTACATTATTCATAATTTTGACTTTGGTCTATTCTTACTTGCCATTTTCCATTAAACCGAGTCCCTCATACTTTATTACTACCATTTATATCTCTGTTCCGTTTATTTCTGCCATTAGACTGCTGTTGCACTGCTTTCTTTTCATTAACTACAAGTTCTGGATTTCTCTCCCCCTTTCCTTCTATTACCCATCATTACATTTTTCTTTTTGCTTATGCATATTTAGTCATTATCCCTTCCATTATTTTGTCATGTCTTTGGCTCTTATTTTTGTCTATAACACATCTTGACTTTGTATACTGATCCCCTTAAGTCCTGGGCCCCCTATTTATTACCCACCATCATGTTCCACCCTCCTCCCCTTCACATCCCACAGAATACACAAGTTGAGACCTGGTCAAAGTACAAATTCATATTGGTAGGAAATTCCCTATTATAAAACAATATCAGATCCCTTACCCCAACCCAGGTGACCATCTCCTCCTCCCCCCTCCCCCGGGGAGATGTTTGGGTCCCATTCCACTGGGCAGCAGTAAAAGGACGTAGTAGTCTTCAAAGTAACACGGAATTGTTCTCTCGAGGCTGGGGTCAGCAAGGCACACTCAGCATGACACTCACCCTATCTAGTCCTTGTCTAGTCCTTGATGGGGCGGGGACGACACTTAATTCCCAGAAGACAGGATTTGGGGAAGTGGGGACTCAGGGAAGGGTCCTGACCCTGTGACTCCTGCCTGCAGGAGGGAGATGGGGAAGGTATACCTTGGGCTGGGGACTCCCCTCCTTCCTGCCAATGGGAACAGACAGGGTAGTGGGGCTCTGCTGCCTGGAGGGCTCAGGTCTGAGCAGCAAGGTGCCTGCCCCCCAACATCCAACCCAGCAGAGTTATTGGGAGTTAACTACCTGAGGACACAGTAGAGGTCTGGGGATTTCTTTGGAATTTGGGAGGAGACTGTATGAACTAAGGAGTCACAGTTTTAGGAGTCCTTGGGTCAGATTGTGTAGAAACGTATCTCCCCTCCCTCCACTCATGAGATAAGATTGCCAGGTTTCCCATTGTCACGGCTAGGTCAGAGATAATGGGTTAGAGGTCACAACGGACCCACCCAGGTAGAAGTCACAGATGAGATGCCTGCTTTCGCTGACAGTGGTCTGGCCAGAGGTCAAGCGGCACTAGATTCCTGGCAGAAAGCTGAGGGATCAAAAAGAGAAGCAAGAGCCAGAGCCATGGCGGCTCACACGTACATGGCCCGGGACATGACAAAGCCTTTGCTTGAGTAGGAATCAGAGGGACTAGCGTAGGAGAGGGCGTCATAGATGGGGTTGATCTTGTCCAGGTAGTCTTCCTCATCATCATCCAAGTCCTCCAGATCCAGGGGCAGCCTCTCCACAGCAGGCGGCCCTGCAGGCACCAGGATGGGGGACCCGAGATTCATGGCCCCCAGAAGCAGGGGCCCTGACCGCTCTTCCAAGGTGGGCAGCTCATGGTACCGAGGCATTTCCTGGGGACAAGGAGGAGATAGGAGCTCAAGGTCACTTCCCGAGCTTGGCACAGAATCCCCTTGACCCCAAAATCTTGACCATCTCCCCACACCGACCAGACCCAATCTTACCCCTTGTCACAGGGTCAATCATATGACTTGTCCCTAATTCAAAGCATGGACCTCACCCTGTCAATCCCGTGTCTCTACTCTGTCTTTTGATTTCTGAGCTGAGTCTTTCCCCGTGAACCTTTGACTTTGATCTTGATCTCAACTATTTAACCTTAAGCCTGAAATAGCCCCTTCAACTTTCACTAGTTACAACTTCAATATCTGACCCCTGACTTCCAGCAGATGGCTGATGGGACTACATGTCTTGCCGTACTGTATCTATTATAGCAGATGTAGATGTTCAACCAGTCTTCACTCTAACCTCAGGTCCCTGGGATTTTTCAGTCGTGACCTCCCCCACTGAATTGTAAACATAGCTCCGTGACCGGAGACACAGCTCTGAATATGAGTTGTGACCTTTAACCCTTAATCTCTGTGTCGGCAACTGTACCCAGCCTCACCCTCACCCGAGATCCTACCTGCTCAGCACACGAGACGCCGGCATCAAAGTAGGGGGTCTTGAGCGGGCTGTGCTCTGAGGCCCCAAGAGTGAAGAGCTGGGAGGGCTGCAGTGAGAGGGGGCGGGACAGGTCAGGACCCCCGCCCAGCCCACCTCTTTCCCCAACTCCCTCTCCCCACCATGGCCTTACTGGGGAAAGGTGGGGGGGGGGGGGAGAAGGGACGCAGCCCTGGGTTCCGGGCAAAGAGCTTACCATCTCTGGCTCCTCCAGCTTTGCTTTTGGGGTTGGTGGCTTGTATGACGGAGGCCCCTCCAGGCTGTGGGGTAGGAGGTAGACCAGGTAGAGGCTCAGACCCAAGCCCCCCGACCCTAGGGCCATTGCACAAGCTCCTCCTCCTGCCTGCTATCCCTTTCTACCCCCCCTCCCCATTCCCCTTGCCCAGCTCACTCCTATCCATCCCACGAATCTTCTTCCAGGAGGCCTCCGATTCCCCAGGGGATCACCTTCGCCTGTGAGAGGTCACATGGGGCTGTACACCACCCTCTTAGGGCACTTAACTGAGTTTGTATTTGAAGTGTCTTTGTTTGTTTGTTTCTCTCTTTCTCTCTCTCTCTACTGCTTTTCAGAATGGAAGGGAGGGAGGGAGAGAGAAGCATCGATAAGAGAGACACTTTGGCCGAACCGGTTTGGCTCAATGGATAGAGAGTCGGCTTGGGGACTGAAGGGTCCCGGGTTCGATTCCAGTCAAGGGCATGTACCTTGGTTGCAGGCATATCCCCAGTAGGGGGTGTGCAGGAGGCAACTGATCGATGACTCTCTCTCATCGATGTTTCTAATTCTCTATCTCTCTCCCTTCCTCTCTGTACAAAATCAATAAAATATATTAAAAAAAAAAAAAAGAGAGAGAGACACTTTGACTGGTTGTCACCTGCACACACCTGAACCAGGGTGGAGGTGGGGAGTGAACCCACAACCCAGGTACATGCCCTTGTCCATGAATAGAACCAGTGACCCTTTAACCACTGAGCTGACATGTTATTTCTGATATCACTCAATGACTGTAACCAACCATGAGCAAAGTGAGGGAGAGAATGAGATCTTGATTAACATGGTGTTCCCAGAACCACTATGAAGAATTCAGTAAATATTCATTAAGAGAGTGAATATCGGATTGAAATGCTTTCCTATCCTCCAAACCAGCGGTTGCCAAGCCTTTGGACCTCACGGACCACAGTGGTCCATGGACCGCTGGTTGGTAACCGTCGCTCCAAACTATGCCAAGTTCCCTCATTCAGAGCATCCTGTGTACTATATAATAATGATAGGCACTTACTATGCCTTCAAAACCCAACTCAGCTCTGGCTGGGGTAGCTCAGTTAGTGGGTGTCGTATCGTGCACCAAAAGGTTGCTGGTTCAATTCCTGGCCAGAGCACATGTTCAGGTTGTGGGCTCTCTCTCCGCTAGGGGGCATGCAGGAGGCAGCCGATTGATGTTTCATTCTTACATCAACCTTCCTCTCTCTCTAAAAATCAATACAAATATTACCCAAAAAACCCAACACAGCTCTAGCCAGTTTGGCTCAGTGGATAGAGCGTCGGCCTGCGGACTGAAGGGTTCCAGGTTCAATTCTGGCTAAGGGCACATGCCCAGGTTGTGGGCTTGATCCCCAGTAGGGGGAATGCAGGAGGCAGCTAATCAATGATTCTCTCTCATCCATTGATGCTTCTATTTCTCTCCCCTCTTCCTTCCTCTCTAAAATCAATAAAGAAGTATATTTTAAAAACAACAACACACACAACAACAACGATAGAGAATCTCTGATTGGAAGCCTCCTGCACGCCCACTCCAGGGCATCGAGCCTGCAACCCAGGTTCATAGGTCGACCCTCAACCACTGAGCCACGTGGGGGCACTTTTTAAAAAATGTTTGTCTCATCATTGCATTCCTACCTCAAGGGCCTGGGCCTGGGTGGCTACTGTTTGAATACTTGTTGACTCAATGAATGGATGTGAGACTGTGTCCAGGTTACACATGTCAAATGCATCTCGTCAAGCCTGGCACATACAGTGCTCTACACTGAGAAGTGTGGCCAGTTTTCCCCAATACCCAGGCTCCTCCTTTCCCATACTAATGAAGATTTTGGCTGGGCACATGGCAACCCAGAATAAAGACTACATTTCCCAGCTTGCCCTGCTGTTGGGGACAGTCATGTGACAGGTTCAAGTCAATGGAAGTGAGAAGTGATGCATTTCCTTAAAGGGTGACTGAATACCCTGTATTTCTTTCCTTTGTTAAAAAATCTACTTTTGCCGAAACCAGTTTGGCTCAGTGGATAGAGCGTGGGCGGACTGAGGGGACCAGGGTTTGATTCTGGTCAAGGGCATGTACTGTGGTTGTGGGCACATCCCCAGTGGGGGGTGTGCAGGAGGCAGCTGATCGGTGTTTCTCTCTCATGGATGTTTCTAACTTTCTATCCCTCTTCCTTCCTCTCTGTGAAGAAAAAAAAAATCAATAAAATATATTTTTAAAAATTCAATAAAATAAAATCTATTTTTATTTATTTCAGAGAGGAAGGGAAGGGAGAGAGAGACATTAATAGTGAGCGTCACAGGGAACTGATCGGCTGCCTCCTTCACACCCTCCACTGGAGATGGAGCTGAAGCCCAGGCATGTGTGGCCTGACCGGGAATCAAGCTGTGACCTTCTGGTTCATAGGTTGACACTGAATCAGAGCCACGCCAGTCAGGCTTGAATACCCTGTATTTCTATTTCCTTTTCCCACCGGCAGGAATGGGGCTTTGAGGCCAGGAGAGCCCTGTCTGGCTGTGACGTATGTGGATGATGACAGGAGAGTGGGGAGCCTTTGACATGTGAATAAAGGCGGAGCAACAAGCTAGCAGGAGCCTGGGCTCCGAGGACTTCACCGAGCAGAGCTGTCATATCCGTGATTTACGAGACAGAAGCAAACTCTCCTCTCTGTCCTATTTAAGTTGTAGCTATTTGGGGTGCCTCTGCTTCACGGAGCCATCACGGATGGTTTTCTCCCATCTTTACCCTCCACCGCAGGGTCCCCGGTTCTGGGACCCCTCCCTCCTCCACTGTGTGGAACGCGTCACTTACTCATCTTCCTCCTCCTCTGCCCCCTGCAGCCTCTGCTCCTTCCGCTGCTGCCGGCAGATGAGGATGCCCGTGGCGACCACCGCGGTGGCAATGATGGCGGCGATGATGCCCCCGATGATGCCCCCCGTGGCTCCTGCACCTGACGTGTTGGGGGACTCTGCAAGAAGAGGGACAGTGTGAGGGGGTCCCCGGGGGGAAGCCACAGCTCCTCACTCACAGCCCAAGTCACTCACCTGCCCGCCTTAAAGGCAGGGGACGTTCTCTCATTCAACGCATCCTTACCAAGCCATTTTTGGGGAATTCATTCATACAAAAGCCCCCACCCCGACAGAATTTATGTCGTCGTTGGGCAGGGGAGACAACAGTACAGACACAGCTACAATGTGCCAGGTGGCAATTAAGTGATATAGGATAAAGGTACATGGTGGGTCTGGCCGGTATGGCTCAGTGGGCTGGGCGTAGTCCCATGTATAATACCAAAATGCAGTGGGCTCAACCCCCCATAGGGGCCCCGAAGGAGGCAGCCGATCAATGTTTTGTTTTTGAAAAAGCTTCATATTTTTTAAAAAAATATATATTTTTATTGATTTCAGAGAAGGAAGAGGGAGAGATAGAAACATCCAATGATGAGAGAATCCTTGGTTGGGTACCTCTTGCACGCCCCCTACTGGAGATTGAGCCCACAGCCTGGGCGTGTGCCCTTGACTGGAATGGAACCTAGGACCCTTGAGTCCGCAGGCCAACCTTCTACCCACTGAGCCAAACCAAGTAGGGCCAATGTTTTTTGTTTTGTTTTGTTTTGTTTTTTAAATATGTGTTTATTGATTTCAGAGAGGAAAGGAGCGGGAGAGAGATAGAAACATCAATAATGAGAGAGATCCATTGAATGTTTTGTTTTTATATCAATATTTCTCTCTCCCCTTCCTCTCTCTAAAAATAAATAAAAAATTTTAAGAAGCCGAAACCGGTTTGGCTGATAGCGGAGAGAGCGTCGGCCTGCGGACTTGAATGGACTGAAAAATCCCAGGTTCGATTCCGGTCAAGGGCATGTACTTTGGTTGCAGGCACATCCCTGGTGAGGGGTGTGCAGGAGGCAGCTGGTCGATGTTTCTCTCTCATGTTTCTAGCTCTCTGTCTCTCTCCCTTCTTCTCGCTGTAAAAAATCAATAAAATACATTTTAAAAAAATCTAAGAAAACAAACAAAACTGCAAAGTGGGGAAGGTGGTAGGAAGTGACAGAGCAGGTGGTCAGAGAGAGCCTTATTGCAGGTGACATGTGAGCAAAGAGCTGAAGGAGGTGTAAGGGGGTGAGTGATGGGGGGGGTGCGGGGGGGGGGAGAGCATTCCTGGCAGAGATGGCAGCTGGTGCAAAGGCCCTGAGGAGGAAGCTTTGTGCTGTTTTTAAGGAACAGCAAGGAGCAGCCGGTGAGGGGAGGCACAGAGAGGAGGGAAGGGAACTGGTGGGAAGGGAAGTAGAGCTACAAGGCAGAGAACGGAGTGGGGGTAGGAGGCGTTCAGGGCTTAGGATGGGGGGTGGGGGGCTGTCCTGGGGTTAGGATCATAGCCAGGCATTCATTACGGTGAATGGAGTCATCCTGGGGGGGGGGGGGGGAATGGAGTCATCCTGGTCCGAGGATCAGAGCTGCGCCAACCCAACAGGAAATGCCAGGAGAGAAACTCACGGCCCCAAGGCCTTTCCTGTGCAGCACACTTCACACTTCCTTGCGCTGTTATTGGAGTCATTATCGTGTATCTGCCAGTCTCTACACTGGGCAGCACGTTCCGGAAGGGCTGGTCTGGCTGGATGTGTGAGGGAGGGTGGGCCTGGGCGCTCAGGACCTGCTAGGAGCCAGACTGACAAATCCCCGCCCTGCCCTCTAGGTGGGAAGCGGGGGCTAGAAGGGGGTGTTAGACTATAAGCAACCAGAATGCAAAGCCCCAGCCACGGGCCCCACCCCTCTCAGGAAGCCCAGACCACAGAGGTGATCCAGCCCCAGAGGAACCGTGTCTGGAACCCAGGACGATCCGTTTTCCACACTTCCTGGTCCTCAGCTGGCTTGCTCAGGAGGGCTTGAATATGGGAGGGTAACAGAGTGACTGCTGCTCAGTCCACACCGGCCATCCTCGTTACTGTCATTCCAGGACTGCACGGGAGTCCCCGCGTCCCTGCTTCATCCCCAGCAATTCGGTGGAAGTCAAAACTGGCAGAGAGTGAACTCACCAAGTCCCTCCGGACCAGCCAGCCCGCAGGGCAGAGGGACTCAGCCTTCTGAGCAGGGCGGCAGCCTCGGGCACAGACAGCCCCGGGCAGTGGCCCTGGGGCCAGGGAGGGAGGTGGCTGGGACTTACCCGGCCCTCCCAGTCCCCACCTCAGCCCCAGCCCCTGCTGGGGAGAGGCTCTGGTTGTGGGAAATTAGCAGGGAAGCAGTTACAGCCCTACCTCTGAATCACCGAAAATTCCCTCTCGCTGGTTCCCTGGGGGGCAGAGGAAGAGGAAGAAAGCGGGAAAGGCTGGGGCAGATCAGTGGGACTTCCCTGTTTTCGCCTCCTGGGGGCCCGGAGAATGTTGGGGGCAGTGCTCCCTCCCCAGGTCTCCTCTGGGTCTGTGCTGCTCCCGGATAATCGGACCACAGCACCCTCTGCAAGCGCCCAGGGGTCCGGGACCCCAGCGTGGCCCCGGGAGTCAGCCTCCCTCTGGTCTGGCCACTCCGTGCTGGAACCTTCAAGTCCACGCACCCCCGTCTCTAAGCCCAGGTCCCAGCCCCACGGGCCTTGGGGGGTCTCAGCAATCAAGGTGTCCTTCAAGGACCCAGTCAGTAAGAGCCCCCAGCCCCTCACTCCATGGAGCCCAGGTCAGCTTCCCCCCCCTCCCCCTGCAGGAGGGGGTCCAGTGTACTACAAGACACCCCGATTTTTCCTCCAAGGCGTTTATTAACTCCTGAGTGTCACAGGGCAGGGCTGGGGCAGGCCAGAGCCAAAACCGAGTCTCTGCTGGGGGTGGGGGTCTCTGCGGCCCCCTCCTCCCCCATGCAGCCCCGGAGACTGTAAGTCCAGTGTGTGATACTCCACCTCCCTCTGAATCCCAGGAAAGTGGGAGGTAGCAATTGCGCTCCAGTGTCATCCAGACAAACGAGTCCAACCAGTCTGCAGCCCAGGGCCCCTGTAGGCTCGTCTCTGTCTCTGTGTCTGTCTCCGTCTGGGGTCACACGTACACCGCCCGCCGGGAGATGAGGGAGCCGTCCAGCTGGGACTCCATGTCGTCCTCGAGCGCGAGGGACGGAGGCAGCATGAGGCCCTTCTCGGCCTTCTCCTCCTCTTCCTCGTAGTCCTCCTCCGCGGCCTTGCCGTCCGGCCTCAGGGGGCCAGGGGCTGTGGTGGTCCAGAAGACGGGGCCCCCGTTCTCAAACACTTGAGTTTTCGGATCGTAGGATCCCTGGCCGATGTCCGGTCCTCCTCCTGCTCCTCCAAGGCTCTTCCTCCTCCTCCTCTTCCTCAGCAGCACGAAGACCAAGATCCCCCCAGCCAGAAGCAGCAGCACCAGCAGCGTCCCCCCCACGGCCCCCCACACCATTGGACCCTCGTCTCGGGGAGAGGCCCGGGGACCTTCTGAGGAGAGAGAAGGAGGGGTGAGAGAGAGAGAGAGAGAGAGAGAGAAAGAGAGAGGGAGAGAAAGGGAGACACAGGTCAAGAGGATGCGCCTGGGAGGACACGGCAGGGGAGTGACAGGAACAGGGAGGGGACTGACTGGCAAAATGGGGGGGGGGGGGGCAGCAGGGAGAACCCGTTCACTCTTTGCTACAGGCTGAGTGCTTTGTGTGCGGAGGGGTTACCAGCCGGTCCCAGATCTCCTTATACCCACAGCATTATTAACCTTCCTGGCCGACATCTCAGAAACCAGGTGATGTCACTGAAAATTCCCCGTTCCATTCGGGGGGAAGGTGGTCAGATCTGGCAACACCAGAACCTCAGGTCCTCCAGCCGGGACGGGCTGTAGCTGAGTGAGGCTGTGCCTGGGGAGGGAACAGAGTTCCACACCGGCCACCAGCTCGCTTGCCAGGACCCAGGAGGCATGTGATCCCCTGAGGATGAGCTGAGGTCATGGTCACAAAGCCTTGGAGTGGATCCAGCCAGGAAGAGGGAGAGGTGGATTGAGCTTTGCCTCCAAAGCTCTCTGTGCTCAGAGGAGAAGGGACCTTCTGAGAACTCCCCTGGAGCGCTGGGAGCACCTGGTCTGGGCGGCATGGCCCGTCTGGGCCACCTGTCCCCGGTGCCACCTGCCTCCTGCCTGGGCCACCCTCCCCGGTGCCACCCGCCTCCCTCCTGGGTACCCGTCCCCGTGTCACCCGCCTCCCGCCTGGCCACCCGTCCCCGTGCCACCCGCCTCCCGCCTGGCCACCCGTCCCTGTGTCACCCACCTCCCACCTGGGCACCCATCCCCTGTGCCACCCGCCTCCCGCCTGGGCCACCCGTCCCAGTGCCACTCCCCTCCCACCTAAGCCACCCTCCTCCGTGCCACCCGCCTTCTGCCTGGCCACCCGTCCCCGGTGCCACCCGCCTCCAGCCTAGGCCTCCCGCCTCCCTCCTGGGCCACCCGTCCCCAGCACAGAAAACGGGGCTCAAACCGTCCCTTTGCCCGCCAGTGCTCCCTGCACTGGCTAACCTGCAGGGGGGAGGCCTGGGGCAGGGGCCAGGAAGGGGAGGGGGAGGGGGCTGGGCTCCACACCAGGGACAGACACGGTACAATGGGAACTGATCACACATGTGCTGTCCCCACCCCCTGAATGTAGGGGCGAGACCAGAGGGGCCCCAGGGCGGCTATTTCTGGTGTTTTAAAAAGGGGCTGTCAGGGCGGCTAAGTGACTCGCAAGCAGCAGTTAAAGAACAGGAACGCCCCTCAAGCGTGAAGGGTAAGTACCACTTTGGGAACCTCTTTTGGGGAAAACGCATGCCTCTCCCTGGATCCTGGGTGGGGCACGCAGCAGACAGTCCACGCGGCCTGGAGGGGGAGGGCGCCTGTGCCTGGAGCGGCTGAGTCGGCAGTGAGTGATCCTGCCCGTGGGCTGAAGGTTCAGTCTCCTGGAAGGGACGCCCGGCCTGCGGTGTGGCCGGTGCCCACGTCTGCGTGGCGTGAAGCCCGCGCCGGCGATGACAGCACGTCTGGGTCAGAGCGTGGGGAGCGCGGTGTGTCCCGAGACCCGCGGGGGGACCGCCAGGAGCAGCGTCTTCCCGGGCGAGGCCCCGTGCTGGCACACTCCCTGCCGGGTCTGGACCTGCCGTGTTTCTGTGGCATCTCCTGCGGGCGTGGCAGATGGAAGCCTGTGGCTTCCTTTGGGATAGTCGGGGGAGGGAGCGGCTCTCCTCACTGCTCGGTCTTTGTGGGGCTGTGATTCTGTGTGCGTCCCGGTCCCCGTGGGCTCGGGGTGTCTCACTGGGTGTGCGCCCAGCAGCGGACAGCCCTGGGGTGTGTGTGTGTGTGTGTGCGTGTGTGCACGCGTGCGTGTGCTCCTCCGATGGCCGGTAAGTGTGCCCGCGTGTGGGTTCTGCAGGCTGCACCCCTGGGAGTGCCTTCTGCATGTGGGGGGACCCGTTTCTCAGGTGTGTTTCTGGGTGGAGGTTCCAGTTGGGTGCCTTGCTGGGTGGGTGGAGCTGACTTCTCTGGGTGTGCCTTGGAGGGCAAGGCCTGTGTCTCATTCGCCATGGGTTTTGGGCTCTGGCCGGCTGTGATTAGGTTGGACTCAGTGCCTTGGGGGAGGGGGTGTCATGGTGAGGGGGTGTCTGGGGTGGGCTACGCTGTGGGCAAGGCTGTTTTGATTTCAGTGCATCTCGAAGCTCAGGGTGTGTCTGCAGACACTGGCCCTGCTGGCTGTGCTCTGACCTGAAGGGGACGCTGCGCCCAGCCATGGGTCCGCTGTGTCTGAGTGTCGGGGTGCACGGCCCTGTGACCGGGCCTGCCGCCCTCCAGGGTGTGATGCACAGCTGTGATCCCTCCCCACTGCCTCCAGCCTAAGCACGGGCTGAGCCTGCCTCCGCTCCTCCTCTCCGGCTGTGTGTCTCGGGGTCTGTGTCTCTCAGTCACATCGAGGGACTCGGAGAACTTCCCACCCACAGACCCACTTCATCACCAGTCACCGTTTCCAAAGCTCCAGGAACACACCCGCCCCCCCACGCACTACCAGCGGCTCCGGACAGAAAGGACCGGCGTTCCCCGAGAGGAGCTCGGTGTGTGTCCGGCTGGCCGCCTCACCGTGTGGATTCTGTGGCTGGAGCCCAGGCAAGGTGGCTGGTCTCTTCCTGAAGTCCCTGCCCCGCCTCTCCCCTCCGGAACCGCCCGCACAGGCCTCAACCCCCAAAACTCCTCTGCCAACACCTGCCCTCCATCAGCCCGGCCCCGACCCCCCTCCTCTCCCATCACCTGGCGGGTCTGGACCCCCGCCCCCCAGCCGGTGCACAGCCGCCCCCATGGGGCCCGGAACCAACGAGAGGAACGTGGGGCGGACCGGCCTCTCACCCGCCCCGGAGGCCCGCTCACCTCGAACCAGCACCACCTGCTCGGCGCGGCCCGTGCCCTCCGCGTTGCTGGCGGTGCAGACGAAGGTGGTGTTGACCAGCCTGTCCACCAGGTGGACTAGCAGCTGGGGGCCCTGGTCTTTCGCTGAGGCCGGTAAGGAGCCCGAGGTCCTGGGGAATGGGGAGGCCACGTAAGGGGACAGTTGGGTCCACAGAACAGGCCGGGTCCTCGATGACAGCCCTCCAGGGACCTGAGCTGCCTGCTCCCTCCTTTTGGAGGATCCCCCTCCGCACCCCCATTCAGGCCCCAGCCCTCCTCCCTCAGCCCCTCCTCCCTTAGCCCCTCCTCCCTCAGACCCAGGGGTCCAGGCCCCCAGCCCTCCTCCCTCAGACCCAGGAGTCCAGGCCCCTAGCCCTCCTCCCTCAGACCCAGGGGTCCAGGCCCCAAGCCCTCTTCCCTCAGACCCAGGAGTCCAGGCCCCCAGCCCCTCCTCCCTCAGACCCAGGGGTCCAGGCCCCAAGCCCCTCCCCCCTCAGACCCAGGGGTCCAGGCCCCCAGCCCCTCCTCCCTCAGACCCAGGGGTCCAGGCCCCCAGCCCTCCTCCCTCACACCCAGGGGCCCAGGCCCCCAGCCCTCCTCCCTCACACCCAGGGGTCCAGGCCCCCAGCCCCACCTCCCTCAGACCCAGGGGTCCAGGCCCCCAGCCCCTTCTCACCCCCAGACCCAGGGGCCCAGGCCCCCAGCCCCTCCCCCCTCAGACCCAGGGGTCCAGGCCCCCAGCCCCTTCTCACCCCCAGACCCAGAGGCCCAGGCCCCCAGCCCCTCCCCCCCCAGACCCAGGGGTCCAGGCCCCCAGCCCCTCCTCTCTCTGACCCAGGGGTCCAGGCCCCAGCCCCTCCTCCCCCCCAGACCAGGGGCCCAGGCCCCCAGGACTCACGTGCTCCAGATGTAGCTTGTGGGCTGCGGGTTGCTGCGAACATCACAGTTCAGAGTGGCCTCACTACGGCCGAGGTACCAGTTGTCGTCATAGCCAGAGATGGAGACCTCGGGGGGGTCTGGAGGAAATGGGGGATTGGCTCAGAGAGGGGAGTCCCAAAGGGGACGACAGGCAAGCAGACAGACGGGACCCTATGGAAATGGAACAGGCTGTCGGGGCGAATCCCCGCGTGTCTGCGAGGCCGGAGGGGACCGCTCCGCGCTCAGAGGAAGCTCTCCTCGGGGCGCAGTGCCCGGGGCTGTACGGACACAGCCATTTCCCCGGCAGCGTGGACGGGGGGTCTAACCCAGCGGTCGGCAAACTCATCAGTCAACAGAGCCAAATATCAACAGCACAACGACCGAAATTCCTTCTGAGCCGAAAACCGGCTTCTGCGCATGGGCCACGAAGTTTCAGTCGCACTGTGCATGTGCGTCCACACGTGGTGTTTTATGGACGAGCCACACTCAGGGGCCACAGAGCCGGGTTTGCCGACCCCGGGTCTAACTGAAGGCATTGCTGGGAGGAGGAGTGTGAGCGTGCTGCTGTGGTGACTGAGAGGCGGGCTGGTGGCAGCAGCCCGGGGAGGCCTCGAGGGCTGTAGGAGGGGCTGTGCGTGTGCACAGTGTGGGGAGGAGCTGCATGGAACACGCTGGAAGGCGTCAGCACTGTCAGGGCCAGTGGGTGGGTGGGAATCATTTTCGGAGGCAGGAGTCGGGTAGAGACCACAGGAGTGGATGGAAACAGAGTGGATGAGCGTGTAGACGGTGCTGGCTCAGGCAGTGTGGCAGCGTCTGCCACGGCCTGGCCGCGTGGGCCAGTGTGGGGCGGGGTGGAAGCACAGACACGGGGCCGCAGGCAGGGCGGGATGTGCCCGGGCCCCGTGGACGGACGCGGGCCTGCGGCCACGGGGGAGGCACTCACAGCGCACTGACAGGGTCACGGGCAGCAGGGCGGGCTCCTCCAGGGCCTCGTGCTCCACCTTGCAGGTGATCTTGACGCCATCTACTTGGCTGGAGGGCACCACGGCGTAGCGGCTGGTGACGGTGACCGTGCCGGACAGGGGCCCCGAGGTCTCGGTCTCCTTCTGCTCCCCGTGCAGGGGCGAGAGCCAGGAGATCCTGGCGGGCGGGCGGCCCCCCGAGGAGACGCAGCGCGCCACGGGCACCGGCTCCGCGCTGAGGGCCACCTCCTGGGTCTCGGCGTGGTTCTGGGGCTGGGCTGGGAGGAGCGCAGAGGGGGTGGTCACCGCGGAGCTGGCGGCGAGGGCCCAAACGCCGTGTTCAGACCCCGGCTCTGCTGCTCAGCACCAGGAACTTCCCAGCCCGGTACCTCAGGCCCCTCTTTGGGGAAGCGCGGATAATGAAAGCACCCCCTGCACGGAATGGCGTGGACTAAATACACGAATATCCAAGCACACCCACCAGTGCCTGGCACGCACTGCTCAACCTAAGCGCTAGCCGTTACGTCCTGTAGCCAGTGTCCGCTTTCTGCTCTGCTGGACAAGCGGAGGGTCCCGGAGCCTGGGATTATTAAGAAATAGAGCCGCGTGGTCCCGAGGCCCCGCTGGAGGCCCCCTTCCCCTATGATCACCGCTGATTTGGTGGCAGAAGCGGGATAAAGGCGGTGAAGAAACCCAAAGCTCGTAATTTCCCCCCCCTTCTCACCCATCCTCTTGGCAAACGTGAGGAGGAATAAAAACCTCCAGGAGGCGCAATGCCAACCCACACTGGCCCTGAGTTCTGCTCACATCGCTAGCTGCCTTCGGGACCCCATCGGGTGTCTCCTGAGTTGCTTCTTTTCTTTTTAAAAAAATATATTTTATTGGCCAAGACCGGTTTGGCTCAATGGATAGAGCGTCGGCTTGGGACTGAAGGGTCCCAGGTTCGATTCCGGTCAAGGGCATGTACCTTGGTTGCGGGCATATCCCCAGTAGGGGGTGTGCAAGAGGCAGCTGATCGATGACTCTCTCTCATCGATGTTTCTAACTCTCTCTCTCTCCCTTCCTCTCTGTACAAAATCAATAAAATATATTAAAAAAAATATATATATATATATATATATATTATTGGCTTTTTACAAAGAGGGATAGAGAGTTAGAAACATTGATGAGAGAGAATCATTGATCAGCTGCCTCTTGCACACCCCCTACTGGGAATGTGCCCGCAACCAAGGTACAGGCCCTTGACCGGAATCGAACCTGGGACCCTTCAGTCTGCAGACCGGCGCTCTATCCACTGAGCCACACCGGTTTCAGCTCTCCTGAGCTTCTTCATGCGGTGTAGTCCACCTCTCCCCGACCAGCAGGGCCTCCGATGGCCTCCCTCCTCCCTCTGTCCTCTGATGGCTCCAGGACCGCCCACCCATCCCCCTACCCACAGTGGGGGCCTTGGTGACCCTCTGCCTGCAATGCTCTCCCTCCTCCAGACTCCAGCTTCTCTTCCTCACGGGAGCTTTCCTGACTCAGTGACACTCACTCACACCACCTGCTCTCCCCCAAAGCCGAGGGGGGCTGTCCCCGCCCCCACCGCAGCCCGGGCCCTCGCTGTGTCTCCTCAAAGAACAAATGAGGGCTCAGCGAGACCTTTGGGAAGGGGGGGGTAAGAGGGGGAGCTGGGGCTGATTTCAGCTCCTTAAAAAGAGAAGTGAGCGCTCGGGGACTGCTCGGGACAGTCCTCCAAAACTCGCCGGGGCCGAGCGGGGAAAATGAACTGCCAGGGTGGCTGGCTGCTGGGAAGTCGCTGGGAAAAGGCAGGGATTCCAGGGGAACGCCAAGACTTCGCAAGAAACGGCATCTTTGGGGAAAAGTGCCTTCCCCGATGCTGCCCCGTTCCGCTCACTCAGGGGCGGTGCCAGTCACGCTGGGGGCCAGAAGGCCGGGGTCCCTTTCTGGTGGTTCTCCGATTCAGGGACAGCACCTGCTGCCCCTACAAGCAGCCCGCATTGCGCCCTCCTCTCGAAGCCAATGCTTTCTCTCCTCTGGTCTACCTTTGTCTCCGCCTTCAATCCCGCCGCCCTCCTCCCCCTACTGCCCCCCTCCCTACCCCGTTGTTTCTTTCCGTAACTTGAATAATCTGCTTTTGTGGTTTACGCCTGTGAGGCCCGCGCAGGCTGGCCCTGTTGGTTTTCCTGCCTTGTTGACGGCCACTCAAGCCCTGGCCATCAGCCTTCTCCTGTTCCTGGAACATGTCAAGCTCGCTTTCACGTCCCAGCTCTTGCATACGCTGTTCCCCTGCTTATGCCTCCTTCCTCTGCTGGTGGCTGCAGCCCATGGGCGGCCTCCTCCTTCAGCGGCCCTGGCTCTCTCCATACGGCGCTGGAGCTCACTCCCAGGGAGCATTGCAACATGCTGGCTTGTTCACTAACTGATCTTCCTCTGGCCTCACCTCTGACATATTCCCCCCCTCTCCACTGCCTCCACCGTGGTTCAGCGTCATCACTTCCTCCCCTCCTCTGGGGTCTCCCAGCTTCCACTTTCTCCCCCCACGCACAGTGGGACAGGGCCTGTGAACACCCAAGCCGGTCACGCCCGTCTCTGCTCAGAACTTCCCACAGCTCTTGTTCTCCCAGAATCTGGCCAGTCTTCACGTCGCCTGCACGGCCAGCTACGACCCATCGCCTCCTTGACCCTGTCCCTGCCTGCTTTCCCCATTCATGCATCTCCAGCCACACAGACGTCTTTGCTCCTCCTCAGATATCCCCAGTGCACCCTACCTCAGGGCCTTCGCACTTATCATCCCCCTGCCTGACCTCTCCTCCCTCACGTAGGCCTACCCGGCTCCGTCACCTCATTCCAGTTCTTGTTCAGCTATCGCCAGACCTCCCTGGCTACACTTGTAACCTGTTCCCCCTCAACTTCTACAGCACCTACCGCCACCTGACTCACTCCTTTTTCTTCTTACTCAGCCCCTGGCACCCCTTTCTCGGAGAATAAGCCCCAGGAGGACTTTATCCCTGGAGCCTACGATAGTGTCCAGCACACAGTAGGTATTCAATGTATGTCTGTTGAATGCCATGTTGGCTGCTATATTCCCAACCTGCAGAATAGCATCCGGGAAACGGTACTTGCTTAATGCTTGCAGCCTGACTGAAGGCTGCGGAGAAAGCAGACAGAAAGAGACCAGCACAGGGGCTCTCCCACCCTGCCCGCCACCCCCTCGCCCCTGCTCACCTATGGTCCTGAGCCAGGTCACCCCACGACTGGTGCCCAGGGGGAAGGTGGCAAACTCGCAGGAGAAGTTGCCCTCGTCCTCCACTCTCAGGCCCTGCAGGACCAGCGTGGCGTCCCGCAGCTCGGCGCCCGGCCGGGAGCCAGGGCTCTGGCCCATGGAGCGGAAGGACAGCCGGTCCTTGGGGAACTGCCGGCTGGGGAAGCTGAGGCCGTGGGACGGGTGGAAGGCGGCCACGCTCTGCAGGTCCCCAGACGGGTCCAGGCGCTGCCATGTCACCTGGGAGACGTTGCCCTTAGGCCCCGGCGACAGCAGGTGGCACGGCAGCTCCACCGTGTCCCCCAGGCGGCCCCGCACCTCGGCGGGCATGCTGACCCGCCCATTCTGGGCTCCTGGGGAGAGAGCAGAGAGAGGGGTGGGTGAGGGGAAGGACCCAGACATCCAGGCAGGGCGGGGTCCCCACCGAGCGGGGAGGGAGCCTCCTGGGAAAACACCATGCTCAGCTTTCGGGGGGGGGGGGGGGGAAGAGCCACGATTCTAAAAAGGCCAGCCAGAAAAGATGTTTTGTGAAAAACTAAGAACATTTGAGTCCGGACTATATTATGGCGTTACTATTTTGTTTTTTTAAATCAATCTTTATTGTTCATATTACAAAGGTTCCTCATTTCTTTCCCCCCTCCACCAGGTTCCCACCCCACCCTCTGCCCCCTCCCCACCCCCCCATTGTCCTCATCCATAGGTGCACAGTTTATGTTCAGTCTCTTCCCACATCCACCACTCGCCCTTTCCCCGAGAACTGTCAATCCACCCTCCTCCCGTATCGTATGGAGTTACTGTTAATATTCTCAGATGCTTTGAATAAATTATGGTTATAGGGTATTCCTTTTTCTTAGAAAATATAGCATTAGCCCAGCCAGGTGTAGCTCAGCAGTTGAGCTTCGACCCAGGAACCAAGAGGTCACAGGTTCGATTCCCGGTCAGGGCATATGCCCAGGTTGCAGGATCCATCGCCAGTGGGGGGCGTGCAGGAGGCAGCTGATCAATTATTCTCTCTCATCATGGATGTTTCTCTCTCTCTCTCTCCCTCTCCCTTCCTCTCTGAAATCAATACAAATGAAAATATAGGATTAAATGTCACATCTGCAACATACTCTCAACTGTTTTTTTTCAGCAAAATCTATAAAAAGGTCTAGAAAAAGTGGTGAAACAAACGTGGCAAAATGTTACAAACTGTCAAGTGTAGTGGGAGATGCTGTGCTTCCAACTCATACATGTATGTTTGAAACTTTTCAGTTCAAATGTTGGAAGGAAAAAAAAAAATCCTCTGAAACAAAATTAAAATAGCCTTGCCGAAACTGGTTTGGCTCAGTGGTAGAGCGTCTGTCTGCGGACTGAAAGGTCCCAGGTTCGATTCCGGTCAAGGGCATGTACCTTGGTTGCGGGCACATCCCCGGTAGGGGGTGTGCAAGAGGCAGCTGGTTGATGTTTCTCTCTCATCGACGTTTCTAGCTCTCTATCCCTCTCCCTTCCTCTCTGTAAAAAATCAATAAAATATATATTTTTAAAAATAGCCTATCCCAAAATAAATTTTTAAAAACTTTGAGCCTCCCTCCCACCCCCCCCCCAAAAAAAAAAAACAAGAGAAAATAAAGAAAAAAAACACAAACCACAACTTTTGAGCCGTAGCCACTTTGGCTCGTGAATAGAGCGTAGGCCCTCAGACCGAAGGATCTTCAATTCTGGTGCAGGGCACACACCCCGGGGCTCCATCCCCTGCCCCAGGGGGCACGGGTGGGAGGCAACCAACTGATCTCTCTCACATGGATGTTTCTCCCTCTTTGTCTCTTCCCTTCCTTTCCACTGTCTCTAAAAAGCAATGGAAAAATATCCTTGGGCCATAGCTGGTTTAGCTCAGTGGATAGAGCGTTGGCCTGCTGACTGAAGGTTCAATTCCGGTCAAGGGCATTACCTTGGTTGCGGGCACTTCCCCAGTGGGTGGTGTGCAGGAGGCAGCTGATTGATGTTTCTCTCTCTCTCTCCATTCCTCTCTGTAAAAAAAATCAATTAAAAATATATTTTTTAAAATATATTTTATGATTTTTTACAGAGAGAAAGGGAGAGGGATAAAGAACCAGAAGCATCGATGAGAGAGAAACATCGACCAGCTGTCTCTTGCACACCCCCTACTGGGGATGTGCCCGCAACCAAGGTACATGCCCTTGACCGGAAACAAACCCGGGACCTTTCAGTCCACAGACCGACGCTCTATCCACTGAGCCAAACCGGTTTTAGCAATAAAATATGTGGAAAAAAAACACACAAAACCTATAGCTCTCTTTTCCTATCTTATTTTTCCTCAGTATGTTTTTATTGATTTCAGAGAGGAAGGAAGATGGTGATAGAAACATCAATGGTGAGAGAGAATCATTGATCGGCTGCCGCCTACACGCTATCCCTTGGGGATGGACTCTAAAATCTGGGCATGTGCCCTGACTGGGAATGGAACCATGACTTCATTGATCGACTGCCCCCTGCATGCCCCCTACTAGGGATTGAGCCTACAACCCGGGCATGTGCCTGACTGGGAATCTAACCGGTGACCTCTTGGTTCATGGGTCGACATTCAACCATTGAGCCACCCTGGCCAGGCAGTTTTCTCGGTTAAAAAAAAAGAGAACATTTAAAAAAAAACACTTGATTTTAGAGAGAGAAAAGGAGAAAGGGAGAAACATTGAATGTTTCTATGGCAACTGAGGGTAAAGACGACCTACTTGCTGGCTGTGTGATCTTGGGCAAGCCACGTAACCTCTCTGTGCCTCAGTCTCCTCTGCCGTCACACAAGGATAACAGCCGCGTGCTCGGCCAGGGGCTGCTATGAACTTTAGGGATATTTGTGCAGCACTTGTGCGAGGCCACAGGAAGTACAGACCACTGCGTGTTAAACTAACAAGCTGAGCATCATCTCAAGAGGCCCTTGACACAGCCTCCGGGCAAGGCCGGCCACGGGCACACGCCCCGCTCTGCCTGACCCCGCCTGACCCAGCGTGGCCTCTGCACCAAAGCGCAGCAGGGGCGGCCCTAATGAGAGGGTGCCAGCCAAAGGCCACCCGTGGGTGGGGCCAGTGCCAGGGGCCTTTGGAAAGAAGCCATCCATCAGCGAAGGCCACTGTGTGACACACACATCCACCCCTGGAACCTGAGGGCGTGTGGGATCCCTGGGGGCTTCCGGGAGGGTGACTCATTCCTGAGCCTCAGTTTCCCCCATCTGTACAATGGGGGTGTCTAAGCTGCCCTGCAGGGCCCGTGGGAAGTTCCATGAAATGATTTCCTCCCGCAAGTCTTCGCAGGGCGGGCACGGCGGAGCCAAGCACAGGTGGCAGCTGCCACTCTGACTGACCGCCAAAACCCAGACCGAAATAGACGTGGTGGGAGGCCAGCTGGGAGGAGCTGCGGTGGGGCCGCCCCTTCCCTCAGGACATGCCCTGGGATGCCAGGACCCTTCACCCACCTGGCCCCCAAAGGCAGGAAACGGGACAGGGCCCCCAAGGCTCCGCCCCTCTCTAGCCGGCCCGAGGAAGGAGGGCACTCCGTCAGGAAAAAACACCCAGGCCTGGAGCTACAGAGAGCAAAGGAGGTGGGACCGAGAGGTGGGCTTTCTCCTTGAGGCAGGTGGGGGGCGCGGAGGGTCCCTCAGTTGGAGAATGGCTCGGCTTAGGGGGGAGCTGGACAGAAACGGATCGTCAGATAGCAAAAGGCCCCCTCTCCCCCCCGAAAAGGGCTGGATAAAGAGACCCAGACGCTAAGACAGAGACTTGGTGCTTGAAGGGATGTAGGGACCTGGGAGGATCCTCTCCGGCCATTCTTTCCCCTTCTGTGCAAACCCAAATGGGGGCTGACAAACAGGCCTGGGTGTTAGAGCCAGCCCCTGGGGACAGGGACCTGTCTGTCTGGTTCCCTCCTGTATCCCCACAGCCTGCACCAGGGCCCCCCAGCAGCCGGGCTCAATAAGTACTGTGCTCGGAGCCGGTGCCACAGAAGTGCCAGGCCAAATCCGGCACTCGTCCTCGGGAGGTGACATTCCGGAGGGGAAGGCAAACATTGCACAAACGGGCAGCCCCACGGATGTGGTTGAGGCTGCAGGAGGTGGGAGTGGGGGAGGACCCGGAGCAGGGGATAGCCCACAGGAGGGGGGCTGGGAGGTTCTCCTGGAGGAACAGACCTGTCTCCTTTCCCAGGGAAACTGAGCTCCAGGCCCAGAGCCCCACGCCCCTGTCTGCGAGACGCTCCCTCTCTCCTCGGAGGGTGGCTGCCCTTGCACAACTAGGGTGGCGCCTCAGCAGCCAGCCTCAGATTTAAAAACAAACCAACCCACTTGGAGCTTCTGGAGCTGCCAACTCCCCAGGTCATTTCCCGCCCGGGACCCTGGCCCGATGGCCACACGCTCTCCCCGCGCTGACCGGGTTCTGAGACCCTGCAGCTACAAGCCTCCCATTCTAAGTTTCTACTTCTGGATCAATGACCAGGATGGCTCTGTCCCTGTGAGGGGACAGCCCGTTTTTTTTAGGCATTTCCAATTCAGGTAAAGGTTTAGGATCAGAGTTTTGGAGTCATCCCTGAGTCCCCCTTCTCTCTCACCCCACATGCAGCCAGTCCATCAGGAAACCGGTCAGCTCCCCCTTCAAAACACATCTACAGCCCTGGCCGGTGTGGCTCAGTGGATAGAGCGTCGGCCTGCAGACTGCAGGGTCCGGGTTCAATCCCGGTCAAGGCCAACATGCCTAGGTTGTGGGCTAGATTCCCAGTAGGAGATGTGCAAGAGGCTCTGTCATCATTGATGTTTCTCTCTCTCCCTTTCCCTTCCTCTCTGAAATCAATTAAAAGTCTCTCCTTTAAAAAAAATATATATATATATACAAGCAACAGTCACCTAGCTCCTGGTAGGATGGCAGTTGCCTCACACAGTGTATTGCCACAAGCAGCCAGAGAGGCCCTGTTAAGACGCTATAGCACAGTGGTTGGCAAACTCGTTAGTCCACAGAGCCAAATATCAACGACTGAAACTTATTTTGAAACAGAAAACCGACTTCTGCACTTGGGCCGTGAAGTTTCATTCACACTGTACATGCGTCTGCACGTGGTATTTTGTGGAAGAGCCACACTTTTGACCAAAGAGCCGCATGTGGCTCGAGAGCCTGTTTGCCGACCACGCTATATCAGATCCAGCCCCTCCTCTCTGCTCTGAGTCCTCCCACGGCTCTCTCCAATCATAAAAACGCTCCGGTCTTTTTTTTATTTTTTTATTTTATTGATTTTTCACAGAGAGGAAGGAAGAGGGATAGAGAGCTAGAAACATCAATGAGCGAGAATCATCGACCAGCTGCTTCCTGCACCCCTCCCCACTGAGGATGTGCCCACAACCAATGTACATGCCCTTGACCGGAATCGAACCTGGGACCCTTCAGTCTGCAGACCGACGCTCTATCCACTGAGCCAAACCGGTTTGGGCTCGTCCTCTTCCTGACCTCGTCTCCCACCCTTTCCCCCGTGGCTCACCCCGTTCCGGCCGCACTGGCCTCCTCCGGCTCCTCAGACACAGCAGGCAAGTCCCACGTCAGGGCCTCTGAACTTGCTGTTCCCGACTCGGGAAAGCTCCCCCCCACCCGTGTCTCCCCAGCTCCTGCCCTCACTTTCTTCATCTCCCCCACCCTAACCTTCTCCCTCCGGCTCCTCTGTATCTTCTCCGCTAGAATACCAGTGCGGGGAGGGGCAGGGATTTTCGGCCTCGGCCCTGTTTCCTGCCGCCTCCCCAGAGCCTAGCACAGTGCCTGGCACACTGAGGGAGTTTCATAAACGTGGTGAATGAATGAGATGAGGATGGGAAATCAACAGCACACTGGGCCACACAAGCTGAGGTTGAGTACAGGCTTGGACTTTTTCCTGAGGGCACTGGGGAGCCATAGAGAGTTACAGACAGGAGGGGGGCAGGGTTAAGTTTGTGCTTTAGATAAGAGCCCTCAGAATGGAGTGGGGCTGGGACCCAGGGGAAGAAAAGGCACCTGGACCAGGGTGGGAGTGATGGCGATGGAGGACAAGCTGGACTGGAACACGTCCAGGTGTTAGAATGGTTAGGAAGACGGGGGTGCTGACGGGCTGTGGGAGTGAGGGGGGTGGGGTGGGGGCCAATGCCCTGATGTTTTGAGTTTCGGGTGGAGTAGGGAGGAACAAAGCCAGGAAGATGGATGGCCTAGAGGCAGGGCCCTCGTATCCCGCACGCTGCTGGGTTGGTGCCCACGCTCTGACCTTGGCCGGGACGTGGCCGGCCCACAGTGGGGGAGATGGCCATGGGAACACCGGCTTCCCTCAGATCAGACTGGTGACAGCCTCATGAGGTGTCAGCTGGGTCCCCAGACACGCTTCCTTTCCCTGCGGCCCGGCCTGCAGGCTTCCTGTGGTGTGAGCCCAGGAGGGGGAGATGCAGGCGGAGAGGGGACACAGCGACTTTCGGAGCCCTGGAGGGGGGAGAGGCCGGGGTCTGTCCCTCAGGGTCTGAGACGGGCCCCACCTGGCTGGCTCCTCGGGCTTGGCTCACCCACTCAAACCCTATAAAGCCCCAGCGTGACCCGCCCTCCCCTAAGGGTGAGGCCAGGCTCCGCAGGCCTTTGAAGGCCAGTGTGCTCCATGCGCTGGCCTCAGCTGCTGCCTCAGCCACCTCCGATAATTAATTAATTGCATTAATCACAGGGCCCACCCTCACAGCAGACATCTGAGGCAGTCTGGCAGCACGCGGGGCTGCCCGCCTCGGCCTGGATTCTGCACCTGCCTTCCCTCCCCCCGGGGCTCGGTACCCCAACGCCTTCCCCTAGGGGGGCTCCATCGCTGGGGGTGATCTCTAGGCTGCTCTCCCTGCCTGAGCCCCTCAGAGGAACCTCTCAGACGCCGCTCTACATGTTTGTTTCTCTGCTCCTGTTTCTCGCTCTGCATCTGGTGGTTAGGGTCTGACTTGGCCTCCCGTGTCTCCAACTCCCAGGTCTCCGCACCATTCCTTTTGTATTCTCTGACAGCTTTAGTGAGATACATTCCCAGACTGTACGATGTGGTCCATTTAAAGGGTCCAGTGTTAGCCCTAGCCGGTTTGGCTCCGTGGATAGAGCGTCAGCCTGTGGACTGAGAGGTTCCGGGTTCGATACCGGTCAAGGGCACATGCCTGGGTTGCGGGCTCAGTCCCCAGTAGCGGGTGTGCGGGAGGCAGCCGATCAATGATTCTGATCACTGATGCTTCTCTCCCTCTCCCTTCCTCTCTGAAATCAACAAAAGTATATTTTAAAAATTAAGTGTCCAGTTTTAGTATATTCATTGGTTTGCGCTGCCATCGGCACCACCAATTCCAGGACAGTTTTCCTGGCCCGAGAAGATATACCCGCATGCCTTAGCTGTCCCCATACTCTCTCCTCAGTATCTCTGACATCCGTGGTCTCGGTGTTCCCGGGTCCTGTCTGCCAGTCCCCGGAATCTGGCTCTCTGAATTGATTCCCTGGGTCTGAAATCTCTCAAGGGTCCACACCTCTCAAGGTCTGCTTCTCTGCCTCCTGGGTCTCCCCCGTCTCTCCTCATCTCTGACATACTTTCTCTCTGCCTGGGCCATCTCGCTGGGTCCCTTTTTCTCCTCCTCCTCTCATTTCTCTGTATCTCGGGGACATTAAAAATGTAACAGCGTCTCAGGCGGGGTGTGGGGTGGCGGGGGAGCTGGCCAGCGTGCCCAACTCCCTGTCCCTCCCTGTCCCCCACTCCCTGCGGCTCACACACAATGCTGGCCTTGAGGAGCCTGTGCCCTGACCTCCCAGTGTCCTAACACCTCCACCAGTCACCGAGGGGTCCTTCTGGGCTCCGAAGTCTCTCTCCAAAGGCCATTTCCTTTATCCTGGGGCCTCCTTTCCCTTACCTCCTGTGTTTCTAACCCATCCTTAAATCTGTGTCTGTTGGCTTCCGTCTCCATGCGTCCCCGCCTCCTCTCCCCAGGATGTGAGCAGACGCACCCCCTTTGCCAGTGTCCCCTCCCTAATGAGAAGAGACAGCAGGCCTGGAGTCCCCTCTGCTCCCATTCCCCTCGCTGCCATGGGGAGGCCTGGCTGGCACTGGTGGGCAGTGAGAGCTGCGAGGCCCTGGTGGTGCACCCTTGTTGGTCAGGCCAAGGAGAAGGAAGCGGAGAGCAGAGACAGGCACAGAGATGGAAGGAAAGGGGAGAGAGAGAGAGAGAGAGAGAGAGCGAGCGAGCTCTGATATGGAGACAGATGAGGGACAGAGAAGGAGAGAGAAATGAAGACAGGAAGAGGGAGAGAGAAAGTGAGGGAAAAGGAAGGAAGGAGAGAGACAGAGAGAGAAAGGGAGGGAGGAAAAGGCAAAGAGAGAAAGTCAGCAGAGAGCAGAGGCACAAGGAGAAAGGGTCAAGAGGGGAGGCTCCCTCCCTGTGGGCAGGCGTGTGTGGGGCGCTAAGAGCTTTCACACGGGATCAGCAAGGCTCTGAGTCCGCCCAGGGGCCTGCCCGGCTGGGACGGAGATCCCTGTTACGGAGGAGGAAATGCAGGCTCAGAGGGGCTGCCTGGAGCCCACCCTGAGCGCGGGGCCAAGAAAGGCTCTGGGTTACATCTGAAGTCTGGCTTCTCAGCCTGGTCCTGGGAGAGCGGCGGGCCCTTCCCAAGCCTGTCCCCTCATCCGCAAAATGGGAACAGGGACAGGACCTAGGCCCCATCTAGAGCACTCCCTGAGCTGGCTGGCTCAAAGGGGGGTGCAGTCTAAGCATCCCCCAGGAAGGAGAGGCAGGGGAGGGAGAAGGCGGCCCTCACTCAGCTCTGGGTCAGGGCTGGGAGACACGCTGGGGGAAATGAGGTCAGAGAGGTGACCCGAGGTTCCCCCTCCAGATCCCCTCGGGCAAACCCTAGGGAAACTCAGGGTCCCGAGCTTCCGGTTGGGGAATGAAAAGCCAGGTCACCTGCGAGGGGCGGGGCCGCAGCCAGTTTCACCTGTTCTCTCCCCCTCCCCCCCCTCCCGGGCCGCGCCCCTCCCCCCCGGGCCGGGGCCGGGGCCGGGGCGGAGGGGCTCCGGCCGCGGAGGGAGGCGGGGGGCGGGGATTAGGGCGGCGGCGCCGGCTCGGAGGACAAAGGCGCGGCCCGAGGCGGATAAAGTCCCGAAACTCGGGAGCCCGAACCGGGAGCCGGGCGCGCCCGCGGGTATCGGCTGGGCTCAGGTGAAAGTGAAACGGGAAAAACTTCCCCAGGGAGGGAGGTCCCCGCCGGCGGCCGGGCCGGGAAGTTTCCCGACCGCGGGGCGCGCCCCTTCCTCCGCCGCCCGGCCCGAGCCCCGGACCCCGGGGACACGCAGGACCCCCAGTGACAGGGCCCCTGCCCGTCTGCGGGCCTGGACCTCAGGGCACACCCCGAAGCTCAGGACAGGGGCTGCCTCTTGCCACCCCCCCCCCAAGGAGTCTAGAACCCAGGAATCTGTGAGCTCCTCGCCCCCCGATTCTCACCCGAACCCCAGGAGGCAGAGCCCCTCGCCTTCATCCTCCCGGGGACCCAGAAGGCAGGGCTCCCAGCCCCTCATTTTCCCCGGAGCCCCGGAGTCGGGGTTCGGCTCCCCGAAGGCCCTCCCCGGGTCGCCCCAACTCCCATCCCGGCCTCTGCGAGGGGCCGAAAGTCCGGCTCCCGCCCCTGCCCCAGGCCGTGCCCTCCGCGCTCCCAGGGCGAGCCTCAGAGGCCCCGCCCCGGGAAAACAAAAATAAGGGCGGGGGACCCTGATCTCGCCGCCTCGTCTTCGCGACCCCCCAGCTGGCGGGGGACATTCCTGAGGGAGGAAGCGGACGGACGTCCAGGTCCAGAGGCGCCGGGCGGCGCGGGGCGCGGAGGGGGCGAGAGGCCCGGGCTTTAACCCTTTCGGCCCCGGATCAGAGCCTCGGGAAGGGGCGCGGGGGGGGGGGGGGGAACGGGGGTCCGGCGAAGGCTGGGGAGTTTGGGATTAGGATGGGAGGGCGGCGGAGAGGGGAGGGTCAGAGTCTCACTCGGATCGGGGGTGGGGGGTGCGGCCTGAGTCGGTGGGGCCGTTCCGGAAAGGGGGGCGCGCAAGCCGGGGGCCGGCGCATTGGGGGAGGGGTGGGGAGGGTGCGCAGGGCCCCCCTCGGGAGGGGGGCAGGGGGCTGGGTCCGCGCTGGAGGGGCGCTCACCGGCTTCTCGGAGCAGCAGCAGCAGCAGCGGCAGCAGCGGAGTCGGCGACGGTCTCGACGGCGGGAGGGCCGCGGCCCGGGCCATGGGGGGCCCGGGGAGGGGCTGGGGGCGGGCGGGCGGAGGCCTGCGGACCACTCTGCGAGCGCCAACCGCCTGGGCGAACCAGCAGGTGCCTGAGGGGCTCCGGCTCCCGGCCGGCTCCCGCCCGCAGCGTTCCCGTCCCCCGGATTCGTCGATCTCGGTCCCGGCTCTCCGGGCTCCGTGCCCCCGGGCCGCTAAGCTCCGCTCTGGCTGTTAGGACGACGTCACAGGACCCACCCCCTTCCCTGCCCAGCCCAGCCCCGCCGAGCCCCGGCGGCTCCGCCCCCTCCCGGGATTCCAAACAGGCCCTTCCCGGGAAGCGCGCCCCGCCCTCCTAGCGCCCCGGCCCTCCGCTTCCCATGATCCCACACTCCCCGCCCCGCTCTCCGCCCGCCCCCTCCCACGGCTCCACACCTGCCGCCCCTCTGGATTCCACGGTCGCCCCTCCGGGGTCGATGATCGGCCCCCGAATTCTCTAACCCTTTCGGGTGTTCAAGCCTCTCCCCCTCGTGCTCTGGCCACGCCCCCTCTCCCCAGGCGCTCCGCTCTCCGTCTCCAGGGGGCTCCACTGAGGCCCCGGCCGTCTCCGCCCCCCGCCCCCCTCCTCGAGGCCCCGCCACTCCGCGAGGCCCCGCCCTCCGCGAGCCCCCCGCTCGCCGTGAGGCCCCGCCCCCGCAAGCCCCCTGCAGCGAGACCCCGCCCCTCCGCGAGGCTCCGCCCTGTCCATCATCTGGGTTGTAGTTTCTCCAACCCGAGAGCCCGCTGCCCGGCCTTAGCCCCGCCCACAGCTCTAGCCCCGCCCCCGGCGAAGGTCCTGGCCCTCCCGCCGCACCTGCGCGGGGCTCGCGGGCTCTCCTGGGCTCGCCCCCTCTGGAACCCCGCCCTGGCGCCCAGACCCCCAGCCCCAGCCCCGCCTTCCACTTCTGCTCTCGCCCCTCGCTCGCTGTGTGTCTGTCTTCCGTTTGGGGGGGCTCCTCAGAACGGCCTCTTTCTCTTCCTACACCTCTACCTCGGCGGACTCTGGGAGTCGCTGCATCGTTTCTTTCTAGATGTCTCTCAGTGCCTCCGTCTTTGTGTCTCTCGCTATCTTAGCGTCTCCGTATTTCTCCGTCTCTTGGGTCTTTCATTCTTAACGTCTCGGTGTCGCTTTGTGTTTCTGGGCTCTCTGTGTCTTCCTATCTCTGTTTATGTTCCACTTGGTCCTGTGTGTGTCTCTCTCTCCGATTCTGTCTCTGTGTCTCTGCCTTTATCTGTCTCCATGTCTGTCTCTTTCTGTGCCTGTGTCTGCCCCTGTCTCTGTGCGTTGTCTCTCTTTCGGTGTCTCGCTTCTCTCTGTGTCTCTCTCCCGATGTCTCTGCCCCTTGTCTCTGTTTTCTGTTCCTGGTGCATCCATCCCCTCATCCTCCTCCATCTGGTCCGCACCGCCTCCTTCCTACGCCCGTCCGCCAGGGGGCAGCACAGACCGGCCCCCGCGCGCAGCCCTCTGCTGGGCCCAGCCAGGATTTGGCCTCCAGGCACTCCCCGCGTCCTTGTCCCACTTCCCTATCTTCCTCGCCTCCTCGCGTCTCTGCTCGTCTCCGCTCCGGCTCTGCCCCTTTGTCTCTCCCCGCGGCTCCCGCTCCTCCCCAGCCCCACCTACCTCTTCACATTCCTTGGGCTGCCCCGGGGGAGCTGGTGAGGCCTCCCAGCTAGTCTGGGTGTGGGCGGGAAGCCAGAAGGCCGAGGGAGGGGATGCCACTGAGCGCCTGTAATCCCTCCGATCCAGGGCCTCTAGGCGCTGAGCTGATCCGCTGGGAGCAGATGCCTGGGGCTTGCTAGCAAAGAGGACACGTTAAGATTTTCTCTCCTGCCCCATCCGCCATACACCTGAGCTCTCCTCCCAGAAGCTCAGGAGCCGAGACTTATTGAGCGGCGTTCATGTCTTGGTAATAATAATACTGCTAATAAATGCATTTGGCGCCGAAATTGGTTTGGCTCAATGGATAGAGCGTTGGCCTGCGGACTGAGCGGTCCAGTCAAGGGCATGTACATTGGTTGCGGGCACATCCCCAGTGTGGGGTGTGCAGGAGGCAGCTGGTTGATGTTTCTTTCTCATCGATGTTTCTAGCTCTCTATCCTTCTCCCTTCCTCTCTGCAAAAAATCAATAAAATATATATTTTAAAAAATAAATGCATTTGGCACTTACCATGTGCTAGCCACTGGCCTGTGTGCTCTAGGGTCGCGTATAACCCACACAGACCCTAAGGGATCAGAAAATCGTGGCACAGAGAAAATGAAGTGACTCGATCCAAAGTCCCAGGGTTACAAACCGGCAGATCTGGAACGGACTGGCTTCTCTTAGTTCATTTCTCCTAAGAACCCCATGAAGGGGACACACTCATGGTCCCCATTTCACTGGAAAAGGACACTGGGCCCTGAGTAGATTTCTCCAAGCTAACCCTGCAAGGAGGTACAGGCTGGGCCTGGAGATAATGTGTACCTCAGGCTTGGCATAGCTTAGCGCGGGGTTGGCTGGGCAAGTACGTGCATAATAAATGTGCTCTAGATCTTCGTGTCCTTCTTCCCCCAATCTGGGCCAGACGAGAGGGCCAGCACTGTTCCCGGTAAGACAACGAGACTGAGACCTCGGTTCCTGTCCACACGAAGGAGGAAATCCAGTCAGGAAACGGTGCGGCAGAGCAAGCGAGACGCTGTATCGGCCACAGCAAAAGCACACTCAGGACAGGGACACCAGGAGGGGCTTAGCTTTGAAGCGGCAGCCGGAGAGCCGGACGGGGCTGCTGTGGCTCCCTGGGAAGTCAGAGGGAAGGGGGCTGGGAGACAGGCCCCTGGGGTTAGCGCAAGACCAGCTGCTGCTGCCCACTGCTCCCCTGGTTGCAAGACTCACAAGGCCTCTTAGAGTTTAGAGACAGGTGCCTGCCAGGGAAGGAGGGGGGGGGGGAATGGCGGGGGTATGCTCCCCAGAGGGAAAGCACCTGCTGGATCTTTTGTCTGGAGAGTGTTTATTTCTCTCTTGCAGGTGGGAATCTTGGGATAGTCTCAGAGAGAGTTTCGGCAGACTATTCATTTGTTTTCCAGGTGTGCTCTTCCGGGGTCCTGGTCTCCCCTGATTGGTGGGGGCCAGGGCAGGGGGTCATTAGTCAGTGCACCCCGTACTGAGGCAGTCTTCACTTGTCTGCTGTTGCTTCTTCTTTTTAAAAAAAAAATATATTTTATTGATTTTTTACAGAGAGGAAGAGAGAGTTAGAAACATGGATGAGAGTCATCGATCAGCTGCCTCTTGCACACCCCCTATTGGGGATGTATTTGCAACCAAGGGACATGCCCTTGCCTGGAATCGAACTCGGGATCTTTCAGTGGGCAGGCCGACGCTCTAACCCCTGAGCCAAACCGGTGTTGGCTGTTGTTTCTTTCCTAAGCCTGGAGCTGAAGAACAACAGGGGCCTGGAAGTCGTCTTCAAGGAGGAAAAGTCAGGGGATCCAAACGGAAGGATCAGCAATGGGGAAGGGGAGGGAAGGTTAGCCTGGGGGCAGAACCTTGTTTGCCTTGTGAGGCGCCTGGGGCTCTCCGCTCTGGTGACCTGTATCTGGCCCTGCCCTGCTCCTGCTCTCCTCAGTCTACCTGCCTACCACAGGATCTCTGAGTGTTTTTTTTTTTTAATCAATCTTTATTGTTCATATTATTACAAAAGTTCCTCATTTCCCCCCCCCCCTCCACCAGGTTCTCACCCCATCCTCTGCCCTTTCCCCACCCCCCATTGTCCTCATCCATAGGTGCACAGTTTATGTTCAGTCTCTTCCCGCATCCACCACTCCCCTTTTCCCCGAGAATTGTCAGTCCACTCCCCTTCCCGTATCTCTGATTCTGAGTGCTTTTTAAAAAATATATCTTATTGATTTTTTACAGAGAGAAAGGGAGAGGGATAGAGAGTTAGAAACATCAATGAGAGAGCAACATCGATCAGCTGCCTCTTGCACGCCCCCTACTGGGGATGTGCCCGCAACCAAGGTACGTGCCCTTGTCCGGAATCGGACTCAGGACCCTTCAGTCTGCAGGCCCACATTCCATCCATTGAGCCAAACCGGTTTCGGCAGGATCTCTGAGTTTTATGAGCAGCTTTTGCAACTCACTTGCTTTGTTAAATCCTGGGCCCCCATTTCTCCCTTGAGCAAAATAGCGAGTGTCCAAGAGATTTCTTCCTGGGAGGCCCCCGCGTACCCCCTCTCCTCCCGGCTCCACTCTCCATGCTGCTCTTTGTGGGCACAGGTGAGGCCGGAGGCAAACCCCGGGAGAGCAGGCAGGAGTTTCGCCGCCCCCGCTCCCGCCCCCAGGAGCACCTTTGAGGCTGAGCAGTGCGGTTCTGTTGACAAAGGACTAGGTGGGTCCCATGCCTGGGGAGCCAACTTCCAGTGTCAACAATGACTGAAGAGTCATAGCTACGAGGAGTGGGGGCCCAGGGCCAAAGGCATCTGAGGGAGCTGTGGAGTCGGCGCCAGGTTGTAGGTGATGCAGATTTCCTGCCGCGCGGGAGGCAGCAGCGCCCACAACCCTGTGTTGTCCCGTGGGCAACCATCTTTCATCTGCCCAGCAACCTCTCTCCCTCTCTCAGCTCCCTTCTCCCCGGCCCACCCCAGTTTCCTTTCTTTTTGAAATATATGTCTTACTGATTTCAGAGAGGAAGGGAGAGGGAGAGAGAGATATAGAAACATCAGCCAAAGCCGGTTTGGCTCAGTGGTAGAGCGTTGGTCTGCGGACTGAAAGGTCCCAGGTTCGATTCCGGTCAAGGGCATGTACATTGGTTGCGGGCACATCCCCGGTAGGGGGTGTGCAAGAGGCAGCTGGTCGATGTTTCTCTCTCATCGACGTTTCTAGCTCTCTATCTCTCTCCCTTCCTCTCTGTAAAAAAATCAATAAAATATATTTTAAAAAGAAAAAAAAATCAATGATGAGAGAGAATGAATGATTAGCTGCCTTCTGCAGCCCCCCCCCCCCACACACACACACACTGGGGATGGAGCCCACAACCCAGGAATGTGCCCTTCACTGGAATCAAATCCAGGACTCTTCATTTCACAGGCGGATGCTCTATCCACTGAGCCAAACCAGCCAGGGCCCACCTGTTTCCTTATGGAAAATCCCTACTGATAGTCAGCCTCTGATATTCCTGTTATGAGGGAATAACTTTTCCTTTTCACTCACACATTTTTGGGGTCATTGGCAACCCAAACATATCCTTACTAATAAGTCTATAGGGGTTCAGAAGAGGTACAGATTCTTGTAAAGTCCCAAGGGCAGGGGAAGGGGAGTGAACACTTTTCAGAATCCTTCAAGATGTGCAAGCTTTGGCTCAGTGGATAGAGCTTCAGCCTATGGGCTGAAAGGTCCCAGGTTCGATTCTGGCCAAGGGCATGTACCTTGGTTGCGGGCATATCCCCTGTAAGGGGTGTGCAGGAGGCAGCTGGTCGATGTTTCCCTCTCATTGATGTTTCTAACTCTCTATTCCTCTCCCTTCCTCTCTGTGAAAAATCAATAAAATAAAACGATACCAAAAAAAAATAAAAAAAAATTGCAAGCTTTGAAGGACCAGCAAGCTTTGTCATGGGGTGGGGGGGGGGCCGAGGTGTGGGGGTAGTAAAGTCACAGAGGCACAGGGGGACATTTGTGAGAGCGAGTCGGCGAGTCCTGGATGGTGTGAGGGTCCTGAATGTCGGGTGAAGGGTCATATTGCTCCTGTTCCTCAGAGCCATAGGGAGCCACAGAAGGCGGAGGAGCAAGGGGAGTCTACTCTAAACTCGCCTTCACTTCCTGGAGCCCCAGATCCTGTAGTTTACCTCTCCCCCGCCCCCCTCCCGTTCCCCAGACCCTCAGCCAAGGTGGGAGGAGGGCTCAGGCTGCCATCTGCATGCAAATGTGCCGGATGCTATGCAGATGAGGGATCCTATGCAAATGTACGCCCTCCCGGGAGGTGGGCCCGGACGCTCCCCTCATTAACTTGGGGACCAGGTGCCTGGCAGGCGGAGAACCCCTTCCTCCCTGGAGTCTCCTTTCTTCCCTTCCCCCAGACATCTGCTCCCTACCCCTCCCGCTCCTCAGACCCCCTCTCACCACCGTCCGGTCCGCTCTTAGAACGGGCTCTCACTCCTCCTGGCTCCTTCCCTGCACAAGGGGCCGCATTTCGCTCTGCCCTTTCCCTTGGGGAAGAATGCCTAGTAACCATGTCCAGAGCACCGCCTCTGTCCAGGCTTTGTACTGAACACTTCCCGCTGTTGTCATCAAATTTGCCCAATTACACCAGGACCCTCTGTGTGTGTCTGCTGTATTATTATTTTTTTTTTTAAGAATACTCAATTCTGTTACAGAGAGAACAATAAAGTCACACGGATAAGGGGACAGATGAGACCTAACCAGTTTGGCTCAGTGGATAGAGCATTGGGTTGTGGGTGCATCCCCAGTAGGAGGTGTGCGGGAAGCAGCTGATTGATGTTTCTCTCTCATGGATGATTCTGACTCTCTATCCCTCTCCCTTCCTCTTTGTTAAAAAAAAAATATATATATATATATATATATATATATATATATATATATATAAAATTAATGAAACTTCTTTTAAAAAAATATATATTTTATTGATTTTTTTTACAGAGAGGAAGGGAGAGGGATAGTTAGAAACATGGATGAGAGAGAGTCATAGATCAGCTGCCTCTTACACACCCCCTACCGGGGATGTGCCCGCAACCAAGGTACATGCCCTTAACCGGAATCGAACCTGGGACCCTTCAGTCCACGGGCCAACGCTCTATCCACTGAGCCAAACTGGTTTCGGCTAAAATATATTTTCTTAAAAAGGAGGGAGACAGATGAAACAAAGGCTGGATGTTAAGAAGGGACTCGTGAGGCCTGTCAGAGAGGTGAAGACTGTGAGCTAAACACGGGTGGGAAGGAGGTAAGGAAGGAGTAAGCCCCCACGTTCCACGCACCCTTAAGGGGCTTCCCCGTTGGCGACCGGCTCTGTCCCCGGGGTCCCGTGCCCACGTCCTGCGTGACCCTGGCACCTTCCAGGCGCAGCCCTTCTGGCTCCCCTCCTCCTCCGAGGGTTGGACTCACAGCTGCTGTGAGAGAGACTGCCGCGGAGCCACACGCACCCCAGAACGCAGTGTCGGGGACCGCGGATCGCCGGTGCCCCGAACTCAGCGTGTTTGCCTGGCCCGTCTCTTTTTGCTTCTTGCGTTTGTTTTAAACAGATTCAACCAACCGTGGAACGGGAGCCCCTGAGTCAGAGGGGCGAGGGCCTCTGTGGGGCTGCGGGGCAGGCTGCTCCGTGGCCAGCCAGGCTTCGAGAGGCTCTCGAGGGGGGCCACGGCCACGGCCACGGCCACGGGGGCCCACTTTGTCCGTTTTGTGGCCAAGCAAACTGAGGACGGCGAGGTGGAGGCCCTCGCTGAGCTCAGAGGCTCCTGATCCTCCGTGCACGTGTCCCAGAGTGATCCCGCCCCCTCCTCCCGCAGCCTCCGGGGCCTGGAGCCCGAGTGTGATTTTCTCTGTGATGGGCGCGGGGTCAGCATGCCGCCTCCACCGCCGCTTCTGGGCTGTGCTGATCCCTCTGCCTCCCTTCTTTCCGTTTCTCTTTGTCTCTACGTGACTGTCTCCGCCGCCCTCTCCCGAAACCTGTCTGTCTGTCGGACTCCAGGGCCCTCATCTCTGAGCTGCCCGGCCTGCGCCCCCCTCCCCCCAGGTCTTCCCACCCCTCTCCCAAACCCCCCTTCCTCAGGGCGTCTCTCGGGCAGGCCTCGCTGCTCCGGCCGCCTCTGCTCCCTGCCCCAGGCCCCTCGTCGGGGTCTCTCCGAGCCACCCCTCCTCCGGCAGCTGCGGAGTGATGCCATCCCCAGAGCAGACAGTGCCATCTCGGATTCCATTCAGCCGGCAGCTCAGAGAGGCTCTCCTCTCCCAGCCTCAGTTCCCTCTAGGGCGCTGGCAAGAGAGCCTGGGAACTTTTACTTAGGGGGACAGCGCCCCACCCGCCGAGCAGGCCTGGTCCTCAGGGGCCACGCTCAGTGCCCTCTAGACCCCCAGCATCTTTCTTGCATCCTCGGAGGCTGAGTCACCCTCTGCTCGCGCTCTCTCTCTCTCTCTCTCTCTCTCTCTCTCTCTCTCTCTCATGTCTTTCTCCATGACGTCAGATCGCTCCCAGATCTGGCGAGGGGGCGGAGGAGCAGCGGGGAGGGGAGCACATTACCTGCGCCCCTTCCCCTCGCCTCCCCCAGAGCAGGCTCCGGCCACGGCATGGTGTCCAAGTGACAGACAGCGTTTATTCCAGACTCCAGTGTCCACGAGGAGGGCGGCGCGGGGGTGGGATCCAGTGTCAGACTATGCAGCAGGATCAGGTGGGGGGCCAGCCATGGAGGCAGGAGGTAAAAATAGCCTCGGCCGGCCGACCCTCGGAGCCTGGTCCCAGGCCGGGCCCCAGGCGCGGGGCCAGAAGCTATTCTGGGGCCTGGGAGAGTCATACTCCCCGGAGGAAGGTCCCCTCCCACCCGCGAGCGAGCGAGCGCACCACCCTCCCTTCCTCCCGGCAGTGAGTGCAGGCCCCGGCCCAGCCGGCAGAGGAAGGAAGGGAGGGCCGGAGAGGGAAGGGCAGGAGGGAAGGCGGGGGAGGGCAGGGCGTGCGCAGGGCTGCTTCTCCAACGCCTGCAACTCCAGGTTGTGTCCGAAGGCTGCCTCCGGGAGGCCTCAGGCTTAGCACTGGGGAGAAAGTGGGAAGGTCAGCCTGTGCCCCAGGGGGCGTCCGTCCGTGTCCCCCCCCCCCCCCCCCCCCGCAGCCGGTCCCTTCTCACCAGGGCGCCCAGGCCCTCACCCACCTCGTCTCCGAAGCCCCCGCTGCCACGCCGGGCTCCTCCGGAGGCGCCTCCCATGAGAAGGCCTGTCTGCTCGGGCCGCGGGGACCCTGAGTGGCTCAGGTCTGGCTCCCCGGGCCTGGGGAGAGGAGGCACCATGTTGGAGGGAGTCCCGCTGGGGAAGGCCTTGGGGATGGGCTGTATGGGATGGAGGAGAGAGACTCGGAGGCGGCGGGCGGGAATGGGTTGGGGATGGGGAGGGGATGGTAATGCATCGGGGTTAGGGATGAGTTGGAGATGGTGTTGAGTTGGGTCAGCCCTGGGGCAGGTTTGGGGGGGGCTATGGATGGGAGCTGAGGGTGGCCATGTGATGGGGGTGGGAGATGAGGTTTGGTGTTAGGAACAGGAATGAGGTGGGCTGGAGGGGCCAGGGGGTGGGGATTGGTTGAAGCTGGGTTTGGTGCCGGTTATGGTTGGGGCTGGGGAAGAAGTCGGAGCTCAGGGTTGAAGGAGTGAGGGGTGTGGTTGGGACGGAGGCTGGAGATGGGGTGGTTATGGGGGGGTTGAGGATGGGGATAGGGATGGGGTTGGAGAGGAGGTTAGATGGGTTGGGTTTGGGAATGAGAGAGGACTGGGCCTGGAGGGGGGGCCGGATGTGGAGGGAGGATGAGATCAGGGTCGGAGAGGAGACTGGGATTCTATGGGGTTACGCTGTGTTCGGTGACGGCTGGAATTGGAGGTGGGGACGAGATTGGGGTTGGAGAGGTCAGGGAGGGTGCTAACTGGGCTTACGGGTGGGTGTGAGGATGGCAGAGCTGGAGGAGGCTGTTGGAGCTGGGGGAGGGGATGGCCATGGACTAGGTTTGAGGTGAGAGATGGGATTGCATTGCATTTGGGTTTGGCATTGGAGACTGGATGCTGTCTATCGAAGCTGGTCATGGGCGAGGGTTTGGGGCTGAGGTCGGTCAGGTAGACCTAGGGGCGGGGCTGGGTTGCAGAGGTCACTCACGGAGCCCGCTTCTCCCCCTTCCGGCAGCAGCCGGGGCGCCCCTTGCGTCTCATGCAGTAGAAGGCGGCGACGACGAGGAGCAGGAGGCCCACGCTGACGGCCACGGCCATGACGGCGACGCCGGCCTGGGAAGTCTGGGGGGCCACTGCGGGGACAGGCGGGTGGGAGCTCGCAGCAGCTCTCCAGGCCACGGCCCCGTGCCCCCGGGCGGTCACTCACGGGGGCCGAAGTGGAAGACGTGCTGGGCGCTCCCGTGGGCGTTGGAGGCCTCACAGGAGACGCCGCGCTGGCTCATGGCGTTGGTCAGCTTCAGGGTCAGGGAGCTGCTCACCCAGCCCTGGCCCCCGGGCACCGGCTCTGTGGACTGCGGGGGCTCGGGTCAGGCCTGGGCCCATGGGATCGAGGGCTGGGGTGAGGGCAAGCCCCTCAGGAAGTAGGAGAGGGGACACAGCGTCTGCGTCCGTGCCCCGTGGGAGCTTGGAGAGGGTGCCTGTGGCCGCAGGGTGGAGGGGAGGGTGCCTGTGGCCCGCAGGGGGGAGGGGAAGGTGCCTGTGGCCGGGAGGGTGCAGGGGAGGGGGCCTGTGGCCCGCAGCGTGGAGGGGAGGGTGCTGGGGGCCCCAGGGCAGAGGGGAGGGGGCCTGTGGCCCGCAGGGGGGAGGGGAGGGTGTCTGTGGCCCGCAGGGGGGAGGGGAGGGTGCTGGGGGCCCGCAGGGGGGAGGGGAGGGTGCCTGTGGGCCCCAGGGCGGAGGGGAGAGCAGGGTGTCTGTGGGCCCCAGGGCGGAGGGGAGAGTAGGGTGCCTGTGGGCCCCAGGGCGGAGGGGAGAGTAGGGTGCCTGTGGGCCCCAGGGCGGAGGGGAGGGTGCCTGTGGCCCGCAGGGGGGAGGGGAGGGTTCCTTACACTCTCGCCCTTTTCGCTCCAGAGGAACTTGGGCTCTGGGTAGCCCCGGGCAGAGCAGACCAGCCTCACTTCGTCTCCTTCTCTCCAGCTGTCCCCGGACTGCGGGTGGATATTCTCCGGCTTTAAGTCGGGGACCCCTGTGGGTGGGGCGGCGGATGGGCGTGAGCAGGAGGCTCCGTGGAGGGGGAAAGAGGAAGAGTGAGGAAGAGGAGGAGGGAGGGGAGAGGAAGAGAGCCGGAGACCGAGGACCAGCCATCGTGGTCCCTTTCCATTGGTCCTGGCAGCCACCCACTCCCATTGTGCCCATCCCGGCCGGCCCCTACCCCCGAACCTTCAACCAGCAGCTTGAGGGCCCGGGTGCGGCTGAGGAGGGGGACCGTGGGCGTGTAGGCCTCGCACACGTAGGTGCCGGTGGAACTGAAGGTGATGGAGCTGAGCGAGAGCGTGGGGCCGTCCGCCAGGGGGGCCGCATCCTGGAGGGGGGGAGCGAGAAGGGGCCAGGTGGGCCATGGGAGAAGGGGGGCGGTGTAGGGAGCGGGGGGTGGCGTGGTGGGGGTCTCCCTCCCCTCTCACCTTGGTCCAGCGCAGAGCCGGGGCGGGCAGGCCTTGCACGGAGCAGGTCACGGTTACGCTGCTGTCCAGGGGTAAGGCGAGCTCATCCTCGCTGCTGAGCTCGATGGGGTCCAGGTCTGGGGGGGAGGGGAGACACCGAAGGTCACCTTCCGGGACCCTCCCCACGTTGGTGAGGGGCGCCCGAGGGCTTTTGTGGGTATGGGCGTGGGTGCACCATAGCCAAGCGCTCCTCACTGCTCTCCCGTCTCCGTGACCTCTCCGCTCTCCGTCGGGCCAAACCTCGAGCCGAATCGAGGGGTCTAACCCGGACGGCTTTCCCCAGAGCCAATGTGGGGCCCAAGGGTAACGGACATCTCGGAGGTGGGAGGTGTTTCTCCTCTAACTTTCCGCCCACACCCTTGCCTTCTCCCCCCCACTGCCAGGTCTTCCTCTGCTCTGCCCCCAAAACCGATCTTTCTGCTTCTGTCCATGTCTGAACTCCAAGGCCAACTGCCTTGACCACTGCAGCCGCCTCCTCCCTGGCCTCCCTGCGGGGCTGGACTTTGGTCCTTGGAGCAGCGAGATGGATCTTTTCAAAACACACTGGTCAGGCCCTGACCGGTGTGGCTCAGTGGATAGAGTGTCGGCCTAGGGATTGAAGGGTCTCAGGTTCGATTCTGGTCAAGGCATGCACCTTGGTTGCGGGCACATCCCCGGTAGGGGGTGTACAAGAGGCAGCTGATCTATGTTTCTAACTATCCCTCTCCCTTCCTCTCTGTTAAAAAAAAAAAATATCAATAAAATATACTTTAGCCGAAACCGGTTTGGATCAGTGGATAGAGCGTCAGTGGATAGATTCCGGTCAAGGGCATGTAACTTGGTTGCGGGCATATCCCCAGTGGGGGGTGTGCAAGAGGCAGCTCATCGATGACTCTCTCTCATCGATGTTTCGAACTCTCTATCTCTCTCACTTCCTCTCTGTACAAAATCAATAAAATATATTAAAAAATATATTTATATACTTAAAAAAAACCCACACACTGGTCAGCCCTTCCCTCTGCTTACAATCCCACGGTGGCTCCCCTTGGGATTCCCCTCCTTAGTTCCCCCCCGGGCCCTCCAGCTGCTGGCTGAGGGTTTGGGGGTAGGGGCAGGCCGGGATGGGGACAACGGGGGGTGGGCGGCCAGGACCAAGGGGAAGGGACCACTCTAGGCCTCGAGGCCAAGTTCCTTGACGAAGCCAGCAGGTCCTCCTGGTGTGTGACCCCTGACCTCCTGTCCCACCCTCCTTTCTTCCCCCTGAGCTCCAGCTACCCTGCCCGCTTCCTGTTTGTCTCCAGCACGCCCAGCTGGGTCCTGCCTCAGGACCTTTGCATTGGCTGTTCCCTCTCCCTGGAGTGCCCTTCCTCTGCCTCGTTGCATGTCTGATCCCATCTATGGTTTGTTGCTCAAAAGGCCCTTCTCAGAGAGGCCGCTCTAACCCCCCTGGCGTGACCACTCCGCTCTCTCCTTCAGCTGCTGAGGGACATCAGCTGCCAGCCCTCAGCTGCCAGCCCTTTCCAGGAACTGCGTCAGTTGCACAGAGCCCCTTGCTCAAAGTCATGCCCCTTCCCCAGGCAGCCGGTGGCCCCGGACGAGTCGGTGTGGGGGTACACAAGCCAGGCCCCTTCGCCCTCCGCTTCCAAGCGCCTCACACCCCCAAGGCTGTCCATGAACCTGGGGCCCCACGTCCCCGTGTGCCCAACCGAGGCCTTCTGAGATGCCAGCCCAACTTCTCCCTCTGCCCGATCCTGCTTCCTTCCCTTCCCCGCCCCGAGCAGAGGTGGATGCCAAGGCACTCCTCACAAACTTCCTGCCCTCAGATCTCCACGCAGAGTCTGCTTCCTGGGGATGTAGCCTGCCAACACCCCAAACTGCTCCTGGCTCTGCCCAGCCAGTTCCTTACCCCATCACTCTGCACGGGGCCCTCAGTCTCCCCTATTGGGCCGGGGGCTCCGGGAAGGTGGGGGCTGGGCAGACTGTTCACAGGGGTGTCACCACCATCAGGCCCAGGGTCTGACTCCAGAAAAGGAGACAGAAGAGCCGGGCTGGGGGCCGGGGGGCCTGAGGAGGCTCCTTCGAAGACGGACCCAAGAGACGGGTCAGAAATGGATGGAGAATAAGGTGGTGGTGACCAGACGTCCCGCTTTTGGCGGGACAATCCGATTTTTAACTGTCTGTCCCGTGTTGCCGAAACCGGTTTGGCTCAATGGATAGAGCGCCGGCCTGCGGACTGAAGGGTCCCGGGTTCGATTCCGGACAGGGGCATGTACATTGGTTGCGGGCACATCCCCGGTGGGGGGTGTGCAGGAGGCAGCTGGTCGATGTTTCTCTCTCATCAACGTTTCTAGCTCTCGATCCCTCTCCCTTCCTCTCTGTGGAAAAATCAATAAAATATATTTTAAAACAAAACAAAAAGGATTTGCCCTGCGTCCCACGGAGTTTTAAAAAAAGTCGAGATTTTTTTTAAAAATCTATAAAAAAAATCGGGACTTTTCAAAAATCGGGACTTTTTTTTTTTAATATATTTTATTGATTTTTCACAGAGAGGAAGAGAGAGGGATAGAGAGTTAGAAACATCAATGATGAGCGAGAATCATCGATCAGCTGCCTCTTGCACACCCCCTACTGGGGATGCGCCCGCAACTAAGGCACACGCCCCTGACCGGAATCGAACCCGGGACCCTTCAGTCCGCAGGCCGACGCTTTATCCACTGAGCCAAACCGGCCCCGGCTAAAACGCCGCGGGACGCGGGACAAATTGTTAGAAATTGGGACCGTCCCGCCAAAAGCGGGGCGTCTGGTCGCCTTGATGTAGAAGGCCGGGGAGCGATCCCGGGGATGAGAGGGGCGTGGGTGGGATGCGGAAAACGCCTTGGTGGGGAGCAGGGTCAGCCACAGGCGAAACCAAGCAGGTGGGCCTGGACCACGTGGCGAGGCCCCTGGGCTTTCCCAGAGGACACTGGGGAGCCATGGCAGGTTCTGGAGGAGGGGAGGCGCGGAGAGGAGGTCAGGTTTTGCACTTCGTAAAGGCTCTCTGGCTGCCTGGTGTGGGAGTTTAGAGGGGCCTGGGGCAGGGTCCCCGGGAGGAGGGAGGCCTGTGGGATCCAAACAGGGGCTGCACATTGGGAGGCAGGCCTGGGGGAGGAGGGTGAAGGGGAGGAGGTCGCACCCCCCCCCCCCCCCGTGGGTCCCCGGCTCTCACAGGCCACGCGCAGCCCCAGCGTCTGGGAGAGCTCGGCCTCCTCGGCCGCGTCGTAGTCCAGCGCCCGGCAGCCGTAGGTGCCGCTCTGGTTCCGCTGCACGGCCTCCAGCGTGAAGTTCCCGTGCAGGTTGGTGCTCAGGGTTTTCTCCTCCTGGCCCTGGGTGAGGGGGGCGAGGGGCCGGCTCAGAAGCCTCCTGGTAGGTGGCGGGGTCCCTCTCCAGGTGAGGGTCACGTGAGGTCGGAGCCCTCCGGTCGGGGGGCAGAGGGCGGGTTAGCCAGGGCCACGGTGAAAGGGGGGGTCGGCGGGGGTGGGCGTGTCCCAGAGGTCAGGGGCCCCGGGAACCGCGGGCCGGTCACCTGCAGGCGGTAAAACGTGAACTCGGGCGTGGGGTTGCCGTCCCCGCGGCAGACGAGCTGGACGGAGTCGCCCTCGCGCACCCAGCCCTCCGTGGTGGTCGCGCTGTCCACCCAGAACTGCACGTGCTCCGTGGGATCTGCGGGGGGAGCGGGGCGGGTCAGGGTGGGATCGGGGGCCCAGCTCGGTGCAGGAGGCTGCCGGCCGGCGTGTGGTCGTTAAACTCCCAGAGTGCTCTGGGGCGGCGGGGGGTGGGGGGTGGGGAGGGAGGTCAGAAGTCAGGTGGCGCCGAAACCGGTTTGGCTCAGTGGATAGAGCGTCGGTCTGCGGACTGAAAGGTCCCGGGTTCGATTCCGGACAAGGGAGGCAGGGGTGTGCAGGAGGCAGGAGTGTGCAGGAGGCAGGGGTGTGCAGGAGGCAGGGGTGTGCAGGAGGCAGCTGGTCGATGTTTCTCTCTCATCAATGTTTCTAGCTCTCTATCCCTCTCCCTTCCTCTCTGTAAAAAAATCAATGAAATATTTTTGGGTTTAAAAAAACAAACAAACAAACAAACAAAAAAAAAAACACCAAAAAAACCCCTCAATTGTCTAATACTTTAAAAAAGAAGAAGAAGAAGAAGAAACAGCAGAAACCGGTTTGGCTCAGTGGATAGAGCCTCTGCCTGCAGACTGAAGGGTCCCAGGTTCGATTCCGGTCAAGGGCATGTACCTTGGTTGCAGGCACGTCCCCAGTAGGGAGCGTGCAGGAGGCAGCTGGTGGATGTTTCTCTCTCATCGATGTTTCTAGTTCTCTATGCCTCTCCCTTCCTCTCTGTAAAAATTCAATAAAATATATTTTTTTAAAAAAAGAAGTCAGATGGCGCTCGTGGGACTCCTTGAGGTCACGGTTCAGCCTAAGGCAGGGGACGGGGGCCAGCGTGGGGGCCGAGGCTGGCTGGCCGGAGGAGGGTCAGGCCTCCGGGGGTGTGAAGCCCAAGGGCAAGGTCGGGGCGGGCGGGGACGCACAGTGCAGGGTGAGGCCGAAGGCCTGGCTGTCCAGGTGGCCGTGCTGGCCACGGGGCAGCCTGTAGTGCGCGGAGCAGTGGAAGCGGGCGTCCCGGTCCTCCTTGTGCACCCGCAGGTAGAGGGTGCTGGTGAGAGACTGCAGGCCCGAGGCCTCCCGCACGGTGCGGCTGGTCATGTAGCTGTCTGCGAGGGAGGGAGGGAGGGTGGGGGAGAGGGAGGGCCGTCAGCCAGCTCCGCCCCCTCCCCCCCCCCACACACACACCCTCCCCGCCAGCCCAGCCGGGCTCCTGCCCCCGCTCACTTGAGTTCACCTCCATGGGCACCTTCAGGGGCTGCCCGTTCCGGTACCACTTGATCTGGGGGGCGGGGTTCCCGTTGCGGCTGTGGCAGGTGGCGATCTGGGGGGCGGACACACGCACGGCCCGAGGCTCTGAGCCAGCCCTCGGAGCGCTGAGGGTACCCCGTCCCCGGAGGAATTCTCCCCGCTTGGATCCAGGGCCCCGGGCCCCCCCCCCTCCGCCCCGCCCCGGGGTGTGGGAGTCCCGCACGCCTGCCCCTCCAACCTCAGGACCCCAGGAGCCAGGATTCTAGGCCCCAGCCTGCCTTCCCCTGGGACCCTGGAAGCAGAGCCGGTGCGCGGTACCTCCTGGGCAGAGTCATCCATCACAGACAGCGTGCCCAGGTTGGGGGAGACGTCGGTGGTCTCTGGCTTTGCTGTGGGGGGGATGGCAGGGTCAGGAACCCCTTCCCGGGCTCCTCCTGCCCCGCCCCTGCCCCGCCCCAGCGCCCATGGACACTCACCGAACACCTGCAGCTTGGTGGTGGCCTCGGCGGTGCCCGCCGCCCCCGCGGTCACCACGCACACGTAGTCCCGCTCGTCCTTCACCTGGGCCTCCGCCAGCACCAGGTGGCCCTGGCCCTGCAGCTGGTACGGGGGACTGCGGCCCCGGGCGGCATGCACCCTGGCCTGCACCTCGGGGCCCTGCACCTGGGCCTCGGCCAGGAGGTGGCGGGTCCCGGAGCGGTCGGCCTGCGGGCGGGCGAGGAGGGCCTCAGCTCAGGGCCGCCCGGCTGCCCGCCCCAGCGTCCACGTCCCCTCCCTTCTGCTGCTCTGGGGCCCCCTTCCCGTGGTTCCCTCTGCGTCTCTCTCCGCCCCTCCGCCCCTGTGCCCTCTCTCTGGCCTCCCCCTTTCTCCATCTCACTCTGGTCCCGCTTATCTCCCTCTACCACCCTCCCTCTGCGCTTTCTCTCCTCTATCTCTCTCTCTCTCAGTCCCACCCCCAGTCCTGCGTCCTGGGTGTTAGTCTCCCGATGTTCTCTCTCTCCAGAGCCAGCCGAACCTAAAGCATGCCTTTCCTCGCTGGCCTCAGTTTCCCCGGCTGCAGAATGGGAAGGCAGCGAGGTGGCGTACTCAGGGCCCTTTCGATTCTGATGAAGGAAGGAATGGTTGCAGCCCCCCCGCCCGGGCTCTGGCTTTCAGATCCCCGTCCGCCCCCAGCCCCCAGCCCCCAGCACTCACCAGGAACCACTTCAGCTGGTACTGGCTATAGTCCCCCAAAGGGGTGCAGTCCAGGGTGACCGTCTCGCCTCGCATCACCTCCACCAGCGGGGCCACGGACACCTGCATCGCTGCCTGGACACCTGCAGGACCGCCACAGGCTCTGGCCACGGCCACCGTGGGAGAGCCCTGCGGACAGAGCCCTCTTCCCCGGACAAAGGGGTCCAGAACCCGCCCCCCCCCCCGCCCCCATCAGCCGCTCCCGTCCCCCTCCATCTCTCATCTGTGTCTCTGGACTCAGCCCCGACCAGTGTTTCTCTCCAGCTCCCCCTCCACGTGCAGAGCTGAGGGCTCCTCCCATTGGGCCACACAGGCAGCCACCTGGGGCGGCACTGCTCTCGCCAGGAAAAGCATCACCTGTCCCTGCTTTTACCACCAAACCGAACGCCCACCAAGGGCAGGGCCGGGCCGGGGCTGGCTCATCCCGTTGCCTCCGCTGCCCTGCGCAGGGCCTGGCACGCAGTGGCATGAGCTAAGCGTCTCCGTCTCTGCCCGCGTCCCTCCTCCTGGGGCTCCATCTCTTAGCTCCGCCGCCTCTGCCTCCGTCTCTCTCAGCCTCTCAGCCTCGGGGGCTGAGGTGGGGTGTGGGCTGCGGCTGGGCCTGGAGCTGAGGCGGATGGGTGTGTGGGGTGGTGAGGGGGGGACAGGGCTGGGCAGGTTTCAGGAATGTGGGAGGGACAGGCTGGCTCAGACATGTCTGACCTGGCGCCAGAGCCCCCTACTCGCCCCGTGGCCCCCCTGCCTTTTTGATAGAGCAGGGAAGGGGTGAGGTGGGGAAGGGGTGAGCTGGGGAAGGGGTGAGGTGCATCATCTCACAACGGGATTGAGGTCCTACATCTAGGTCCTGAGGGAGGAGGACTGGGGGCCTTGACTCCTGGGTCTGAGGGAGGAGGACTGGGTACCTGGACTCCTGGGTCTGAGAGAGGAGGGGCTGGGGGCCTGTACTCCTGGGTCTGAGGGAGGAGGCGGGGCTGGGGGCCTGGACTCCTGGGTGTGAGGGAGGAGGGGCTGGGGGCCTGGACTCCTGGGTGTGAGGGAGGAGGGCTGGGGGCCTGGACTCCTGGGTTTGAGGGAGGAGGGCTGGGGGCCTGGGTCTGAGGGAGGAGGGCTGGGGGCCTGGACTCCTGGGTGTGAAGGAGGAGGGCTGGGGGCCTGGACCCCTGGGTCTGAGGGTGGAGGGCTGGGGGCCTGGACCCCTGGGTCTGAGGGTGGAGGGCTGGGGGCCTGGACCCCTGGGTCTGAGGGAGGAGGAGCTGGGGGCCTGGACTCCTGGGTCTGAGGGAGGAGGGCTGGGGGCCTGGACTCCTGGGTCTGAGGGAGGAGGGGCTGGGGGCCTGGACTCGTGGGTCTGAGGGAGGAGGGCTGGGGGCCTGGGTCTGAGGGAGGAGGGCTGGGGGCCTGGACTCGTGGGTCTGAGGGTGGAGGGCTGGGGGCCTGGACTCCTGGGTCTGAGGGTGGAGGGCTGGGGGCCTGGACTCGTGGGTCTGAGGGTGGAGGGCTGGGGGCCTGGACTCCTGGGTCCTAGGGGACTAGGTGGCTGGGTCTGGACTCTTGTCCCAAGATCCTGGCAGAGGCAGCTGCTCTCAGCAGGAAACCACGCTCTCTCACCCTCTGGGCTGGCATCCTGGCATCAGTGCTCATTTCTTAGAACCTCCTCCTCCTCCCCCGTTACCCCCCCCCCTGCCGCCAGCCCGGCCCATCCCTGCCCCTGGAGACCCACTATTTGGCTATGCTCGTGCCAGGGGCCTGGATTCCCAGGCGCCCACCTCTGGCCCAGGCCTGTCCCCGGGGAGGGGTTCCGGGGCCCGGGCCAGGCAGCCGCTGGGCTGGGGCTGAGCAGCTGCGGGCGAGGCGGCGGGAAGGAGGGAAGGATCCCCTCTCTCCCAGCCCCTCGCTCCCGGCCGCCCGCCACTAGCACACAGGTGCGGGCTAATCTGGGGCCCCGGAAGGGGCACTGCCACTAGGAAACACTTTGTTCACTGTCAGTGCCCGGCTGGCGCTCCAGCCCTTCCCGAGGGAGGCGGGCCCTTCGGAGTCTGGGCTCTGAACCCCTCGGACGCCCTGCTGCCGGGGTTCTGGCTGTGGATTCTCTCAAAACTTGAGACTCTTTCAGGAGGGGCGGCGTCCCGGGCCCCCTGGGAGGAAGCCACCGGGGCCTGGACCTCTCCCCGGGTCTGGGGGTGCAGAGGACCTGGGACCCCATCCAGGGGCAGCAGAGAGAGGGGCTGGGGGTCCCAGCTCCCGGTTGGAGTGGGAGGGGCTCTGACCTCTCGGGGGTCTCTGCCCACTGCCGTGCTGTCCCCGGCTCCTCTGCCTGGCTGTCCCCCCAGATCTCTCCAGGGGACGGGCGCCCCGCATGCCCCCAGACCCCTCCTTCCTGGGGTCCCCCAGGTTTGGCTTCCTGGGGTGGCTCCAAGACCCTTTGCCCGGGGCACCCCCCCCTCACACCTTGCACCCAGCATACCTGGGCGCGCGCCCAGCAGCAGCGCCAGCAGCAGCAGCCGCGGGGCCCGGGCGCCCGGGGGCTCCATGTCCTCCCGCAGCGGCGGCGGCGGCGGCAATGAGCCCCAGCGCCGGGCTGGGAGGAGGCGGAGGCCCCGCCCCGCCCGCGCCCCGCCCTCCGGCCCCCCCAGACCCGGGCGCCGGGCCAGGACCTCCCAGCGCCCCGGGAGGACCTCCCAGCGCCGGCCCGGAGCGCTCCCCGCCTCTCGCCCCGGGCGGCCGCTCACGCGGACCCGCGGCGGGCCGGGCGGGTGGCCGGCCAGACCAGTCCGGCCGGCGCAGGGGCCTCAGCGCTCAGCCGGGACCCTCTCCCGCCCCGACCGGCCCGTGTGCATGTGACCCGGCTGCGCCAGCAGCTGCACCGGCCTCTCCGCGCAGCCAGCGGCCCGGTGGCCCAGAACAGCGGCTCCCAGTTTGCCCCGGGAGGCCCCTCCTGGGGCCTGCACTCGGGGCTGCTTTCCTGTCTGCCCGCTGGCCTGGAACCTTTCAGTTTAATCTCCTACGAGTGGCCTCCGAGCGCCGGCCCTGCCCAGGCTGTGTGTGTGAGGTGCTCTCCCTTTGGCTCAGGGCTGGCTCTCTCCCCCCACATCCAGGGAATCCCAGGAATGCCACCCCCCTTCCTCCCCGCTGCTTCCCTTCCCTCCCCACCCAGCCTAGCGGGGAGGGCAGGGGAGCGGAGCAGGCTGGCAGCAGCAGGTGAGTGGGAGAGGGGAGGAGGGCAGGGCACCTGAGGGGCGGGGGAGGAGCTGGCCCATGGGTCCAGAGAAGGGTCACAGGTCACAGATCAGAGGGCCCCGGCTCCTCACGGGCTGCAGGTCAGACTGCTGGCGGAGGGGTCAAGGGTCAGGAGAGGTCACTGGTTACCAGGGAGAAATGGCCAGAATGGGGGGGGGGGGTCACCAGGAAGCCTGGGCTTTGCCCATCTGGCACAGAGGGAAGGCTCAGGTTACAGGTCCACCTGGGAGTGCGGCTGGGCAGAGCTCCTTGGTCCGTCCGCGATACAGGGGAGCGATTGTTGCACCAGGAGAGGTGACCTTTCCTACCGGCCGCCCATTCCCTCCTCCAGGAAGGAGCCCTTCCCAGTGTCCTGCCCGCAGCACCCCACTGGGTCCAGTGCCCCCTCTGGGCTCCCTCACCCCCACCCCCCAGGCCTCCCCAACTGCAGTCCTGCACTCCGGGTCGTCCCCGTCTGGGGACAGGCCTGTCTCCCCCGCTGGACTGGAAGGCCAGAGCTGTCCTGGGCACATCTGTGTCCCCAACACCAGGCCAGACACACTGCAGACTTCGTGAGGCTCACACGCTTACCCTCAGGAGCGCCCTGCTCCTGTGCAGACGGCCCAGCCAGCCCGAATGGTACAGACGCCTTCGTGGACAGACGCGGGCGCACCCCCAGACAAGCTCGCACGGTGTGACCCCAGACGCCCCCGGCTCCTCTGCATTGGCTCAGGCACCTGCCACCAGCCACCCCCTTCCACGTCCCTCAGGAGCCCGGCCAGCGGAGTTTCTAGGGGAGGAAGGTGTTTGAAGGAGCCAGGTTACTTAGGATTCCAGCCACAGACGTGCAGAAACGAGCACTCTCACATCAGCCGTCCTTGTCCCCTACAATTTATCCCCACAAAACAGCCATTAGGACGTGCGTTAACGGCATAAGCCGAGCTCAGAGGCCTCCCCCGACTCCTTTCACTGAGGAAAGGCAGAATTGGACTCCTGGCTGCCGAAACCGGTTTGGCTCAGTGGATAGAGCATCGGTCTTCGGACTGAAAGGTCCCAGGTTTGATTCCGGTCCAGGGCATGTACCTTGGTTGTGGGCACATCTCCAGTAGGGGGTGTGCAGGAGGCAGCTGGTCGATGTTTCTCTCTCATCGATGTTTCTAGTTCTCTATGCCTCTCCCTTCCTCTCTGTAAAAATTCAATAAAATATATTTTTTTAAAAAAAGAAGTCAGATGGCGCTCGTGGGACTCCTTGAGGTCACGGTTCAGCCTAAGGCAGGGGACGGGGGCCAGCGTGGGGGCCGAGGCTGGCTGGCCGGAGGAGGGTCAGGCCTCCGGGGGTGTGAAGCCCAAGGGCAAGGTCGGGGCGGGCGGGGACGCACAGTGCAGGGTGAGGCCGAAGGCCTGGCTGTCCAGGTGGCCGTGCTGGCCACGGGGCAGCCTGTAGTGCGCGGAGCAGTGGAAGCGGGCGTCCCGGTCCTCCTTGTGCACCCGCAGGTAGAGGGTGCTGGTGAGAGACTGCAGGCCCGAGGCCTCCCGCACGGTGCGGCTGGTCATGTAGCTGTCTGCGAGGGAGGGAGGGAGGGTGGGGGAGAGGGAGGGCCGTCAGCCAGCTCCGCCCCCTCCCCCCCCCCACACACACACCCTCCCCGCCAGCCCAGCCGGGCTCCTGCCCCCGCTCACTTGAGTTCACCTCCATGGGCACCTTCAGGGGCTGCCCGTTCCGGTACCACTTGATCTGGGGGGCGGGGTTCCCGTTGCGGCTGTGGCAGGTGGCGATCTGGGGGGCGGACACACGCACGGCCCGAGGCTCTGAGCCAGCCCTCGGAGCGCTGAGGGTACCCCGTCCCCGGAGGAATTCTCCCCGCTTGGATCCAGGGCCCCGGGCCCCCCCCCCTCCGCCCCGCCCCGGGGTGTGGGAGTCCCGCACGCCTGCCCCTCCAACCTCAGGACCCCAGGAGCCAGGATTCTAGGCCCCAGCCTGCCTTCCCCTGGGACCCTGGAAGCAGAGCCGGTGCGCGGTACCTCCTGGGCAGAGTCATCCATCACAGACAGCGTGCCCAGGTTGGGGGAGACGTCGGTGGTCTCTGGCTTTGCTGTGGGGGGGATGGCAGGGTCAGGAACCCCTTCCCGGGCTCCTCCTGCCCCGCCCCTGCCCCGCCCCAGCGCCCATGGACACTCACCGAACACCTGCAGCTTGGTGGTGGCCTCGGCGGTGCCCGCCGCCCCCGCGGTCACCACGCACACGTAGTCCCGCTCGTCCTTCACCTGGGCCTCCGCCAGCACCAGGTGGCCCTGGCCCTGCAGCTGGTACGGGGGACTGCGGCCCCGGGCGGCATGCACCCTGGCCTGCACCTCGGGGCCCTGCACCTGGGCCTCGGCCAGGAGGTGGCGGGTCCCGGAGCGGTCGGCCTGCGGGCGGGCGAGGAGGGCCTCAGCTCAGGGCCGCCCGGCTGCCCGCCCCAGCGTCCACGTCCCCTCCCTTCTGCTGCTCTGGGGCCCCCTTCCCGTGGTTCCCTCTGCGTCTCTCTCCGCCCCTCCGCCCCTGTGCCCTCTCTCTGGCCTCCCCCTTTCTCCATCTCACTCTGGTCCCGCTTATCTCCCTCTACCACCCTCCCTCTGCGCTTTCTCTCCTCTATCTCTCTCTCTCTCAGTCCCACCCCCAGTCCTGCGTCCTGGGTGTTAGTCTCCCGATGTTCTCTCTCTCCAGAGCCAGCCGAACCTAAAGCATGCCTTTCCTCGCTGGCCTCAGTTTCCCCGGCTGCAGAATGGGAAGGCAGCGAGGTGGCGTACTCAGGGCCCTTTCGATTCTGATGAAGGAAGGAATGGTTGCAGCCCCCCCGCCCGGGCTCTGGCTTTCAGATCCCCGTCCGCCCCCAGCCCCCAGCCCCCAGCACTCACCAGGAACCACTTCAGCTGGTACTGGCTATAGTCCCCCAAAGGGGTGCAGTCCAGGGTGACCGTCTCGCCTCGCATCACCTCCACCAGCGGGGCCACGGACACCTGCATCGCTGCCTGGACACCTGCAGGACCGCCACAGGCTCTGGCCACGGCCACCGTGGGAGAGCCCTGCGGACAGAGCCCTCTTCCCCGGACAAAGGGGTCCAGAACCCGCCCCCCCCCCCGCCCCCATCAGCCGCTCCCGTCCCCCTCCATCTCTCATCTGTGTCTCTGGACTCAGCCCCGACCAGTGTTTCTCTCCAGCTCCCCCTCCACGTGCAGAGCTGAGGGCTCCTCCCATTGGGCCACACAGGCAGCCACCTGGGGCGGCACTGCTCTCGCCAGGAAAAGCATCACCTGTCCCTGCTTTTACCACCAAACCGAACGCCCACCAAGGGCAGGGCCGGGCCGGGGCTGGCTCATCCCGTTGCCTCCGCTGCCCTGCGCAGGGCCTGGCACGCAGTGGCATGAGCTAAGCGTCTCCGTCTCTGCCCGCGTCCCTCCTCCTGGGGCTCCATCTCTTAGCTCCGCCGCCTCTGCCTCCGTCTCTCTCAGCCTCTCAGCCTCGGGGGCTGAGGTGGGGTGTGGGCTGCGGCTGGGCCTGGAGCTGAGGCGGATGGGTGTGTGGGGTGGTGAGGGGGGGACAGGGCTGGGCAGGTTTCAGGAATGTGGGAGGGACAGGCTGGCTCAGACATGTCTGACCTGGCGCCAGAGCCCCCTACTCGCCCCGTGGCCCCCCTGCCTTTTTGATAGAGCAGGGAAGGGGTGAGGTGGGGAAGGGGTGAGCTGGGGAAGGGGTGAGGTGCATCATCTCACAACGGGATTGAGGTCCTACATCTAGGTCCTGAGGGAGGAGGACTGGGGGCCTTGACTCCTGGGTCTGAGGGAGGAGGACTGGGTACCTGGACTCCTGGGTCTGAGAGAGGAGGGGCTGGGGGCCTGTACTCCTGGGTCTGAGGGAGGAGGCGGGGCTGGGGGCCTGGACTCCTGGGTGTGAGGGAGGAGGGGCTGGGGGCCTGGACTCCTGGGTGTGAGGGAGGAGGGCTGGGGGCCTGGACTCCTGGGTTTGAGGGAGGAGGGCTGGGGGCCTGGGTCTGAGGGAGGAGGGCTGGGGGCCTGGACTCCTGGGTGTGAAGGAGGAGGGCTGGGGGCCTGGACCCCTGGGTCTGAGGGTGGAGGGCTGGGGGCCTGGACCCCTGGGTCTGAGGGTGGAGGGCTGGGGGCCTGGACCCCTGGGTCTGAGGGAGGAGGAGCTGGGGGCCTGGACTCCTGGGTCTGAGGGAGGAGGGCTGGGGGCCTGGACTCCTGGGTCTGAGGGAGGAGGGGCTGGGGGCCTGGACTCGTGGGTCTGAGGGAGGAGGGCTGGGGGCCTGGGTCTGAGGGAGGAGGGCTGGGGGCCTGGACTCGTGGGTCTGAGGGTGGAGGGCTGGGGGCCTGGACTCCTGGGTCTGAGGGTGGAGGGCTGGGGGCCTGGACTCGTGGGTCTGAGGGTGGAGGGCTGGGGGCCTGGACTCCTGGGTCCTAGGGGACTAGGTGGCTGGGTCTGGACTCTTGTCCCAAGATCCTGGCAGAGGCAGCTGCTCTCAGCAGGAAACCACGCTCTCTCACCCTCTGGGCTGGCATCCTGGCATCAGTGCTCATTTCTTAGAACCTCCTCCTCCTCCCCCGTTACCCCCCCCCCTGCCGCCAGCCCGGCCCATCCCTGCCCCTGGAGACCCACTATTTGGCTATGCTCGTGCCAGGGGCCTGGATTCCCAGGCGCCCACCTCTGGCCCAGGCCTGTCCCCGGGGAGGGGTTCCGGGGCCCGGGCCAGGCAGCCGCTGGGCTGGGGCTGAGCAGCTGCGGGCGAGGCGGCGGGAAGGAGGGAAGGATCCCCTCTCTCCCAGCCCCTCGCTCCCGGCCGCCCGCCACTAGCACACAGGTGCGGGCTAATCTGGGGCCCCGGAAGGGGCACTGCCACTAGGAAACACTTTGTTCACTGTCAGTGCCCGGCTGGCGCTCCAGCCCTTCCCGAGGGAGGCGGGCCCTTCGGAGTCTGGGCTCTGAACCCCTCGGACGCCCTGCTGCCGGGGTTCTGGCTGTGGATTCTCTCAAAACTTGAGACTCTTTCAGGAGGGGCGGCGTCCCGGGCCCCCTGGGAGGAAGCCACCGGGGCCTGGACCTCTCCCCGGGTCTGGGGGTGCAGAGGACCTGGGACCCCATCCAGGGGCAGCAGAGAGAGGGGCTGGGGGTCCCAGCTCCCGGTTGGAGTGGGAGGGGCTCTGACCTCTCGGGGGTCTCTGCCCACTGCCGTGCTGTCCCCGGCTCCTCTGCCTGGCTGTCCCCCCAGATCTCTCCAGGGGACGGGCGCCCCGCATGCCCCCAGACCCCTCCTTCCTGGGGTCCCCCAGGTTTGGCTTCCTGGGGTGGCTCCAAGACCCTTTGCCCGGGGCACCCCCCCCTCACACCTTGCACCCAGCATACCTGGGCGCGCGCCCAGCAGCAGCGCCAGCAGCAGCAGCCGCGGGGCCCGGGCGCCCGGGGGCTCCATGTCCTCCCGCAGCGGCGGCGGCGGCGGCAATGAGCCCCAGCGCCGGGCTGGGAGGAGGCGGAGGCCCCGCCCCGCCCGCGCCCCGCCCTCCGGCCCCCCCAGACCCGGGCGCCGGGCCAGGACCTCCCAGCGCCCCGGGAGGACCTCCCAGCGCCGGCCCGGAGCGCTCCCCGCCTCTCGCCCCGGGCGGCCGCTCACGCGGACCCGCGGCGGGCCGGGCGGGTGGCCGGCCAGACCAGTCCGGCCGGCGCAGGGGCCTCAGCGCTCAGCCGGGACCCTCTCCCGCCCCGACCGGCCCGTGTGCATGTGACCCGGCTGCGCCAGCAGCTGCACCGGCCTCTCCGCGCAGCCAGCGGCCCGGTGGCCCAGAACAGCGGCTCCCAGTTTGCCCCGGGAGGCCCCTCCTGGGGCCTGCACTCGGGGCTGCTTTCCTGTCTGCCCGCTGGCCTGGAACCTTTCAGTTTAATCTCCTACGAGTGGCCTCCGAGCGCCGGCCCTGCCCAGGCTGTGTGTGTGAGGTGCTCTCCCTTTGGCTCAGGGCTGGCTCTCTCCCCCCACATCCAGGGAATCCCAGGAATGCCACCCCCCTTCCTCCCCGCTGCTTCCCTTCCCTCCCCACCCAGCCTAGCGGGGAGGGCAGGGGAGCGGAGCAGGCTGGCAGCAGCAGGTGAGTGGGAGAGGGGAGGAGGGCAGGGCACCTGAGGGGCGGGGGAGGAGCTGGCCCATGGGTCCAGAGAAGGGTCACAGGTCACAGATCAGAGGGCCCCGGCTCCTCACGGGCTGCAGGTCAGACTGCTGGCGGAGGGGTCAAGGGTCAGGAGAGGTCACTGGTTACCAGGGAGAAATGGCCAGAATGGGGGGGGGGGGTCACCAGGAAGCCTGGGCTTTGCCCATCTGGCACAGAGGGAAGGCTCAGGTTACAGGTCCACCTGGGAGTGCGGCTGGGCAGAGCTCCTTGGTCCGTCCGCGATACAGGGGAGCGATTGTTGCACCAGGAGAGGTGACCTTTCCTACCGGCCGCCCATTCCCTCCTCCAGGAAGGAGCCCTTCCCAGTGTCCTGCCCGCAGCACCCCACTGGGTCCAGTGCCCCCTCTGGGCTCCCTCACCCCCACCCCCCAGGCCTCCCCAACTGCAGTCCTGCACTCCGGGTCGTCCCCGTCTGGGGACAGGCCTGTCTCCCCCGCTGGACTGGAAGGCCAGAGCTGTCCTGGGCACATCTGTGTCCCCAACACCAGGCCAGACACACTGCAGACTTCGTGAGGCTCACACGCTTACCCTCAGGAGCGCCCTGCTCCTGTGCAGACGGCCCAGCCAGCCCGAATGGTACAGACGCCTTCGTGGACAGACGCGGGCGCACCCCCAGACAAGCTCGCACGGTGTGACCCCAGACGCCCCCGGCTCCTCTGCATTGGCTCAGGCACCTGCCACCAGCCACCCCCTTCCACGTCCCTCAGGAGCCCGGCCAGCGGAGTTTCTAGGGGAGGAAGGTGTTTGAAGGAGCCAGGTTACTTAGGATTCCAGCCACAGACGTGCAGAAACGAGCACTCTCACATCAGCCGTCCTTGTCCCCTACAATTTATCCCCACAAAACAGCCATTAGGACGTGCGTTAACGGCATAAGCCGAGCTCAGAGGCCTCCCCCGACTCCTTTCACTGAGGAAAGGCAGAATTGGACTCCTGGCTGCCGAAACCGGTTTGGCTCAGTGGATAGAGCATCGGTCTTCGGACTGAAAGGTCCCAGGTTTGATTCCGGTCCAGGGCATGTACCTTGGTTGTGGGCACATCTCCAGTAGGGGGTGTGCAGGAGGCAGCTGGTCGATGTTTCTCTCTCATCGATGTTTCTAGTTTTCTATCCCTCTCCCTTCCTCTCTGTAAAAAGTCAATAAAATATATTTAAACAAAATAATAATTGGACGCCTGGGCTCACAGGTCCTGGTTACCTCCCTGGCTCACTCTTTCTCTCATCCTCGGCTCCTCGTAGTCGTTCTGCGTTTGCCCTGTCGTTCTCTTGGCTCGAAGGAAGGTCACACCAGCTGGCGTGTTCTGGCCCCAGGGCCTTTGCACTTGCTTTTTCCTCTGCCGGGCATTCTTTCCTCACATACTTGCTTCAAATCTCTAGTCCCAGAGCTTCCCTGGCCCTCTTACCTAAAATAGCAATTCCTGCCTTCCCAGCCACGCCTTACGTTGCTTATCTCACTACAGTTCTCATCCACAGCGCTTATCACGGACGCATACCTACGTAAGTGGTCTTGCTCAGTTTTTACAGTGCCTGGGACGTGCTTGGCCTGAGGAGCTGAGTACAAATTCAATGAATCAAGGTTCCAATTCCATCCTTACTTTCATGGGCACATTCTTCTATATTTTAATGAGCAGGCCTTATCTTTCCCCACCTTATCTTTCACCCATTATTTTACGTGCAAAGTGTGATGAGGGTTAGCTTTTTGTTTTATTTAAAGTATTTTATTGATGTTTTGCAGAGGAAGGGAGAGGGATAGAGATAGAGAGCTAGAAACATCGATGAGAGAGAAACATTAATCAGCTGCCCACAACCAAGGTACATGCCCTTGACCGGAATCGAACCCGGGACTCTTCATTCCGCAGGCCGACGCTCTATCCACTGAGCCAAACTGTTTCGGCTAGCATTTTGTTTTAATATTTTTTAAAATTGATTTTAGAGAAGAAGGGAGAGGGAAAGATAGAAACATCAATGAGGGGAGTCATCGATCGGCTGCCTCCTACATGGGATTGAGCCTGCAACACAGGCATGTGCCCTTGACCGGAATCAAACCTGGGACCCTTCAGTCCACAGGCCGATGCTCTATCCACTGAGCCAAACCAGCAAGGGCGATGGTTAGCTTTTTAAAAATAAATATTTTTATTTATTTCTGAGAGAAAGGGCAAGGGAGAGATAGAAACATCAATGATGAGAGTCATTGATCAGCTTCCCCTGCATGCCTCCCACTGGGGATCCAGCCTGCAACCTGGGCATGTGCCCTGACCGCAGATATTCAGCCGTGACCTTCCGGTCCATAGGTTGACACTGAGCCACGTCAGCCGGGCATGACAGTTACTTTAAAATGAGCTCACGGTTCCTGGAATACAGGATCATGACACATTTCAAGAACCAGGGCTGTTCCCCAATGATTCCAGACTGGCACCTGGGAAATGTAACTACCGGGAATTTGTGTTGTCTTGGGGGGCAGTGTGAATGCATTTTTGGTTGGACAAGAGTTAGTTATGCCGGAACCGGTTTGGCTCAGCGGATAGAGCGTCAGCCTGCGGACTGAAGGGTCCTGGGTTCGATTCCAGTCAAGGGCATGTACCTTGGTTGCGGGCACATCCCCAGTAGGGGGTGTGCAAGAGGCAGCTGATCGATGTTTCTCTCTCATCGTTGTTTCTAACTTTCTATCCCTCTCCCTTCCTCTCTGTAAAAAATCAATAAAATATATATTTTTTAAAAAAAGAGTTAGTTATGCAGGGAGTTTATTTTATTTAAAAAAAAATCTATTTTATTGATTTTTTACAGAGAGGAAGAGAGAGAGACAGAAACATCAATGAGAGAAACATCAATCAGCTGCCTCTTGCACACCCCCTACTGGGAATGTGCCCACAACCAAGATACATGTCCTTGACCGGAATCGAACCCGGGACCCTTCAGTCTGCAGGCCAATGCTCTATCCACTGAGCCAAACCGGTTTTGGCAGGGAGTTTATTTTTAAAAAAATATATTTCTATTGATTTCACAGAGGAAGAGAGAGGGAGAGAGAGATAGAAACATCAATGATGAGAGAATCATTGATCGGCTGCCTCCTGCACGCCCCCTACTGCGGATCAAGCCCTCAATCCGGGCCTGTGCCCTTGACTGGATTCAAACCCGGGACCCTTCAGTCCGCAGGCCGACGCTCTGTCCACTGAGCCACACCAATCAGAGCTGTGCAGGGAGTTTCGATAATAATGGAAGCATAGAAGAAAGGGTACATTCGGTAGTGAGTGTTCAAAAGGGTGGACTGTGGAGGTCTTGGGGGGTTAGCATCTGCACCCTCTTCCCACAGCGAGAAAAGTGTCTGCTGCCTGAGAGCCGGCTGCCCTCTGTGGAGCCACAAGGACACGTTTGCTTTCTGTGTCTGCTGGCGCTCAGGTGACCTTGGCAAATCTGTCTCTGCTTGGGAACCGGGGGCTAATCACATCAAAGAGGGAGGGACTGGAGAAATCTGTTTTCACCGGGGCGGCCGGGACAAAGCCTGTCTTCCGGAGATGGCTGCGGCAGCCTCTCTCGTCCTACCTGCTCTTCTGACATCTGATGCTTTCTTTTGCATATTTTTATTAATTTTTTACAGAGAGGAAGGGAGAGGGATAGAGAGTTAGAAACATCGATGAGAGAGAAGCATCGATCTGCTGCCTCCTGCACATCCCCCACTGGGGATGTGCCTGCAACCAAGGTACATGCCCTTGACCGGAATCGAACCTGGGACCCTTCAGTCCCCAGGCTGACGTTCTATCCAGTGAGCCAAACAAGCTAGGGCTGACCTTGATGCTCTTCCCACCAAGAAGTGGGGCCTGTGTCCCCGCCTCTTACGTTTGTGTGGCTCACATGGAACCAGTAGATTATGGCAGAAATGGCACTGCAGGACTCCCGAGATTAGGTAGAAAAGCCATGTAGTCAACGTCACTGAAATACCGCCCATGACGCCTTCAGCCACCGTAGAAGCAGTCAGCCATGTTGTGGGGAAGCTCAAGCCAGCAAGTGTGAGAGAGAGCACATAGGAAGGTCTGAGACGGCAGAGGGAGGCCTGGGCAGCCCCCCGGGCCCCGCTCCGAGCACCACTGGACTGCATCCTGAGCCAGCACCACCCAGCTCCTGGCCCACAGCACCCACGGGAGATACCAATGGTTACGGTTCGCCCATACATTTCGGTGCCATTTGTTCTGAGCAGCACCCAGTGGACACAACTTGCTTCTGGGGCAGCAGAGGCGAGGTGACAGGTGTCCAGTGGTCACCAGTATCTCCTCATCAGACCAGTCCTGTGGCGTGACGGTGGCTGTGGTGTGAGGCCAGCGGCCGGGGTTGCTGCTCACTCTCCAATCCTGGTTCTCGAATCACTTCCAGGATTCTGCGTGTGATTGATCTCAAGTCCTCTCACTCAATGTCCTTTCTGCCCCAGGGGTGGCTTCTGTTGCTTGAAACTTAATCTGTGGTGCACATTTCCAGCTCCATGTACACTGCTCCTCCCTTCAGTTTTTTTTTTTTTAATTTTAATTTTTTAAATATATTTATTTTTCACAGAGAGGAAGGGAGAAGGATAGAGAGCTAGAAACATCGATGAGAGAGATACTTCGACCAGCTGCCTCCTGCACACCCCCCACCAGGGATGTGCCCACAACCAATGTACATGCCCTTGACCGGAATCGAACCTGGGACCTTTCAGTCCGCAGACCGACGCTCTATCCACTGAGCCAAACCGGTTTCGGCCTCCCTTCAGTTTTAGCTTGGACGTCTCTTCCTCCTGGAAGCCCTCCTTGACCTCCCAGGCTGGGTCAGCTGCCGGCTCTGCACTCCCCCAGCCTAGCCCTGCAATGGGTCTGTCTCTCCCATCGGGTTGTAAGCCCAGGGGCAGGGGTGGCTGCTTCATGCTCAGCGCTGTCCAGCCAGGGCTGGGCACAGGGGCAGTGGCTCAGGGTACAGGGCTGGGCACAGGGGCAGTGGCTCAGGGTACAGGGCTGGGCACAGGGGCAGTGGCTCGGGGTACAGGGCTGGGCACAGGGGCAGTGGCTCAGGGTACAGGGCTGGGCACAGGGGCAGTGGCTCAGGGTACAGGGCTGGGCACAGGGGCAGTGGCTCGGGGTACAGGGCTGGGCACAGGGGCAGTGGCTCGGGGTACGAGGCCTGCTTTCAACCTGCTCAGCTGGAGGCGGACCGGAAGGCACTGCCACGCCCTCTTCCCTTGGAGCCTTCTCCCGGAGAGGAGCAGAGAGAGAGGCGGGAGCCCTAGCCTGTTTGCTGGACAGACTGCTGGCCCTTGGACTGAAGTTGTCCCGGGCTCGATCCCAGTCAAGGGCACAGGACTTGGTTGCAGGCTTGATCTCGGGGGACATGCGGAGGCAATCCATCGATGACACATGGATGTTTCTCTGTCTCCCTCCCTCCCTTTCACTCTCAGAAGCAATGGGAAAAACATCCTCAGGTGAGGATTAACAAAGCAACACACACACACACACACTCACACACACACTCACACACACAGAGAGGAAGAGGGAGAGAGAGGGAGAGGGAGAGAGAGAGGACAGATGTGACATCTGGGACATTGCTCTCAGGGGAACATGTGCTCTTTTTGACTAAGGGACTTAGAACGTGGATGGCTGGGTCTGACTTGAGGGATTTTTGCCCTGGTGGGGAAAGGAGGTTAGCTCTCTCCCTGAGAATTTGGGAGTTTGAATCCCTGGGTCTGAGGGAGGAGGGATTGAGGGCCTGGCCAGCTGGGCCCCCCAGTTGTGGCTTTCTGATCTCAGACCCCTGGGTTAACCAGGTGGGGCTCAGGGCTCAGGGCTCAGGGCTCAGGGCCCACACGCGTTCCCGGTGCCAAGCTGCCCCCTAGTGGCCGCTGCACGCTCTCCACACACGGAGGACAGACCAGGCTGGGCAGTGGCAGTTTATTTACGTTTCATAAACCCCTCCAGCTGGGAAGCCACTGGGGCTCCTTTAGCAGCAGATCTGTGTGCCCTGTGAGCGGAGAGAGAGGTGACTCAGATAACGCCATATCCGGTGGGGTGGGGGGTGATGGGGGGGAACCGGGGCAGGGTGGGGGACTTACCTGGCCTCCAGGCCTGGGCAGCGATCAGGGGTCCCACAGGGGCAGCTGGAGGGGTGACTTCCCGTTAAGAGTTTCTGTAATGGGGGTTTGAGGCGGGCAGGTGTTTAGAATCAATGATTCCCTCCCGCTCCCCGCCCTCTTCCCTCAGGCCCAGGAGTTGGGGGGGCCCCCCCCACGACCCTCTGCACTTACTCTGTGGCTCCCTCCCCGGCCCGGGGCCTGGAGGTGGCTTCCCGAGGGGCGGAGAGTGAAGTCCTGATTCTTGGCAGAGGAAGAGGGGCCCGCAGTTTGGGGAAGGCCGGAGGCCCCTGGAGGGAAGGAGAGGAAGAGAGTTTGCAGCCGAGCTGCCTCACAGGCCCAGACAGGGTAACCCCGCGGTGGAGTCTTGTTCCCAGCACATGCTCTCCCCTGCTAAGACCTCTGGCTTGAGTAGGAAGAAGTTTTAATTTGTTTGTCCATCCATCTACCCACCCACCCACCTACCCACCCACCCACCCACCTACCCATCCATCATCCATCCATTCAAACTGTGGCTGGGGATGGAGCCTGCAACCCAGGTACATGCCCTTGGCCGGAATCGAGCCCCGGACCCTTTAGTCCGCAGGCCGATGCTCTACCCACTGAATCAAAAACAACTAGGGCATGATATATTTATTTTTATAATATTCATTGCAGCCCTAGCCGGTTTGGCTCAGTGGATTGAGCATCGCCCTGCGGACGGAAGGGTCCAGGGTTCAATTCCAGTCAAGGGCACCTGCCTGGGTTGCAGGCTCCATCCCCAGTGGGGGGGTTGTACAGGAGGCAGCTGATCCATGATTCTCTCTCATCACTGATGTTTCTATCTCTTTCGCCCTGTCCCTTCCTCTCTCAAATCAATGAAAATATACTTTAAAAAAAAATAATAATATTGTAATCACGTTGCACAGGGACAGGGGGTTACCAGACTTAGTGGGGCAACCACAGGAAGGCATACGAGTGCTGAGCTGCAGTGCTGTACAGCCGGAGCGGACGTAACACTGACGGTCCACTCTGCTTAGAGCGATTCCCCCATGAAGCAGTGCCGTCATCACTCGGCAAAGGGGAGGGATTCACACGTGAGCTGTTTTCACGGTGACGGTCACCGGTCCCCGCGCTGGGAGCAGGGCTGCCTGCCTGCGGGGTTTGGAAGGAGGAAGGAGTAGGAGTTGCCTTCATCTGTACCAGACAGGGTTTGGGGAGGAGAGGGCAGGGCGTGCCAGCGGAGGGCACAGCCTAGGTAGAGAGAGGGGTGGCACGTGGCCAGCCGTACCCCTCGGCCTGCTGTTCTGGAAGGCTGTGTCCCCCGCATTGATTGTCCTCGGGGAGCCGGCTGAGTGGCTCCTAATGTTTCCATTTGCTCTTGGCTGCAGGTTGGAATCTGTTTTTAGCTTCCCTGGCTGGTCTCACTCCCCGCTCCCCCCTCTCTCACCCCCCCTTCCTGCTGGCGCTCTTGTTTGCCCGGGTAGAATAATGTTCCCAGACTTCCTGAGTTGTTTGTTTGAAGTCAGCGGGGATTGATTGGATCTGCGTGTGCTCAGCCTGAGATGCTCTCAGAGACCTGCCCTGCCCCAGGGGGCCAGGGTCTGGGGAAAACCCCCGGGGAGGGAAGGGCAGGGTGGGGGCAGAAGAGAGCGAGGCTGCTCCCTGGGGAGAGAAGCAGGTGATGGTAAGGCCCCCCACCCGGCTTTCCTCTCCCGGCCTGCGGGTTTGGGCGGTTTGGGCAGCCGCAGGCCCCCTCGGGGCTGAGCTCCTCTGCAGAACGGGGAGAGGAACATTTTCGATCGCACAGGGCTGTTGGGAAGACTTAGTTCCACTTCTCATTCACCACCTACTGATTTATTTATTAAATATATTATAGTTCTGCTGATTTCAGAGAGGAAGGGAGAGGGAAAGAGAGAGGGAAACATCAATGATAAGAATCGCTGATCAGTCCTGGCCGGTTTGGCCCAGTGGATAGCGCGTCAGCCTGCTCTGGTCAAGGGCATGTACCTTGGTTGCAGGCGCGTCCCCAGTAGGGGGTGTGCAGGAGGCAGCTGATGGATGTTTCCCTCTCATCAGAGTTTCTAGCTCTCTATCCCTCTCCTTTCCTCTCTGTAAAAAAAACTCAATAAAATATATTTTTTAAAAATTAAAAAAAGAATCATTGGTCAGTCGCCTCCTGCATGCCCCCTACTAGGGATCAAGCCTGCAACCTGGGCATGTGCCCTGACTGGGTATGCCTGGTTCACAGGTAGATGCACAGCCACTGAGCCACACCGGCTGGGCTCAGCATCTATTGAATGAACACCTACCAGGTGTCAGGCCCTGTTCTAGTCTCTGGCAGCATCAGGAGGACAAGGCAAAGTCCTGAGCTTCAGGACAGCGATACCCTGCTGATGGTTACAGACAGCAGCAGGACAGTCCCCTCTGCCAGGGGATGGGGGGACGTGTGAGAACACAGCGGGCAGGAGCCTGGCGGGACAGGGGCTCTGTGGTCTACTGGGGGGCACGGAAGGAGGGGGTGAGAAAGTGAGCCTGGACAAAGGAGATCCAGGCGGGAGGAACCACTTGTGCAAAGGCCCTGGGGCAGGCCCTGCCCGGGAAGCTGGGAGGAGAGCCGGAAAGCCGGCGAGGTGAGGGGGAACGAGGAAGGACGAGCGCCGGAGAAGAGGCCTGGGTGGTGTGGGTGCCAAATCACACGGTGCCTTGTAGACGGAAGGGGGGGAATGGGGGGGCTGGGAACAAGGGCCTGGCACCCCGAGGGCCTGGCTGGCCTAGGGACCCTTTGGCTGAAGGAGACCCAGCTGCTCCCTCAGACCACGCTGCACTTACCACCTTCAGCTGGCCTTTACTTCTGGGCTGCTCCGGAGGCAGGTCCAGGGGAGGGGACAGGTCCAGGGGAGGGGACAGCGGGGGGGCTGAGGGGACCACCTGGGGAGACAGAGGGTGATGTTGTTCTGCCTGGCGTCCCAGCACCAGGCCTGTTCCAGACCCTGCACATTCAGTGGAGAATAAGACAGAGTCCTGCCCTAACCGGCCTGGCTCAGTGGATAGAGCGTCGGCCTGCGGACTCAAGGGTCCCAGGTTCGATTCCGGTCAAGGGCATGTACCCTGGTTGCGGGCGCATACCCAGTGGGGAATGTGCAGGAGGCAGCTGATCGATGTTGCTCTCTCATCGATGTTTCTGACTCTCTATCCCTCTCCCTTCCTCTCTGTAAAAAAATCAATAAAATATATTTAAAAAAAAAAAAAAAAAAAGACAGAGTCCTAACCCTCAGGAGAGTTCAGATGAGAGCAGCCATGGCCCCAGACCCTCAGGGAACAAAAGTCCAGGCCCCCTAGGCCCCAGAATCCTGCCCCCAGCCCCTCCTCCCTCTGACCCAGGAGTCCAGGCCCCCAGCCCCTCCTCCCTCAGACCCAGGAGTCCAGGCCCCCAGCCCCTCCTCCCTCTGACCCAGGAGTCCAGGCCCCCAGCCCCTCCTCCCTCAGACCCAGAGTCCAGGCCCCCAGCCCCTCCTCCCTCAGACCCAGGGGTCCAGGCCCCCAGACCCCAGCCCTTCCCTCCTCCCTCAAACCCAGGAGTCCAGGCCCCAGTCCTCCTCCCTCTGACTCAGGAGTCCAGGTCCCCAGCCCCTCCTCCCTCAGACCCAGGGGTCCAGGCAGCCCCTCCTCTCTCAGACCCAGGAGTCCAGGCCCCCAGCCCCTCCTCCCTCAGACCCAGAGTCCAGGCCCCCAGCCCCTCCTCCCTCAGACCCAGAGTCTAGGTCCCCAGCCCTTCCTCCCTCGGACCCAGGGGTCCAGTCCCCCAGCCCCTCCTCCCTCAGATCCAGGCCCCAGCCCTCCTCCCTCAGACCCAGGGGTCCAGGACCCCAACCCCTCCTCCCTCACACCCAGGGGTCCAGGCCCCCAGCCCTCCTCCCTCACACCCAGGAGTCCAGGCCCCCAGCCCTCCTCCCTCACACCCAGGAGTCCAGCCCCCAGCCCCCTTCTGCCTCGGACCCAGCAGCTTTAGCTCCAGCCCCGCCTGGGCCTGCTCACCTGCCCCAGCGTGTCCTCTCGGTTTTCCTGGCCGTCGCTGCTCCCCGGGCTCACAGCAGCGGCCCTGGCTTCCGCTGGCCTCCCTCGGGACCGATGGATACTCACGACCTCTCGGCCCTTGATCTGGCTTCGGCAGAAGGGGCAGGTCTGGCTGTCTGATTGCTGGGGGGAAAGAGGGGGGCAGAGTCAGTCTCCCTGTTCTCGGGACCACAGGGCCTTCACCTCCCGCAGAGGGAGGTGGGGAGGGAGACAGGGAGGGAGCCGCCGAGGGAGGCAGATGGGAGAGCCATGCAGGACAAGAAGGAGGGACTGGACCAGAGCCCGAGGCCAGGGGGGTGCACAAATGGGGAGCCCAGTGGAGCCAGGGTGTGGGCCCCAGCCATGGACAGTGATGCTCTGGGCAAGGAAGGCCTGAGGCACTTGCCCCCAGAGACACCCCCCCCACACACACCGGGGCCAGGGTAGAGGCTGGGCCAGCCCTGGTGGATCTTGTTATGGCCGCAGGGTGCACCTCAGCAAAAGCCATCAGGGAACTTGGGAGAACGAGATTTATTACTCAGATGCTGGAGGGTATTTTTCCATTGGGTTTTAGACAGTGGAAGGGAGAGAGAGAGAGACATTGATGCGAGAGAGACACATCGACTGGCTGCCTCCTCCATGTGCAGCCAATGTGTACGTGCCCTTGACTGGAATCGAACCCATAAGCTTTCAGCCTGTGGACCTACACTCTAACCACTGAGCAACACCAGCTAGGGCAAGGGTTCACTTAAAATTTTTAAAAAAATATATATATTTTATTGGCTCTGACCAGTTTGGCTCAGTGGATAGAGCATCGGCCTGTGGACTGAAGGGTCCCAGGTTCGATTCCAGTCAAGGGCATGTACCTTGGTTGCGGGCACATCCCTAGTGGTGGGTGTGCAGGAGGCAGCTGGTCGATGATTCTCTCTCATCGATGTTTCTAACTCTCTATCCCTCTCCCTTCCTCTCTGTAGAAAATCAATAAGAGAAAGGGAGAGGGATAGAGAGTTAGAAACATCGATGAGAGAGAATCATCGACCAGCTGCCTCCTGCACACCACCACTAGGGTACATGCCCTTGACTGGGATCGAACCCAGGACCTTTCAGTCCACAGGCCTACACTCTATCCACTAACCCAAACCAGTTTCGGCTTAAAATTTTTTTAAAAATTGATTTCAGAGAGGCAGGGAGAAGGAGAAACATCAACGATGAGAGAGAATCATAGATTGGCTGCCTCCTGCACACCCCCCACTGGGGATCAAGCCCTCCTGATTCAAAGGTCAATGCTCCATCCCTGAGCCACACCAACTGGGCAAGAGTTCACTTTTATTTTTATTTTTATCTTTTATTTACTTATTTATTTTTTATAGAAACATCGACCAGCTGCCTCCTGCACACCCCCTACTGGGGATGTGCCTGCAACCAATGTACATGCCCTTGACCGGAATTGAACCCGGGACCTTTCAGTCCACAGACCGACGCTCTATCCACTGAGCCAAACTGGTTTTGGCTTTTTTTTCTTTCTTTTTCTTTTTTTTTTTTTTTTTAAGAGTTCACTTTTTATTGGTGAATTTCAAGCATAGGAGTGGCCCTGGGCGGGTGGCACAGTTGGCTGCAGCATCGTCCTGTACACCACAGGGTTTCAGGTCCCACCCGGTCAGGCTACATGCCTGAGTGTGGGCTCGATCCCAGCTCCATCCCTCGGGGGCATAGAGTAGGCAACTGACCAATGTTTCTCAAATCAATTTTCAAAAAACCATATCCTCAAGTGAGGATTTTAAAAAAATCATAGGCTGACACCGGTTTGGCTCAGTGGATAGAGCGTCAACCTGCGGACTGAAAGGTCCCAGGTTCGATCCCGGTCAGGGGCATGTACCTTGGTTGCGGGCACATCCCCAGTTGGGGTGTGCAGGAGGCAGCTGGTCAATGTTTCTCTCTCGTCGATGTTTCTAGCTCTCTATCCCTCTCTCTTCCTCTCTGTGAAAGATCAATAAAATATATTTTAAAAAAAGTCATAGGAGCAGGAATTAGGGTATAGAAAGGAAAAAGCCTGGTCACTTAAGTAGGTTCCCCAGGGCTTTCTAAAGGGGAACTTCAGCCCAGCCAGCATGGCTCAGTGGTTGAGCCAGGAGGCCATGGTTAGATTCCTGGTCGGGGCACATGCCCGGGTTTTGGGCTTGATCCCCAGTGGGGGTGTGCAGGAGGCAGCTGATCCATGACTCTCTCTCATCAATGATGTTTCTATCTCGACCTCCCATTTCCCTTTGTCTCTCTCTCTGAAATCCATAACAAATCCTATACAATAAAAGCCTAATATGTTAAGTGATTCATTCAACCAATCAAAGTGTAATATGCTAATGAATGCTAAGGCCGCTCAACTGCTCGCTATGATGTGCACTGACCACCAGGAGGCAGTCAGTCAACTGGTCAACCAGTCGCTATGACATGCACTAACCACCAGAGGGCAGTTGCTCCAACCAGTAGGTTAGCTTGCTGCTGGGGTCTGGCTGATTGGGGCTGAGCAAGATGGGCTGGACACACCTGGATCCCTCCTGTGGTCCTTCTCCCTGGCCCTCCCCACCTTCATTCGGCCTCCATCCCCATCGGGGTGGGCCCAGCTGGACCCCACCCCTGCACAAATTCATGCACCAGGCCGCTAATATAATATAAAATAAAATAAAATAAAATAAAATAAAATAAAATAAAATAAAATAAAATAAAATAAAATAAAATAAATAAAATAAAATAAAAAGGGGGACTTCATCGTTCCTTATCTGCTGCTTTTGCTGGTTGCTGTGTCATGCATCTGGCAATTTGCTTATTGGAGATGGATTATCTTTGAAATGGATGACTCAGCTTGACGCCAGGCTTTTACATTACAGTAAAAACAGGTGACGTCATGCACTGGCCTCAGCTCCCCTCCCCAAGGGGGCCTTCCCTGAGGGCGTCGGGGCTCGGACCCTCACTGCGGCCTTGTGGGGTGACCACTGCCAGCTCCGTTCTCCAGAGAGGAGGCCGGGGCTCAGAAAGGCGAGGCCACGAGCCCCAGGCTGCCCAGCGCGGGGAGAGAGGTGCCCTTTCTGTGAATAACGCAGCAGGAGGAGGAGAAGCGGAGGTGACAGGTGCAGAGTGAGACCGGGACAGACGCAGACAGGCAGGCTCCGGGCCTTCCCTCTGGAGTGACCCTGAGCAGGTCTCTGCTTTCCGGGGCCCCCACGCCCCATCGGACCCCTGAGGCCCAGGGGAGACCCTTCGGGGGAGGGAGGCCCACCTGCCAGGCGGCCAGGCAGCGGCTGCACAGCAGGTGCCCGCAGGGCTCGATCTTCACGTCCTTGTTGCTCTCAGCACAGATCTTGCAGAGCTCGAAGGAGGAGTTCATGGCCCAGTACAGCTGCAGCTGCTCCTGGCAGGGGACAAGGTGGACGGGGGGTGGCGTGAGCCCGGGGCACAGAGCCGGGCCACGGGAGAAGGTCCGGAGCCTCTGTGCCAGCCCCCGGCCCGCTCCCAGGCCCCAGCCCGTGCCCGCTGCCTCCTGCGTACATCCGAGCTGTGGGAGGTGACCCTTGGGGCAGCCTGCTCTCGGGGTTGCCGGATGTAGCCACTAAAATCACAGGATGTGCTTGGTCTGTTGTCCCCTGCACTCAAAGGTTGCAGGTCGAATGACTAGTCAGTTCACGTGCCCAGGTTGGGGGTTTGATACCTGGTTGTTGTTGGGGGGGGGGGAGTGCGTGCTATGGGAGGCAGTCGATGGGTGTTTCTCTCTCTCTTTCTTTATCTCTAAAAAAATAATTCCTTGGGCGATGATTCAAAAATACAGGATGGCTCAGTGAATAAAGCGTCAGCCTGCGGACTCAAGGGTCCTAAGTTCGATCCCGGTCAAGGGCATGCACCTTGGTTGCAGGCACATCCCCATGTAGAAGGTGTGCAGGAGGCAGCTGGTCGGAGTCTCTCTCTCATCTATGTTTCTAACTCTCTATCCCTCTCCCTTCCTCTCTGTAAAAAAAAATATATATATATCAATAAAATATATTTACAAAAGAATACAGGATGCTCTGTGACATTTGGTTTTCAGAAACACAAAGAATAAAGGGAAAAGTCTGGTATTTTAGGTATAAGTATGTCCCAACCATTGTGTGGGATATGCTTACACTTAAAAAAAAACCCCCAATGTATTTGTTGTTTCTCTGCGGCACACGGGGTGGCGGGGCAGACCCGGGGCCGGGGCCGTGAATGCTCAAGTGCGTCAGCCGTGCTGAGGACCTCACGAGTCCCGTTCCCGGGTCTAATCCCCAGAAAAGCCCTGAGCAGCGGCAGGAGGAGCTGCATTTTCCAGAGAAGGAACAGAGCCTCAGAGAAGCCAAGTGATTTACATCAGGTCCCGTGGCCTTCACACAGCACGAACCCCCAAGCCCTGGGACACCAGGCCTGACTCGGCGAGAGGGAATTCCTGAGCCACGAGTGTCTGTGTGTGTGTTGGGGGGCGGGGGGGGAAGAGGGGAGAAGGCGGGCGGGCAAGGGGGTGCGGGCCTGAGCTTCACCTCTGACACGTGGATGAGCTGATGCGGTTCCATGTGGCAGAGCTCGGTCAGGTCTGGGTTGTGGTTCTTCCCATCTGGGTAGAGGTAGCTGGGGAGGGAACAGAAGCACGTGAGGATCGTGCTTGGCAGGAGCATGGCTGCTTATCTCTCTATGCATCTCCGATTGCACTGCATGGATGTGACTGCTGAGAAGGCTCAGGGGAAAGGTCCACCTGGGACCTCACCTGCCTTCCCCTTCCCCCGCCAAGGCAGCTTCTGAGAGAGGCCCTGGGCAGCCCAGGTTACGGAAGGAACACCACCAGCCCAGCTGTTTGCCCCGGTCTCTTTCTGCTCTAACATCTGGCTTCTGCACCAGGATATGGAGACCCAGCAGCCAAAGCTCTGAGTGAACTAAGGAACGGTGGTGCTCCACTCCCCTCACCCTTCTCCGAAAGGCTGGGGGCCCGCCCAGATGGCAACCTTGTGGGAACCAGAAAAGGCGCCTCGCCTGCCACCTGCTGGGACACTGCAGTATTGCAAGTTTATCGATGTTCGCTGTGCCGAGTGCAGTGAGCGGACACCCTCCCCTTTGCCTGCCAGGATGGGGACTCACAAGTCTTCCTTCTGTCCGTCCAGGAGCGCCTCGAACAGGGGTTTGTTGTGAGGGATGGTCTGCACGATGCTGCCGTCTGAGCTCACGTGGCCGATGGCCCACTGCCCCAGGCGTGTGCAGCTGGGTCGGAAGATGTAGCTGGAGGAAGGGGTGGGGTGGGGGGGAAAGAATGGTCACCACTGTCCCTTTTGGGACTCCCAGCCCCTCACACTGTGGGGAATCAAGGTGTCTGAGTTCTCACTCTGGTTCCCTGCGTTTTAGGCAATGCAGCCTTCCATCATTGTCGGCCCTGCTCCCTCGCTCACCAGGGTGCGGACCGGGCTGATTCTGGCTTGGCCAATCGGTGCGCTCTAGGACCCCCGACCATAGTGATGGCAGTCAGCCCTGGGACCTCTGCCGGGAGTTCCAGTGAGGTACCTGTTTCTACAGAGGCAGCTAAGCGGGTAGCGAATACAGCTGGGGGTTCTAGAATCCCCGAGGAGAGACTGTGGCTGTGGACCAAGCTAACCCAGACGGAAGCAGAGGCAGGGGATAGTAAGCAGGATCCGATGCTTGCCCACGGCCCGTGGGCACCTGGACCCGGCTCTGCCTGAAGCCCCCGTGGTCTTTTCAACGACGTGAGTGAATCCGCCCCTTCCTGTCCCCGTACACCGGGTTGCAGTGCGACTGGAGAAGTGCTAACCCCCCTGCAAACACTCACAAATCTCACCTCCTAGTCCCTTGGCCTCTTGCTATTCTAGGAAGCTCAGCCCCTCAATTCTTTCTTTTTCTTTTTTTTTAAACACATATTTTTATTGATTCCAGAAAGGAAGGGAGAGGGAGAGAGAGAGAGAAACATCAAGGACGAGAGAGAATCACTGATCGGCTGCCCCCTGCACACCTCCCACTGGGAATCTAGCCTGCAACCTGGGCATGTTGGGATTCCCCTAACTGGAATCAAACCCAGGACCCTTCAGTCCATAGGCCGACACCCTATCCACTGAGCCAAACAGGCCATTGCCAACCCATCAATTCTTTTTTTTTTTTTTTTTTTTAATATATTTTATTGATATTTTACAGAGAGGAGGAAAGGAGAGAGAGAGAGAGAGAGAGTTAGAAACGTCGATGACAGAGAAACATCGACCAGCTGCCTCTTGCACACCCCCTACTGGGGATGTGCCCGCAACCAAGGTACATGCCCTTGACTGGAATCGAACCTGGGACCTTTCAGTCCGCAGACCGACGCTCTACCACTGAGCCAAACCGGTTTCGGCTCAACCCATCAATTCTTAACCCTCTACGGAGACCCAAAGCCGAAAGCTCCTGGCCTGAAATAATTTCAGGACTCAGGCGTCTGGTTCCCAGTCTCCTACCCCAGATATGGGAATTCCTATTAAAAATACTTAATAGGCCAAAACAGTTTGGCTCAGTGGATAGAGCGTCAGCCTATGGACTGAAGGGTCACGGGTTTGATTCCGGTCAAGGGCATGTACCTTGGTTGCGGGCACATCCCCAGTAGGGGGCGTGCAAGAGGAAGCTGATCGATGACTCTCACTCATCGATGTTTCTAACTCTCTATCTCTCTCCCTTCCTCTCTGTAAAAAATTAATAAAATATATTTAAGGATACTTACTATCCCTGGCCAGTGTGGCTCAGTGGTTGAAGCATCATCCCTCCCACAGAAGAGTCAAAGGTTTGATTCCCAGTCTAGGGGTGCATGCTGGAAGCAACCAATCAATGTTTTTCTCTCACATCAATGTTTGTTTGTTTGTTTGTTTGTTTGTTTGTTTGTTTCTTTCTTTCTTTCTTTCTTTCTTTCTTTCTTTCTCTCTCTCTCTCTCTCTCTCTCTCTCCCTCCCTCCCTCCATCCCTCCCTCCCTCCCATTCACTCTCTTTAAAATCAATGGAGCCCTAGCCAGTTTGGCTCAGTGGATAGAGCGTCGGCCTGCAGACTGAAGGGTCCCAGGTTCGATTCCGGTCAAGCGCACATGCCCGGATTGCAGGCTCGATCCTCTGTTGGGGGTGTGCAGGAGGCAGCCGATCAATGATTCTCTCTCGTCATTGATGTTTCTATCTCTCTCTCCCTCTCCCTTCCTCTCTGAAATCAATAAAAATATGTTTTTGAAAAATCAATGGAAAAATATCCTTGGGTGAGGATTCCCAACACCAAACGTTAGTAAACAGCACAGTGCGGGTTCTGACGCATCAGAAACAGACCGTATCCTGGGGCAGGGCCTTCAGGGTCCAGGCAGGTTTTGTCCCTTTAGCCCTGGATGGCGGGAGGGTCCGGAGGTCTCGGGAGAAGAGGTGGGTGGGAGGGGGCGCTCAGTATCCTACCCCTGAGTTCTCCACTCGCCAGGATCCCAGGTACCTCGCTTCTTCCTTCCTCCTTTCTTGCTTCCTCTGAAGGATGTCTGGGTTCCTACCACCTCCCAGCCCGGAGCCAAGAGCCTGGACCCCAGCCCCCTCCCAGCTGCCCCCTCCCCCGAGGCCGCCCTTTACCTGCCTGGCTTGTCCCTGCAGGCCTGCAGGCGCGCGCAGACCTCATCGTAGGTGAGGAAGGCCATGTAGCCTGGGTGGTTGACCGCCAGGAGCTCCCAGTTCTTGAGAAGCGTGGGCCATGGCTGCAGAGGGTGGCGCCTGGGTCAGGGAGGGGCCCTGGGAGCAGCCGCCTCTCCTAGTGCTTCCCGGGGCCCAGGAGTCAAGGACCCCGCCCCTCCTCCCATAGGACCCCCCAGTCTGGGCCCCCGGCCTGGGCCTCCCCCACCTGGAAGAGCCTGGTGAAGATGTCAAACTCGAAGATGGACACGTGGCCGTTGCAGGTGAGGTCGATGGTGGCGCGCAAGGCATGGGCGGTGGAGCCGGACTCCACCGGGTGGCAGGTGCACAGGAGAGACTCAAACTCAGCCCAGGGCAGCACGCACCTGCACAGAGGGGCACGGGGGAGGGGGAAAAGGGGGGAGGAGGGGAGTGAGGCCTCTGGGAGCCCGGAGAGACATGGAGGAGGGAGGCAGCTGGGGCTGAACTCCAGTGTCTGAGGGAGGAGGGGCTGGGGGCCTGGACCCCTGCGTCTGAGGAGGAGGGGCTGGGGGCCTGGACCCCTGGGTGTGAGGGAGGAGGGGCTGGGGGCCTGGACCCCTGGGTCTGAGGGAGGAGGGGCTGGGGGCCTGGACCCCTGGGTCTGAGGGAGGAGGGGCTGGGGGCCTGGACCCTTGCGTCTGAGGGAGGAGGGGCTGAGGGTCTGGACCCCTGGGTCTGAGGGAGGAGGGGCTGGGGCCTGGACCCCTGGGTCTGAGGGAGGAGGGGCTGGGGGCCTGGACCCCTGGTCTGAGGGAGGAGGGGCTGGGGGCCTGGACCCCTGGGTCTGAGGGAGGAGGGGCTGGGGGCCTGGACCCTTGCGTCTGAGGGAGGAGGGGCTGAGGGCCTGGACCCCTGGGTCTGAGGGAGGAGGGGCTGGGGGCCTGGACTCCTGGGTCTGAGGGAGGAGGGCTGGGGGCCTGGACCCCTGCATCTGAGGAGGAGGGGCTGGGGGCCTGGACCCCTGGGTGTGAGGGAGGAGGGGCTGGGGGCCTGGACTCCTGGGTCTGAGGGAGGAGGGCTGGGGGCCTGGACTCCTGGTCTGAGGGAGGAGGGCTGGGGGCCTGGACCCCTGGGTCTGAGGGAGGAGGGCTGGGGGCCTGGACTCCTGGGTCTGAGGGAGGAGGACTGGGGGTCTGGACTCCTGGTCTGAGGGAGGAGGGGCTGGGGGCCTGGACCCCTGGTCTGAGGGAGGAGGGCTGGGGGCCTGTCTCCTCGGTCCCTGGGCAGGGGCAGGATGGGGCTCCGGCCCCGGGACGGTGCTCACTCACCGGGCTCCGCAGTGCTCCCTCCAGAAGGTGTGGGCGGCGGACTTGGTGAGCTGGTACGTGTGTCCGCAGTACTTTCCCGCGGGGAAGAGCGCGCTCAGCTCCGAGAACATGTGGCTGAAGATGAGGGCCAGCTTGGCCAGCTGTCGCCTGTGGGGACGGGCGCTGAGCACCGGACACCTCCCCCTCCGCAGAGAACACCCGGAGGCCGGCCTCCGAGGCGGGGGAGGGGGAGTGGGCTCCTACACTGCCTGCTGCGGCCCCACGCCCTTCCAGAGCCTCAGCTTCCTCCTCGCTGCCAGCCCAGGGGCCGGAGAACCTGACCTGGCTGCTCCGGGGTCCCTGGGGCTGAGGGCATCGTGTGCCCGGCCAGCGCCCAGCAGGCCCTGCTCGGAGCCTTCCTCCAGGTGAGCAGCCCCGGGGGCCCTGCTCTCTCCGGCGGCGCCTCCCTGAGGAAGGACCAGGATGTGGGCGGTAGCAGAGGCCAATCTACACTCAGCTCCGTGACAAGTTCCTTTTTAAAACAAATGTACACTGACTGGCCAGATCTCTGAACGCATAATAATCTGGCCACTCAGTGTACATCCTATATAATAAAAGGCTAATATGCCGGGGCGGGTGGGTACCCCGGGGGCACGGGAGGGCGGCCAGGTGAGCGGCTGAGCCCCAGGCCGTGGGGGAAGGCGCACAGGTGAGGGGCCTGGCCAGCAGCAGCACACACACACACACACACACACACACACACGAACACACACACGTGTGTGCACACACATGAACATATATACACGTGCACACACACAAGCCGACACACGAACACGAACACACACAAGCCAACACAGGTGTGCGCACACAGGAACATACACACACACACACACACAAACCAACACAGGTGCGCATGCACACAAACATATACACACACACACACGAGCGTGCACACACACGAACATATATACACGTGCACACACACAAGCCGACACACGAACACGAACACACACAAGCCAACACAGGTGTGCACACACAGGAACATACACACACACACACACACACACGCCCCGCACAGGCCTGCCCGTGGGCACAGCGCTAGCCCTTGCAGGAAGCCCTCGGCCTGTGAGGAGGGTTTCACGGTCTCGGTTGCCGCCCAGCCCGGCAGGAGATGTGAGAGGCCCCCAGCTTAGCAAACCAAACACCCCGCTCGGCAGGCGGGGGCTGTTTTTGCCGCCTCCCGTCCGGCGTGCAGGAGCCCCAGTGCCCTGGGCCGGGCGTCGGGCAGCGGGCCCAGCCCTGTCCGGAGAAGCGGGGCCCAGCTGGGCGTGCCTCGTCACCGGCCTCCCTGCCGGAGAGAGGGGCCTGGTATTTATATTTAAAAATTAAGATAATAATATTAATGGCAAGAGGAGCGCCGGGCACAGACCCGGCCTCTCCCAGGGCCCGGCACTCACTGGCCTCGTGGCCGGCAGGGCGTCCCGCGTGGGGCCGGGCACCCGCTGCCCGAGGGGCCCTGACCTCTGTAATTTTATATAGAGTTTGAGCTGAAGCTCCGTATATTTAATTTATTTTGTTAAACAAGAAAATGTGCATTCTTTTTCTCTAAAATAAATAAATAAATAAATAAATAAATAAATGGCTAATATGCAAATTGTCCCCTCAACCAGGAGTTTCGGCCAGCAGGCAGGCCGGCCAACCGCCCATGTCCCCTCTCCCTGGCCATGGTTGGCCGGACCCACCCATGCACGAATTCATGCACCGGACCTCTATCACATAGATATAGGTATAGGTATAGGTATAGATATATAGAGATAGATAATAGATATACATTTACATATACACACTGAGTGGCCAGATTATTATGCATTCAGAGATCATAATAATCTGGCCACGCAGTGTATATAGATTTCAGAGGGCAAGGGAGAGGGAGAGAGAGACAGAAACATCAACGATGGACCTTGTGGGTTTGGCTCAATGGATAGAGTGCGGGCTGCGGACTGAAGGGTCCCAAGGTTCGATTCTGGTCAAGGGCACATGCCCGGGTTGTGGGCTCCATCACCAAGAGGGGGTGTGCAAGAGGCAGCTGATCAATGATTCTCTCTCACTCACCATTGATGTTTCTATCGCTCTCTCCCTCTCCCTTCCTCTCTGAAATCAATAAAAAATATAAAGAAACCTCAATGATGAGAGAGAATCATGGATCAGCCGCCTCCTGCACATATGGACTGAACCCATAACCCGGGCATGTGCCCTGATCAGGAATCAAATCATGACCTCCAGCTGAAACCGGTTTGGCTCAGTGGATAGAGCGTTAGCCTGTGGACTGAAAGGTCCCGGGTTCGATTCTGATCAAGGGCATGTACTGTGGTTGTGGGCACATCCCAGTGTGTGTGAAGGTGCAGTAGGTAGCTGATTGATGATTCTCTCATCAATGTTTCTAATTCTCTATCCCTCTCCCTATCTGTAAAAAAAAAAAATCAATAAAATATATTTAAAAATAAATAAATAAAAACTTTTAAAAACAATCGTGACCTCCTGGTGCACAGATTAATGCTCAACCACTGAACCACACTGGCCGGGCTTGGCAAGCTCCTTTATCCCCACCCCAAGCCTCAGTTTCCCCAACTTTGAAATGGGCATAAGCCCAGCCCCTGTGATGAGGCTTCTTGCCAGCACATAAAATACAGTCGGCACTCAGTGCACATTAATTTTTTGTTAATTCTCACCTGAAGACAGTTTTTTCCATTGAATTTTAGAGAGCTTGGAAGGGGAGGAGCGGGGGAGAGAGAAACATTGGGGTGAGAGAGACACATTGATGGGTTGCCTCCAGCAGGCACCCTGACTGACCGGGGCTGGGTATTGGACTTGCAACCCTGGACTGGGAATTGAACTCCTGACCTTTCAGTGCTCAGACCAATAATGCTCTAACCACTGAGCCACACCAGGCTCTATACTGGACTTTACAGAAACTCAACTCTCCTGACTCAGCACAGTGATGCTCCCCCACGGGCCAGAGTCCACTCCTCAATCCAGCCTGGCAGAATAATTGTGATTGTGCCTTGGCATTACCACTAGAAATGTCGGTAATTTTATTATAAAGAACATTCTTTTTATCACTCCCTTGTAATAAAATTTTAGGGCCAAGACTCCTGGTGTGAGAAAGGAGGGGCTGGGGCCTGAACTCCTGAGTCTGAGGGAGGAGGAGGGAAGGGGCCTGGACCCCTGGGTTTGAGGGAGGAGGGGCTGGAGGCCTGGACTCCTGGGTTTGAGGGAGGAGGGGTTGGGGGCCTGGACTCCTGGGTCTGAGGGAGGAGGGGCTGGGGCCTGGACCCCTGGGTCTGAGGGAGGAGGGGCTGGGGCCTGGGCCCCTGGGTCTGAGGGAGGAGGGCTGGGGGCCTGGACTCCTGGGTTTGAGGGAGGAGTGGCTGGGGCCCTGGGACTGAGGGAGGAGGGGCTGGGGGCCTGGACCCCTGGGTTTGAGGGAGGAGGGGCTGGGGGCCTGGACCCCTGGGTTTGAGGGAGGAGGGGCTGGGGGCCTGGACCCCTGGGTCTGAGGGAGGAGGGGCTGGGGGCCTGGACCCCTGGGTCTGAGGGAGGAGGCCTGGGGGCCTGGACCCCTGGGTGTGAGGGAGGAGGGAGGGGCTGGGGGCCTGGACCCCTGGGTTTGAGGGAGGAGGGGCTGGGGGCCTGGACCTCTGGTCTGAGGGAGGAGGGGCTGGGGGCCTGGACCCCTGGGTCTGAGGGAGGAGGGCTGGGGGCCTGGACCCCTGGGACTGAGGGAGGAGGGGCTGGGGGCCTGGACTCCTGGGTCTGAGGGAGGAGGGGCTGGGGGCCTGGACCCCTGGGACTGAGGGAGGAGGGGCTGGGGGCCTGGACCCCTGGGTCTGAGGGAGGAGGGGCTGGACCCCTGGGTCTGAGGGTGGAGGGCTGGGTGCCTGGGTCTGAGGGCGGAGGGCTGGGGGCCTGGACCCCTGGGTCTGAGGGAGGAGGGGCTGGGGGCCTGGACCCCTGGGACTGAGGGAGGAGGGGCTGGGGGCCTGGACCCCTGGTCTGCGGGAGAAGTGGCTGGACCCCTGGGTCTGAGGGAGGAGGGGTGGGGGCCTGGGTCTGAGGGAGGAGGGCTGGGGGCCTGGACTCCTGGGTCAGAGGGAGGAGGGAAGGGCTGGGGGCTGGGGGCCTGGACCCCGGGTCTGGGGGGGAGGCCTGGGGGTGGACTCCGGGTCAGAGGGAGGAAGAGTGGCGCTGCCCCCTGCTGACCTCACTCATGGGCTCGCCCTCACTCACCTGGGCATGGAGCCCTCCTGGAAGGGCCCGGCGCCGGCGCCGCGCTGGCCCCGGGGCGGCAGGAGCGCGGCCACCTGCCGGGCCTTGGCCTCCAGGTTGGCCAGGAAGAGGGCCAGGAAGTCCGCGGCGCCGCCGGGGCCCTCGGGGCCGCCGCCCGCCGCGCGCCGGGCGCGCGCCACGTCCCGCAGCAGCTGCGCCGTGCGCGGCAGCAGGTCCCGCAGCGCCGGCGGGTTCGCCGACAGCCGCGCGGCCGCGCTCCGCTCCTGCAGGCGCTGCAGCAGCCGCACGGCCCGCGCCAGCGCGCGCGGCTCCCCGTCCGGGCCCCGCCGCGGGGCCGCCGCCGCCGCAGCCATGAGCTCCGGTGCGGGAGGCGGCGGGGAGGCGGCCCCGCCCGGGCAGGTGGGGGCGGGCCCGGAGCACCTTGGCCCCGGAGAGGGCGGGGCCTGGGGCTCTGCACCTGAGGGCCCGAGAGATGGGGTTCAAAGTGCGACCCCAGCCAGAACCGGTGTGGCCCAGTGGTTAGAGCGTCGGCCTGAAGGGTCCCGGGTTCGATTCCGGTCGAGGGCATGCACTTTGGTTGCGGGCACATCCCCAGTAGGGGGCGTGCAGGAGGCAGCTGGTCGATGTTTCTGACTCTCTATCCCTTTCCCTTCTCTGAAAAAAAAAAATCAATAAAATATATATATTTAAAAAAATAGAAAGAGCCAAGACCGGTTTGGCTCAATGGATAGAGCGTAGGCTTGGGGACTAAGAGGACCCGGGTTCGATTCCGGTCAAGGGCATGTACCTTGGTTGCGGGCATATCCCCAGTCGGGGGTTGCAAGAGGCAATTGATCGATGACTCTCTCTCATCGATGTTTCTGGCTCTCTATCTCTCTCCCTTCCTCTCTGTACAAAATCAATAAAATATATTTTTAAAAAAATAGAAAGAGAGTGTGACCCCCAAAGGCCCGCCAGGTGGGGTGGCTGCGGTGGAGGATGCCTGGGCCCGCTAGGGGGGGGGGCTGAGGGTCTGGGAGGAGAGAGACCTGGGGTTTTCCTGGGGGCGGGGCCTGTCCGCACCCACAGGCAGGTGGGGCTGGGACGTGGCACCCCTGGGTGACGTAGAAGATTTGGATCTTGGGTCGTGACATGGGATGAAGGGTCAGAGCTGACCAGGAGGGAAGGTCAGAGAGACAGTGCGATCCCTGTGTCTCCGAGAAGGAAACACAGCGTGACCCATGGTCTGCAAACTGCGGCTCGCGAGCCACATGCGGCTCTTGGGCCCCTTGAGTGTGGCTCTTCCACAAAATACCACGGCCTGGGCGAGTCTATGTTGAGGAAGTGGCATGAGAAGAAGTTTAAGTTTAAAATATTTGGCTTTCCAAAGAAATTTCTATCGTTGTCCTGTTGATATTTGGCTCGGTTGACTTAGAAGTTTGCCGACCACTGCCCTGGTTAGCCCCTTAGGAGCAGGGGTTGGGTGGAAGGTGTCTGAGGGAGCAAGAACTTGGTGGCAGCCCCGGCGGCGTGGTTCAGTGGATAGAGCGTCGGCCTGCGGACTGAAGGATCCCAGGTTCGATTCCTGTCAAGGGCATGCACCTTGGTTTTGGGCACATCTCCAGTAGGGAGTGTGCAGGAGGCAGCTGATCGATGTTTCTAACTCTCTTTTCCTCTCTGTAAAAAATCAATAAAGTATATTTTAAAAAAAGAAAGAATTCGGTGACCTAATGCCTGGGTTCCCAGGAGCCTGCGGGGAAGTCAGCCTGCTCCGCGGGGCTGGAGGGCGTGGTTTGCTCCCAAACCTGGGCCGCCTGCGCCAGGCGCTCAGCCCTGCCGAGCGCTGGGCGGCCACCAGGGGCGCTGCGGGCCGGGCGGCCCCTCCGCCCCCACCGCCGCAGGCCACGCCCCCGGCCGGCAAGGCCAAGTTCAGATCGCAGATACACACCTAGTTAGAGAATTCCGAATCAGAGAATAATATTCATGTCTAACATTTATTGAATACTCTCTGTCGGTACCTGTGTGTCTAACTACATTTTTCTCATTGGATTTTCTTTTCTTCCTTTTTAAAAAAAAAAATATTTTATTGATTTTTTTACAGAGAGGAAGAGAGAAGGACAGAGAGTTAGAAATATCGATGAGAGAGAAACATCGATCAGCTGCCTCTTGCACACCCCTACTCGGGATGTGCCCGAAACCAAGGAATCATACATGCCCTTGACCGGAATCGAACCCGGGACCTTTCAGTCCCCAGGCCCGACGCTCTATCCACCGAGACAAACCGGTTTGGGCTCATTGGATTTTCAAAAGCCCTTTGAGGTGGAGGGAGGAGGAGAGAGTTTAGCTCAGCCCTCAACCCCTCTTTAGAAACAGAGAATCATTAACTCGGGAATCTTCCACACGCACCTCAGCCTGAGCGGAGGCCGGTGTTTGCTCCCAGCTTCTTGCATTGTTGACCTCTGAGTCAGCCTCAGTTTCCTCCCCCGCCCCCCCCCCCCAAAAAAAAAAAAAAAAAAAAACAGGGTGGAACCCCATGGGCCTGGCAAAAATTCAAATTTTTGTCTATGACAGAGAGCGGATGGAAGTGTCAGTGGGCAGAGGACTTTGGAGGGGACTTTGGTGGGGCCGGTCAGACCTCTGACAGGGCGAGTTCACGGCCCCGCACAGCCCTCAGAGACGTGGCTTGCAAACCCGTCGGCCCACATCAGGACGCCGTGCACCTGAAACCCTTACCCGGGGCCAGCCGTCCTTACCCCGGCCGTGTGCGTGTGCCCTGATGTCTTCCATCCCGTTCAATTCCATTTCATTAAAGGGAAAATGGTTTGCAGCCCACTAAATTGATTTCACGGCCCGCTAATGGATCTTGTCGGGCAGGCTGAGAAACATCCAGCTAAGCAACTCCCAGAGGCAGGTTCCAGGACGCTAACGGGGCAGCCTTCTGGGAAATGGAGAAAACTGGACACCGGGTGGGTGCCCCGCCGGGAGAAAGGAGGGATAGATCGTGGGGCGCTCTCACAGAGGACGCCCACACAGCAGTTGGGATGAGTGACGTGGACACACACAGCAGTCTCAGGAATTGTGAAAACGCCATGAGTGTGCTGGGTTGAATCGTGCCCCCCCCCCATTCATGTCCCCTGGAACCGAGCTTATTTAGAAATGGAGCTTTTGCAGGTGTAACCAAGTGCAGATGAGGTCAGATTGAACTAGGATGGGCCCTACACCCAATAGGACTGGAAATGTGGGCCCAGGCACGGGGAAAGCCAGGTGATGACGAAGGCAGAGATTGGAGCGATGCGTGTATGAGCCCAGGAATGCCAGGGTTGCTGGCAAACCCCAGGAACCAGGACGAGGCCAGGAGGGACCCTCCCCCAGAGCCTGCGGAGGGAGCACAGCCCTGAGCACACCTTGATTTTGGATCCTGAGTGTCCCGAATTGTGAGAGAATACAGATTTCTGTTGTTTCGCTCACTCCGTTTGCAGTCCTTTGTTACAGCAGCCCTCGGGAACTAATACAATGAGTAAAACAAAAGGGGGCAGAAGAGTTAGCACAGTACGGTAGCCTATATAATAAAGGCGTACTTTGCAAATTGTCCCCTCCACCGAGGGTTTGTCCAGGAGTTCGACCAGGAAGCAGAGCCAGTCGGGGGAAGGGAGGGAGGTCTCAGCCAGCAGCTGTCAGGGACCCTACCAGTGCACACATTTCGTGCACTGGGCCTCTAGTCATTTATACCAAGTTTGGAAACCTGCCAAACCAGGGCTATAAATCACGTGGGGATACATTTGTGTAGGATAACGGGATGGACATGTGCGGTAACGCTGAGGCATACATGTGGGATACGGAGCAGGAAGAGGATGGACTCTGAGAAAGATACACTGAGGCTCCAACAACATCATTAATGTTTCAGTTTGAACAGCTGGCTCCAGGACGGCAGAGATGGTTAAAGGTTCGTGTGGTTGCATAGTGGATGACAGGAAAAGATACTCAGCGTCATCACCAGTGAGGGAGAGGCGAGTCCAAACCACAGTGCGAGCCCTCCTCACACCCACCGGGACGGCGCTGAGAGTAAGTGAGCCTCGGAGAGGCTGCGGACGGTACACTGCTGGTGGGAATGTACGATATGGTGCCGCTGCTTTTTATTATTTTTTTTTTTAAATTAATTTCTTTATTGATTAAGGTATCACATATTTGTCCTCAACCCCCCATTCCAATCCCCCCCACACACACTCGTGCCCCCATCCCCTATCATCCATGAACACTGGTTAGGCTCATATATGTGCACCTAAGTCCTTTGGTTGATCTCTCCCTTTTATCCCCTCCCTCCCTCTGAGGTCCAACCGTCTGACACATGGCTCCTTATCCCTGGGTCTGTTCTTGTTCATCCGTCTATGGTGTTCACCGTTTCCCCTGGATGAGTGAGATCATGTCCTACTGGAAATATAAGAATAAAAAATGAGACAAGCAATAGTCGTTATGCTGAAAGGCAAATGAATCAGTCTGCAGTGAGCTTCTTTCTGGGCCAACAGTTCTTTTGAGACCCAATTTCAATATGTCAAACAGTCTGGCAGTTCCTCAGAAGGCTAAAGAACAGAAAACACACCCATGCAAAGATTTGTTGAAACCACCTAAATGTTCAACTGATAAATGGATAAGTTAAATGCAGTACACCCATGCAATGGACTATTATTTGGCCGTTGAAAGCAATGAATTACCGATAACACACTGAAATTCGAATGGGGAACCTCAAAAACATTATGCTAAGTGGAAGAAGCCAGTCACGTGTTGTATGATTCGGTTTATGTAAAATGTCCAGCAGAGGCAAATCTATAGAGACAGAAAGTATATTCGGGGTCGCCTGAGGCTGAAGTGGGGGTGAGTGAAGGAATGTTTTAAAATTGATTGTGGCCCTAACCGGTTTGGTTCCGTGGATAGAGCTTCGGCCTGTGGACTGAAAGGTCCCAGGTTCTATTCCAGTCAAGGGCATGTACCTTGGTTGCAGGCACATCCCCAGTGAGAGGTGTGCAGAGGCAGCTGATTGATTGTGGTCCTGATCGCACAACTCTTGATCTTGCTAAAACCATTGAATTGTACACTTATAGTTAAATTGCTGGGTATATACATTATTTCTATAAGTTGCTTTTTAAAAGGGCAAGGCCCTTTCTGACTGGTGTGGCTCAGTGGTTGAGCATTGACCAGGAGGTCATGGTTGGGTTCTCATCATTGATGTGATGTTTCTATCTCTTCCTTCCTCTCTGATATCAATAAAAAAAATATGTATATATATATTTTTTAAAAGGTCAGGCCAGATCTCAGGGTAGCCGCGAGAGGGCGCTCTAAGTACAGACAACTTCTCCCTTGGGAACAGAATTTCGCAGGC